GCTCTGTCCGGGGATAGCTGTTCTTTTTACAGCGTATTCTTCCTTCATGCCCGTTCCACAGACACGGCTTTTACTAATTTTTATGTTTGAATCGGAATAAATAATGATAGGCCATTCAATATGGTGAAATTCAGCACTCGTTGGACAGAATGTTAGTACAAATGCACTCACCTTCGGTTCGTGCTTTGTACAACATTCTGTCCAACTCGTGCTGAATTTCACCATATTGAATGGCCTATCATTATTTATTCCTTAAATAAGGTATGGAAGGCCGTATTCATAACATGTACCATATATGGTCAACTTTGAATATTACAATGTAAATCATAAATTCTTGTGGAATTGGTAGAGCTCTCAAATCTGAAAGTTATCACCGGATCTGTATGCGTATAATTGTAAAACCTTTTGATTTGTTGTTTTACGGTTATACAATGATATTACGTAAAACGCATATTATACATATAGTTTACAATTAGATGTTGATTTATTTTTAGTTTAACGATAGTTTCATGTTTTAAACCATTGCATATATTTTGAACACACATGTTACATGTATATGTATTAAGTACTCTATGTTATTGTTAATCAGGCCTTCTTTATTAGACAGTCCTTCAATATTTGAGGCTATATTTATAACGTTGAACGCATATTGTAGTTTATAATATTAGATGTTGATTTATTTTTTGTTTAACGATCGATAATTTCATGTTTTAAACCATTGTATATATTTTGAACACAGATATTACATGTATATGTACAGGTACTAAGTACTCTATGTTATTGTCAATCAGGCTTTCTTTAGACAGTCCTTCAATATTGGAGGCTATATTTATTACGTTGAACGCATATTGTAGTTTATAATATTAGATGTTGATTTATTTTTTGTTTAACGATAATTTCATGTTTTAAACCATTGTATATATTTTGAACACACATGTTACATGTATATGTACTAAGTACTCTATGGTATTGTTAATCAGGAATTCTTTAGACAGTCCTTCAATATTGGAGGCTATATATTAAATATTATATGATATATCAAAAAGTTTTATGTTATATGATACCTGTATGTGCGAATAAATCATGTATGACAATCCCTTAGAATGGAGAAACTTAGACTCAAATGTGTGTGATATAATAAATAATTGAATAAGTACACTGTGATGTAATATGAGGTTATATAATGGTTCATTCTGTATATCGTGTTTATACTCGAGTGAGTATATAATATATTCACAAGTGAGCGTAGCGAACGAGTGAATATATTATATTCTCACGAGAGTATAAAATGCACGATATACAGAATGAACCATTATATGATCTTATTATGCCACTCTAAGTTCAATTTCAGTTGATTCAAACACAATCATAACAATTATAAAAACCATAAAAATATCCCATAGCCAACTCTCGATCCATTTATGACGTCACTTGATTCTAGCAAACCATGTGGGAACCATTTATGACGTCACTTGATTCTAGGAATTCATGTGTAACAAAACATACACCTCGTTCTTCGGTCAATATTCATTAGTTCCCAGAATGCACTTCTACAGTGATATACGCTGGAGTGTATACGGAGGAGTTGTATACGATGACGATATACCACTCTCCACTGTATATCGTTGTTATAGACCCATGTTATACAACTGTAATCGGACTTAGAGTGGTATAACATGATTTATTCCATGTTACTACTGTTTTCCCAGGGAAATATGAAGAAATAAGAATCGTTTTGAATCGTATTACATGAAAAAATCGTATTGTCTCCGGGAAAAATCGCATTGGAGCGTATTACACGAAATTCGAAAAAATCGTATTGTCCCCGGGAAAAATCGTATTGGAGTGTATTAAACTATTTTGGTTTCCCTAATTGATAAGATGAATATGGGTTTTATTCCTCGGAAAATATTATATTGACCTTGGGCAATATGATATTAACCGAGGGAGCGCAAATATGTGCATTTATTAATATAATGTTTGCATTATCCAAATGTAACATTTAAGAGGGATGTATTATGGAATTGATAGGTTATTTCTGGTCGGGATTAAATATGGGTTTTATTCCGAGTGACAATATGATATTGACTTGGGGAATATATCATATACCGCAGGTGAATATGACGTATACCGCAGGTTAAAACGTGATACAGAAAGCCTTGATTTGATTGGTTGCGAGAATCGACTCTAAATGTAAAACTACGCTGGATTTCCAATATAGCCTAGTTAGTGCGTCGAGTACTAATATATGAATCCTTGATTGGTTGAGTAAGTTTATTACGCGAGATTGGTGACTGATACTTCTGCTAAGTTAATATAATGTATTCGATACACAGTACTGTTGATTCAGTAATCATTATAATAATTTGTAACCGTTTTCACTTGTTCGTTCAATCGATGCAATTGACAATTGCGTACTTCCGTACCACGTTCTCATTGGTTGGTGTGTATTCCATATACCGCAGGTGAATCTGTCATACACCGCAAGTAAATATGCCATATTCGTTGCGGAATATGACATAATTTTGTATCGTGTTTACCGCGTAACAATAGCTACTTCCGATTTTATCTATTGGAGCTGATCGTTACATCATAATAAATCAATTACTCATTGTGCAATACTATTCTGCTATTTTTTAGAATATATTTATTTTATCTCTAGCATCAGCTACTGAGAATTTGAAGATCGTGGCTGATCCCTATAAAAAGTTCCATTGAAGAAACTGTGGGGGTCTTTGGTATAAATGCGTGGGTCAGACAACTATATTAGCACCCCTCTCTGTTAATGGCCTCCAGGACTGTCAATAGATGGCATAGAATTCAGTAGGTTTAATAGCATACTTTGACATGTAAAAATTGGTCTAAAGATCTCCAAAGACAAATTTTATTGAAAATGTCCAAAACCTAATGATTTTGAATCTTAAAACATAATTGTAAATAATAATGAAGGAAAATTTGATATTTATTTGAAAAATGTAGTGAATTTGAAGTTTTAAAACAGGAATATTTACACACAAACCAATGGGCCAGTTGTGAACAACAACCTAGTAGTTAACTGCCATCTATATGAGTCCTGGCTCCCATTAAAGTCTGTTTAGATTTCAGCAAGTTTAAAGCAAAACAGGTTCAAAACCCTTCGATCTGCAGCTTGCATCTTCAACTAACCCCGGGCAACTAACAACCTGTAATCTATTTGCTGACAAATGAGATTGTAAAAAACTCATTTTTAAACCATGTGGCCTCAATCGTGTTTCACAAAAAGAAACTAAGTAACAGCAACGCAAAGGCATAGCATATCCAAGAGGACATCCAAACCATGACACAAATAGAAATGACCTCCACCTTTGAATACTTGTATGAGGCAGCAGCTTATTACGATTATTTATCATTGTAAATGATCAATATTTTTTAGAAAAGAAGTAAATGCTAAAAGCCTACTTCAGTAACATTAACACTAGTACAGCTTGCCCTTTAGTAATCAATGAGAAATTCCCCAAATTAGTCTGGTAACCAATCAAATGTTGATCGAGAAAACATGTGCATCATTTATATATTAAAGTATTCATAATATTTTACTTGCTGTTTTGATCGTCATAATAGCAAGGTTTCCTGTGACAGCTATTGACACTGAAATCATATTCTTTTTTTGCTGACACACATGTGCTTGTTGATAATATATACATTGTTATATTCGAGGCAAGTAATATATAGGAATGTGTAAATTTACAGTTAAAATGATTATAAAATGTATGCATTGACGGTTGGAATGTTGTATATAGTGTGCGAATAACAGATATACATAGACATATGCAGTTCAGTTGAAGCGTTTTGCTATACATGCATTAAACATTGTAAACATAAATGTTTATTAATTAATGCAAATAATTTCGTGACTAGGCAACCATTCCATGCTTTAGAAATAAAACAGATAAAACGTCATTGTGAGTGGAATGAATGGTGTTTGTCATAAATAGACTGTAGATGATTACAGGTTGGTCCAAAAAATGAACCCTTGCAATAAGCTATATCCCAGCTGCATAATGGGCTGATATTCTCACATGTTCTAGGTTAAGGTCTAAAATTTGCATGGGTACCATGAAGGTCATTTAGTCTCAAGTCTTGCAGAAGTTACATGGCATCAACAGACATGCCTGATTATGGATGCTGTGCTCAATCAATGCTCCAGGGTTCTGGATAACTGCTGCAACGCGAATATTGAAGGTGCTCACTGCTCGTTCTAGCATATCTAGGGGTGTTTTGTAATTTTAAAACATTTTTCTTTATTTTAAGAGAAACAATTGTACAACCCCAATACGATCCACATGGAATCCACTTGGACATGTGTGACAATCAACATTGATTCCACATGGAATCATCCACACTATGCCCACGTGAATTTGATCCACATGGAACCACATTATTGTCACACATTGCAGCATGGATATTTCGAAAGGATTCCACGCGAATAAAATTTGAAAAACGTTCCCAATTCCACGTAAATCATTGTGCCGAAAATCCATGTTGATTTCACATGGAAATCTTGTCTGAGGATTCCTGATGGATTCTCGTGGCATAGGTTCCTTGTGGATGTGGATTGGCTGTGTATCTAATGTTTTTTTTAGCAGTAAAGAACTTCTACAATTGCATTGCGGTAGTTATCCAGAACCGTGGAGCATGGATTGAGCACATCACCTATTTTTCAGGCACGTCTGTAGATTTGTAGTCTGTAGAATTAAGACTGAGTGACCTTTATAGTACCCACTTAAAAAGACCATCCTCTAAAACATGTGAGAATATCAGCCCGTTAATGCAAGTAATAACTGAGATATAGCTTGTTTCAAGGGCATTTTATTTGGAAATAAGTCACCCAAAACATGTAAACAAGGTCATAAAAACACATGAATGTGAAGGATTGAAGTAGCAAATGTTTTATCCGGTCGAGTTTTTCTATCAGTGTATAATGTCTTATCGGTATAATCAAAGCATTATTTCAATGATAAACAATTCAAATAAAAATAGAAGAATTATCAAACTGTACTCGTAAAAGTATAAATAACAGCAAAGACTCAATACGTTCTTAAAATAGTAAGTGTAGAGTATAAATAACTGCTTTACAAGGACAACATCCATTCTTCAGAAAATATAAGACATATAGAACTACTAGGTATAGTATGTAACGAAAATACGGAACGAGAACAAGTTATATGAGAATATACATATCCCCACTCACAAGCAGAGAGCATCATAACCATGATTTCGAAACGTGAAAAATTTAGGGTATGTATCACTTTTTACAAAAGTGTTTATTGATTGTGTGATTTACACACCCAGTTGGTTTTCAATATGCATATGCGTGATGCAGTCCACAAGATTGTATTCAAAATCAGCCTGATTGTAATAATTTTGGCTGTTAAATTTTGAACATCCCAACTAAACAGTTTTCGGAAGCTACAAGATTATGAATCACTGGACGAGAGACACTGGAAATGTGCTCACCATTCGAAAGTTTATTTTGCCATCTTCAATCTCCTTGAAAATGATTTATGTTAAACCAGCAGAAACCAACAAATTAGACGAAATGTATTTGACTTTAATTATAGTTCACAAAATAGTTTCGCAGATTGACAGCATAACCTACATTTTTTGCGATTTGAAATTTCAACCAGGAAGTAAATTTACAAATACTCTTATTTCAATAGATTTACCTATTGTGAAACAGATTACAATGATTGTAAAATGACAGCATAGCACTATATCCTACAACAATTGCATGTAATTAAAAAATTACAAATTAATGCTTTTTGACGGTAACCAGAGTTAGATGCTTGTGGACCCATGTCACAAATGTGATTGATATCTTTTTTCATTCTCATATCATCCCGGAAGTCCACCATTTTAATTTTAGTCCGACCATAAAGCGATTTGTGTACCACAACAGCATTGGGATTATTACTAAAATATTATTTGATCATTTCATATTATTTGAATCATTCAATATTGAGCATTTCACGCCATTATCTATGCAATATTGGTGAATCTTGGCCCCAAGATTCAAACATGTTGCTCTAACATTCAAACATGCTGCTCAGCTCTCTCTGATCGGTGATACCATGGGCTTTCAATTAGTTGAATGGGCATGGTAACAGCCATCAATTGACAATCATGATTAGTTGAATGCCCATGGTAACACCCATCAATTGACAATCATGGTTAAAATCTCTCAATGTTCAGGGGTGTAGCAAGCTTTCGATCAGGGGGGGGGGGGGGGTGCGATCGCCAAAACAATTTCGGTTTTCAGTCAGGGGGTTGCAATTGTGGCAGTTACAAGCCAAAAATAAGATTTATTTGAATTTTACAAAAATTGATGCTTCCTTCAAAATTGAGCTAGAAGCTTCAAATAAAAAGCATTTTAAAGCTCCTTTCTTCTTATGGTTTTATTTTTATTGGTTATGGGGGGAGCGATGCACCCATCGCACCCCCTGGCTACGGCTGAGATCATCATAAAAGGCTACGCCTATGATGTTATCTGGAAAGTCGTCTATATCGTTTGAGAAAAAGAACATTTACATTAGAAAAGTGAGAATGAGTTGTGTCAAGATTTAAAAGATCGACTTTCCATGGTGATTTTCTATAATGAAAACATTCGAACATTTTAAGCACATTAGAAAGGTATCGCCATAAAATGACGTTTTACGAGCATAAAATAGGCGTTTTGATATAGAAGATTTGACACAATATGTTTCATATTTTGGCGTAGTGTTGAATTTAAACCTTCCTACGGCCCCTGAAATTTACATTTTCTTTCATTTCAAAATGAATGTATAGCGGAAGTATCACAACATAATACTACTGAAACGTTGGTGATACACATTCTGTGCAAATTGACCCTACACTTCATGTAGATGCTCATATGAACACTTACATCTTAATAAATGTACAACGAGACTACCTGAATTACAGACAAAACTACTGATGGTGCTGGTAAAATATATATCCTGTGTGCCACACTAATTTACGTCTAATCTCCGTTACAGGCAATACTAGCGGTAGAGTTGGTGATATGCATTCTGTGCCAAACCATGCCAAAATCAGCAGATGCTACAGTGTTGGATAAGAGTGACGAGCAGTTGACAATACTAACAAAAAACATGTTCGTGAATTACACATCTGTGACAGATCTACGCCTTGATAGAAGTCAAATAACAAAAATTGAACCTGATGCATTTTCCGGTTTGAATTCATTGCAATATCTTCATTTAGAATTCAATAAACTTACACTTTTGAGAGATGGCATATTCCATAAACTGACCTCCCTTAAAACGATCTATCTTCAGTACAATGAAATAACAGAGATTGAGGGTGATGTGTTTTTAGGTTTGAATTCATTGGAATATCTTCATTTATATTCCAATAAACTTACACTTTTGAGAGATGGCATATTCAATAATCTGACCTCCCTGGTACGGCTCTATCTTCAGTACAATGAAATAACACAGATTGAGGGTGATGCATTTTCAGGTTTGAGTTCATTGAAATATCTACGTTTGAATAACAATAAACTTACAATTTTGAGAAATGGCATATTCCATAATCTGACCTCCCTGATACAGCTCTCCCTAGAGTACAATGAAATAACAGAGATCGAGGGTGATGTATTTTTAGGTTTGAATTCATTGGAATATCTTCATTTAGAATTCAATAAACTTACACTTTTGAGAGATGGCATATTCAATAATCTGACCTCCCTGGTATGGCTCTATCTTCAGTACAATGAAATAACAGAGATTGAGGGTGATGTGTTTTTAGGTTTGAATTCATTGAAATATCTAAGTTTATATTACAATAATCTTACAATTTTGAGAGATGGCATATTCCATAATCTGACCTCCCTTAAAAGTATCAATCTTCAGAACAATGAAATAACACAGATTGAGGGTGATGCATTTTCAGGTTTGAGTTCATTGAAATATCTACGTTTGAATAACAATAAACTTACAATTTTGAGAAATGGCATATTCCATAATCTGACCTCCCTGATACAGCTCTCCCTAGAGTACAATGAAATAACAGAGATCGAGGGTGATGTATTTTTAGGTTTGAAATCATTGGAATATCTTCCTTTATATGACAATAAACTTACACTTTTGAGAGATGACCTATTCAATGATCTGACCTCCCTGAAAGGGCTCTATCTTTCTGATAATGAAATAACAGAGATTGAGGGTGATGTGTTTTCTGGTTCGAATTCACTGCAGTATATAAATTTGGCTCGCAATAAACTTACACTTTTGAGAGATGGCGTATTCCATAATCTAACCTCCCTAAAAGAGCTCTATCTTCATAGGAATGAAATAACACAGATTGAGGGTGATGTATTTTTAGGTTTGAATTCATTGGAATATCTTCATTTATATTCCAATAAACTTACACTTTTGAGAGATGGCATATTCAATAATCTGACCTCCCTGGTATGGCTCTATCTTCAGTACAATGAAATAACAGAGATTGAGGGTGATGTGTTTTTAGGTTTGAATTCATTGAAATATCTAAGTTTATATTACAATAATCTTACAATTTTGAGAGATGGCATATTCCATAATCTGACCTCCCTTAAAAGGATCAATCTTCAGAACAATGAAATAACAGAGATTGAGGGTGATGTGTTTTTAGGTTTGAATTCATTGGAATATCTTCATTTAAATTACAATAAACTTACACTTTTGAGAGATGGCATATTCAATAATCTGACCTCCCTGGTACGGCTCTATCTTCAGTACAATGAAATAACACAGATTGAGGGTGATGCATTTTCAGGTTTGAGTTCATTGAAATATCTATTTTTGTATAACAATAAACTTACAATTTTGAGAAATGGCATATTCCATAATCTGACCTCCCTGATACAGCTCTCCCTAGAGTACAATGAAATAACAGAGATCGAGGGTGATGTATTTTCAGGTTTGAGTTCATTGAAATATCTATATTTGCATGGCAATAAATTTACAATTTTAAGAAATGGCACATTCCATGATCTTACCTTTCTGAAAGAGCTCCATCTTGATAATAATGAAATAACAGAGATTGAGTCAGGATCATTAATGAACCTTTATGATCTTGAATATCTTGAGCTTAGTAACAATGAACTCCAATCACTTCCAAGAGATATATGTAGATACATGCCAAAATTGACAAAATTATACTTGAGTGGGAATCACATTTCCACTATAGCTCCTCAAAACCTTGATAACATCCAGGTAATAAAGGAGTATTGTGTTGCAAGAAATGAATCGATACAAACAACACAAGAATCGATACAAACAACACAAATATCGATACAAATAACACAAGAATCAAAACAGGCAACACAAGAATCTATACAAACAACACAAGAATCGAAACAAACAACACAAGAATCGATACAAAAAACACAAGAATCAAAACAGGCAACACAAGAATCTATACAAACAACACAAGAATCGATACAAACAACACAAATATCGATACAAATAACACAAGAATCAAAACAGGCAACACAAGAATCTATACAAACAACACAAGAATCGAAACAAACAACACAAGAATCGATACAAAAAACACAAGAATCAAAACAGGCAACACAAGAATCTATACAAACAACACAAGAATCGAAACAAACAACACAAGAATCGATACAAAAAACACAAGAATCAAAATTGGTAACACAAGAATCTAGACAAACAACTCAAAAATTAACGCAAACAACACAGGAATCTACCAAGGCAACAAAGTCAACTACCCAAACAAATGAACCATCCCCCCTTTCATTTGAGATTGGTTTAGCATGTGGAATTTCAGTGTCTGTTGTGTTTGTCATTATTCTCGTCTCTGTTATCATATGGAGAAGGAAAACGAACCAAACTCCTATAAAATCTTCTGTGGAAAATAATCAAGAATATGTAAATGATGCTTTCAGGGATATGATTATTGCAATGAACAGTAATTCTCAAACAAATGACACACATATAACTGCTGACAATAACACTTCTGAGTCCACGTTAACGTCACCATATGAAACGATCAATACGTATGACTCCGATACGTATCTTACAATTTCAAATGACACAGATTCAAACATCATTCATAATGAGGCCAACCAGGAATATGTTAACCAGGCCATTGTAAATGATAACAGTTCACGTGGAAAATATAATGCGACAGACCAGGATTATGAACATGTGAACTAAACATCAAGACTGATATAGTCCAAGTCAGACCATACTTGTATATAGGGGTTTGAATAGCATCAGGCACTGGTCAATTATCTCGGTTGTTTTTACCCAAATCCTCTTTTGCTCTTAGGAATGTTGCGACTAATGCCATGTTGAGATTATACTTTCAAATGAGTTTGCTTACTGTTAGCTACATTATAAACCATTGGATATCTAAGCCACGTTTCTTTGAAACAGGAGGATATGATGAGTATCAGAATAATGATATATTATGTAACAAGATGATTATATGTATGTGAGATATGCTTACAATTATATAACTTGAAATGATAATGCTGTTGCTTATCACCAACAATGATACGAATCTAAAGTTATGTAAGTTAAAGACGTAAGTAAGTCAAGTCAAGTCCATTATGTATTTATTTATTTATTTTTTAAATAAATAAAATAAAAAATAAATAAATAAATCCATTATGTAAGGGCTCACAATAAAGAAATGTAATATAAAAATGTGCTGTTTAATTGTATCATAGACTTTAATTAGGTTTTCATTACTTAAATGTTGACATGTATAGTAGTTTGTATTATTTTCATTGAAATTTTTCATGTTTGTATTATTTTCATCATTGTGATTTGATTTACTTTTATTGTAGTTAAAATTGCTTTTTTGTAGTGTTAGCCTGTACTTGTATGCTGAATATGTTATTAATTTTGGGCTATTTTTGTAACATCTAATTTGAAGTCTCCAGTAATTACTGAATTAATCAATATCAAAACAGAGATAGCCTTGCCCAAGTTGGTATTTTTTTACTTAACTGATCTTGAATTATTACCGCTGGTCATAATAGAAATCAAGATAAGTAGATCGACTTGGGCAAGGCTAAATAAATGATAGAATATTCATATTTATGCCCTTTTTGTAGTATTTCAATGAATTCTGTCATTCACTATTCGTTAAGATTTTGGCAAAGTTCAAACACATGTTCTTAATTCTCTGATGGACTTGGTAAAAGCTCTCAAATCTGAAATTCAGCACAGGTTGTGTATCAAAACCTTTATTTGTTGTTTAGAGTTGCATTATGGGTAATATTTTGACCTTTTAAGGAGACACTATACCTCTTTCTGATTAGAGACCATCGCTGTTGAAGACAGAATTGGATCACTTGATTTTACTAAAATATTGTTATCTAGAATTCATGTTGTTATTTACTTGATTTGTTTTTTATGTGATGATGTATTTGAAATCAAAACACATTTTTTGTATATTGTGTACTCTTTGTTATTGTAAATAAGCCATTTTTAGACAGTCCTTCAATATTGGAGGCTATATATATAAATAAATATATATATAAATATAAGTAATATAGCTTAAGTAAATAATGATGTAATATATATCAAAATGTTTTATGTTGATATGTATGTCCTGGATTATGTGTAAAAGAATGACATGTGTATGAATTAGATTGATATCAGCAATTATCAAAATGATAAATAAGGGATATGTACTGGGAGGTTTTGGATATGGGGTTTATCCAGAGGGAGATATGCATATTTACCCGAGGGACCGCAGGTAAATAAAAAATTAAGAAATAGTTTTTCAAAATTTTAAAAAATTATTTTTTTTCAATTTTTTTTCAAAGCGGGGAGATATGCCCTTGAGCGGGAGATATGGCGGGAGATATGGAGGTTCTGGATATGGAATCCTCAAAATTAGGATATTTGATATATCTTATAAACTTATTTCCCTAAAACTCTACTGGGCATAGGATAAATTATTATAACAGTGTATGATCCAGAGAGGGACAGAATAAATTATGTATATACTGACTGTAGATACATGTGAAACGATTAGTCAAAAACTCTGCATATAAGGTTTGGGATGATATTTACTTTGCAAAGATTAGTATTTGTTGCATTAAACCATTGCAAAGTAAAATTAAACTATAAAATCAAACTATGGCAGCCTTATGGGCTACGAGCAATACGTACTGCAAAAATCATTAAAAGATGGACAGGAGAATAAAATATTTGCTTATTATAATGGGAATTTATCAAAGATCTGAATATGTTACTTAACAAAAATTACTGGGGATTGATCGATAGAATCAATAAAATGAGTAATTTTTACCCAAAATTAGCTTTGTTTACTTTTTCAATTATTCACGGATTTTTAGCCACCAACAAATATTTGAGTTTATGACAGCTATCAGAATCTGATCTTTGTACCTTTCGTAAATGAGAACCAGAGTTGTAATATGGAATTGATAGAAGAAAATAAAAACTGGTTACCTGAGAAAGTGACAGGTCTGAATACAACACAGAATAACTGATTTTAAGACCTACCAAAGGAAATCTAAGAACTTATTGAATCACTTAAACTTTTATTTGATGCATGAAGGATATTCTCGTGACTAAGCCACCAGCCCACTATTCAAAGACCCAAAGCAAACTGAATTAAAACATTTTTAGAAGTATGTAAAACCAGATAAAACTGCATTGTGAGTGGAATGAATAGTGTTAGTACTAAACAGACTGTTGACAATTACATTCAAATTCTTTTATTGAGAAAAAAGTCCCCCAATATATGTTGACTATTGCTATGTTGATTTGAACGTAAACTAATGGATGTAAAGGACTGCAATGTCTTCTGGTTGAGTTTTTCTATCAGTGCACATCGCATAATCAAGACAATAATTAAATGATAAACAATTCAAAAAAATAGAATTAACACTCTGTGCTCGTAGAGGAAGTCTACAGTATAAATAACAACAAAGACTCAATACGCTTGCAAAATAACAAATGTAGAGTAAGAGTTTTACAAGAACTACATCCCTTCTTCAGAATATATAAAACATAGGTCTTCTAGTATGTAACGAAAATACAGAACAAGAATAAGTGTAAGACATACGAGAATATACATATCCTCACTCACCAGAGAGCAGTTATAACCATGATTTTGCAACGTGGAAAATTTAGGGTATGTATCACTTTTTACAAATGTATTTATTGAATGGGTGATTTACACAACCAGTTGGTCTTCAATATGCATATATGAGTGATGCAGTCCACAAGATTGTATTCAAAATCAGCCCGATTTTAATAATTTTTTCTGTTAAATTTTGAACATCCCAACAGTTTCCAGAAGCTACAAGATTATGAATCACTGGACCAGAGTCACTGGAAATGTGCTCACCATTCGAAAGCTTACTTTGTCATATTCGATAATTACAGTAAATCAAACCTAAAGGGACCAACAAATTAGATGCAATGCATTTAACTTTAATTATAGTTCACAAAATATTTTCGCAGATTGACAGCATAACCTACATTTTTTGCGATTTGAAATTTCAACCAGGAAGTAAATTTATCGTATGATCTGTAAAATGAAGCCTTCTGATTGGTCAATTCTTGTGCTGTACCAATCTGTTTTGCTACTGAGATTGTCCGCATTGATCATCTCCGTCGCAATACAGAAATATTGGTACGGAGGGGACAATCTCAGTAGCAATACAGCACACTACCCTACCTCGATCGCGCATGCGCGAATCTTTTGGCTTTCAAACATGTCGCTTTTGAGTATATCGACTGCTTAGTCAAAAGGTTAATACGTTTGGTGCTCGGAGTGAGTCAATATTGCTATTCGCTACACTTCAGTGGTGCAATAGTGAAGTCCATGTTCCAAGTTATAGGATAGTTGAAGAAATAATGTAAATAATATCGTTTTAAATTTTAAAATATTTGATATGTCATAGTACACGGTACACAGCTGCAAAAGTTGATCAATACAGGGTACAAGGAATGTAAATTGTTCAATAGTACAGGGAGCGAGAAAGTAAGCTGATTATACAGACATACTATGTCCCGACCTCATGTACATTTACGTTGCAAACAGTGAAAGTAATGCTAAAAAGGCCGCCTGTTGATGCTTTGAGGTGTCATCAATTGTTATTTAATCCAAATAAAGTAAACATTATTTTGTAGATTTAGACACGGGCTTTCAAGTCGTATGCATTTTAGTCATTAAATTAACAAGAACGCTAGATTATACTTGTTACTAGGGTATCAAATTGAAATAAAATAACGAAATTAAATATCAACACGTTAATGATAAATGACTATCCGCTATCAGTATTAATGACTATTTGCTACTCAGAATAATTAAAATTGCCTGAACTACATAATATGAAGAATCTTTCTATAGAACCCCTTGAATGGTCTAATTCACTACCGTCCTAAAAACCCGACCATTCAAAATGTTTTGTTCAAATTCACAAAAATACAGTTGACTAACATACTAGAAAACGTATCCACCTATAACACGATGACACGCAGTTTAAACAACAGTTAACTGGGTTTTTTGTTACATATCAATGTAACATTTTCGAAGGGACACTTACATGCTCCCTGTACGTTGATAGATTTACTGAAATGTATCGTGTACTGCATTTGGTTTTGCTTCACTGCGCCCACTATTATCTATCTTTGCCTATAGTGGTTTTTTGCCAACAATATTCTACACACTCCTTGATGAATCAATTCTATGTCTGGTAGAACACTAGAAATATATGTAAAATGTATTTTACGTTCAGAAATATGGAATTAAACCCACGTCCTCCATTTGCAACTAAGCTGTACCCTGTTTCCATTTTAAACGTGGTCACGTGGTAGGGTAGTGTGACAGAGGATCACACGATAAAAACATTCTTCGTCTCGTTCCAATACGGAATTTTTCGAGCAGAATATATCCTGTATTGCACTTAAAATCATTCAATAACTTAAAAAAACAAAAACTCTTATTTCAATAGATTTACCTATTGTGAGATAAAATTGCTACAGATTGTAATATGAGAGTATGACACTATATCCTGCAACTATCATTACATAAAAATTACGAAGTAATGATTTTACGGTTACCAGAGTTAGATGTTTGTGGACCAATGTCCGACCATAAAGCGATTTGTGTACCACGTTCAGCATTGGATTCATTACTGAAATATTATTTGATCACTTCATATTACTAGAATCATTCAATATTGAGTATTTTTCGCCATTATTTATGCAATATATATATCTTAATCTCAAGATTCAAACATGTTGCTCAGCTCTCTCTGATCGGTGATACGCAAGGTACGTGTACGCAAGGTACGTACTTTTAGTAGAGATGTTGTAAGTTTTGTGCCACAAAAAGAAGGCAGTAACATACTATGGTGTTTAAACTGCTTCTTTATTCGGTACATTAATATTCCATAAATACCAAATAAAACCAAAATTTACCAAACCTTTACCCAATCTATCGAATGTTTTTTTTATTTTATCAAATGTAATAATCTATACAATTTATATTCGCTAAATAGTTTCACTTGTTTTTTGTATTGGCATTCACATTTGATATTTATACATGCATTTGTGTGATGCAGCGAATCAACTTGTTTTCCTTAACGCACGTATAATTCTATTAATTATTTGTACATTCGGTATTTAAATTATTTATATTCGGTGAATACCGAATGCCACATTCGATAAATTTCGTTATTTTTCGATAATTTACGAGACTTTCAGTCACATGATATATTTGTACGATGTAGAATAGCTGCGCGGCCATTTTGCAAATCTCGAAGTCAAGTGGCAAAATATCGAACAACAACGCAAGTTATCGAATATTACTTTATTGCATTCGGTAAATAGCAAATTAGCTTTCGGTAAAATGCATTAACTATGTCATTGAAAAATAAACCATTTGGTAAATATAGGCAAACTCATTTCGGTAGGGTTCAAATAGAAATTCAATACTGTGCATATAATGTGTTACTCTTAAGGAATACCATAACAATTTACGCAAAAATATCATTTAACGAATGAAATATGTAATTTAATGCGCATACTATTAAGTGCTTGGCTATTTTGAAAACTTAATTTGCTGTAACAAACATATAAACGTTTTTACCGAATGGAAAAATGATTTAGCGAAAATAAATGTTTCATATATCGAATATATTTGAATTTAATGAATAAAGAAGCAGAAATAATGCCATAAAATACAGCCATCTGTATCATATTCCCAAACGTCTTGATTATTTAATGCTCAGGGGATTTTCGAAATAATATGGGGCGAATATTTCATACTATTGAGGTGAATATCTGTTCATTTTAAATGATGCTTACAAGGTGTATTCCAAGAAGCCCAAAGGCCCATGGGAATACACCTTGAAGGATCGTTTAAAGTGCTTCAGATATTCACCAAAAATAGTATGAAATATCTATTTTATCAATCATTGCAAGCTTTTGATCGGGGGGGGGGGGGTGCTATCGCCAAAACAATTTCGGTTTTCAGTCAGGGGGGTTGCACTAACAAGTCAAAAATAAGTTTTATTTGAATTTTACAAAAATTGATGCAACTTCCTTCAAAATTGAGCTAGAAGCTTCAAATAAAAGCATTTTAAAGCTCCTTTCTTCTTATGGTTTTATTTTTATTGGTTATGGGGGGATGCACCCATCGCACCCCCTGGCTACGGCTGAGACCATCATAAAAGGCTACGCCTATGATGTTATCTGGAAATATATATATATATCGTTCGAGAAAAATAACATTTACATTAGAAAAGTGAGAATGAGTTGTGTGAAGATTTATATAATGAAAACATTCGAACATTTTAAGCACATTAGGTATACATGTAAAATGAAAAACGCAGTTCAGTTGGTTGAAGGACGGTCCAGTCAATATAGCTATTTCTTTCCTTCTTTTATACTTTGTACCCGACTTTACTAAAGAATGTATCGGTTTTAGAAAAATGTGTCCTAAAGACAGCATTGTTAAAAAGCATGATTTGAGAGCAGGAAGCTTTTATGCCTAAATTAGGATTGTGATAAATCGCCAGGCAAATAAGTTCTTCTCAATAATTTTGGGATGATATTGGGAACAAGGGATAAGACAAAATAAAGGACCATGCGACATATGTAAATGAAAAGATTCAAATGTTTCGTTCGGCGCAACGCAAAAAACGGGCTAAGAGCCGGGCTACACTCGCTCGTAAAACGTTTTAACGCTAAGACGTCTTGGCTATGACTAGGGTCCTAAAACGTTTTAGCTAAGCGCTCTTAGACGAGAGCTCTTGAGTAAATCTGGATTTACATTACATTTGTCAGAGACATATAAAACAGTCTCTGCATTTGTAAAACGTTTTAACGCTAAAACGTTTTAGCTAAGACGTCTTAGCGCGCTAGTGTAAAACCAACAAACGCTACTGAAGGCATTGGTGATACACATTCTGTGAAAATGGACCCTACACTACATTTACATGTAGATGCTTATATGAACACTAACATCTTAATAAATGTACAATTAGAGTACCTGAATCACAGACGATGCTACTGATGGCGCTGGTAAAATATATATCCTGTGTGCCAGACTAATTTACTCTAATCTCCGTTACAGGCAATACTATCAGTAAAGTTGGTGATATGTATTCTGTGCCAAACCATGCCAAAATCAGCCGATACTACAGTGCTGGATATGAGACGCGAGCAGTTGACGATACTAACAAAAAACATGTTCGTGAATTACACATCCGTGACAAATCTACGACTTGATAGAAATCATATGACAGAAATTGAACCTGGTGCATTTTCCGGTTTGAATTCATTGAGATATCTACGTTTGGAAAACAATAAACTTACAATTTTGAAATATGGCATATTCAATAATCTGACCTCCCTGAGACTGCTTTCTTTTTATTACAATAAAATAACAGAGATTGAGGATGATGTGTTTTTAGGTTTGAATTCATTGGAAACTCTAAATTTGGCTTACAATAAACTTACAATTTTGAGAGATGGGATATTCAATAATCTGACCTCCCTGAAAAAGCTCCATCTTTCTAAAAATGAAATAACAGAGATTGGGGATGATGTGTTTTCTGGTGTAAAATCATTGCAATATCTATATTTGGGTGGTAATAAGCGTGCTATTTTGAGAGATGGCATTTTCAATAATCTGACATCCCTGATACTACTCAATCTTAATAATTATGAATTAACAGAGATTAAAGGTGGTGTGTTTTCCGGTTTGAATTCATTGCAATATCTACATTTGAATAACAATAAATTAAAAATGTTGAGAGATGGCATATTCAATAATCTTACCTCTCTGATAGGGCTCTATCTTGGTTATAATGAAATAACAGAGTTTAAGGGTGATGTGTATTCTGGTTTGAACTCATTGCAACATATAAGTTTGGCTAGCAATAACTTTACAATTTTAAGAGATGGGATATTCATTAATCTAACCTCCCTGGTATGGCTCTATCTTCATATTAATGAAATAAGAGAAATTGAGGATGATGTGTTTTCCGGTTTGAATTCACTGCAAATTCTACATTTGGGTGACAATAAACTAACAATTTTAAGAGATGGCATATTCAATAATCTGACATCCCTGATACAGCTCAATCTTCATTACAATGAAATAACAGAAATTGAGGGTGATGTGTTTTCTGGCTTAAATTCTTTGCAATTTCTAAATTTGGGTGGTAATAAACTTACAATTTTGAGAGATGGCATATTCAATGGGCTGACCTCCATGGTGAAGCTCTTGCTTTATAAAAATGATATTACACAGATTGAGTCAGGATCATTAACGAACCTTTATAATCTTGAATATCTTGATCTTAGAAACAATGAACTCCAATCAGTACCAAGAGATATATGTAGATACATGCCAAAATTGACAAAATTATACTTGATTGGAAATAACATTTCCACTATAACAACTCAAAACCTTGATAACATCCAGGCAATAAAGGAGTATTGTGTTGCAACAAATGAATCGATTCAAACAACACAAGAATCGATACAAACAACACAAGAATCAAAACTGGTAACACAAGAATCTAGACAAACAACTCAAAAATTAACGCAAACAACACAGGAATCTACCCAGGCAACAAAGTCAACTACCCAAACAAATGAACCATTCCCCCTTTCATTTGAGATTGGTTTAGCATGTGGAATTTCAGTGTCTGTTGTGTTTGTCATTATTCTCGTCTCTGTTATCATATGGAGAAGGAAAACGAACCAAACTCCTATAAAATCTTCTGTGGAAAATAATCAAGAATATGTAAATGATGCTTTTAGTGATATGGATATTGCAATGAACAGTAATTCTCAAACAAATGACACACATATAACTGCTGACAATAACACTTCCGAGTCCACATTAACGTCACCATATGAAATGATCAATACGACTGACTCTGATTATGAAAATACTTATCAAACAATTTCAAATGACACAGATTCAAACATCATTCATAATGAGGCAAACCAGGAATATGTTAACCAGGCCATTGTAAATGAAAGCAGTTCACGTGGAAAATATAATGCGACCGACCAGGATTATGAACATGTGAACTAAACATCAAGACTGATATAGTCCAAGTCAGACCATACTTGTATATAGGGGTTTGAATAGCATCAGACATGAGTCAATTTTCTCGGTTGTCTTTACCCAAATCCCCCTTTGCTCTTAGGAATGTTGCGTCTAATTCCATGTCGAGATTAAACTTTCAAACGAGTTTGCCTACTGTTAGCTGCATTATAAACCATTGCATATCTACATGTACATGTAAGCCACGTTTCTTTGAAACAGGAGGATATCAAAATAATGATATATTATGTAACAAGATGATTATATGTATGTATTTGAGATATGCGTACAATTATATAACTTGAAACGATAATGCTAAACAATATGATATCAACAATGAAACGAATCTAAAGTTATGAAAGTTAAAGCCGTAAGTGAGCACAGACTTGGCGTTCTTCAAGTCCATTATGTAAGTGCTCACAATAAACAAATGTAATGTAAAAATGTGCTGTTTAATTGTATCATAGACTTTAATAAGGTTTTCATTACTTTAATGCTGACACGTACAGTAGTTTGTATTATTTTCATTGAAGTTTTTCATGTTTGTATTATTTTCATCATTGTGATTTGATTTACTTTTATTGCAGTTAGAATTGCTTTTAATGTAGTTTTAGCCTATACTTGTATGCTGTATATGTTATTAATTTCGGGCTATTTTTGTAACATTTAATTTGAAGTCTCCAGTAATTACTGAATTAATCAATATCAAAACAGAGAATAAATGAAAGCCTTGCCCAAGTCGGTATTTTTTCACTTATCTGATCTTGAATTATTACCGCTGGTCATAATAGAAATCAAGATAACTCAAAGAGACCGACTTGGGCAAGGCTAAATAAATGATAGAATATTCATATTTATGCCTTTTTTGTAGTATTTCAATGATATCTATCATTCCCTATTCGTTTAGAATTTGGCAAAGTTAAAAGGCCATGTTCTTAATTTTCTAATGGACTTTGTAAAAGCTGTCAAATCTGAAATTTATCACAGGTTGATCATCGAAACCTTTGTTTGTTGTTTAGAGCTGCATTATGTGTAATATATTGACATTTAAAGGACACAGGGTAGCTCTTTCTGATTAGAGACCTTTACTGTTGAAGACAGAATTAGATCACTTGATTTTACTAAAATATTGTTATCTAGAATGCATGTTGTTATTTACAGTACTTGATTTGTTTTTTTTATGTTATGATATATTTGAAATCATTACACATTTTTGTATATTGTGTACTCTTTGCTATTGTAAATAGGCAATACTTTAGACGGTCCTTCAATATTGGAGGCTATATATCAAATAAATGTATGTAATATAGCGTTAGATAAATAATGATGTAATATAATATATCAAAATGTTTTATGTTGGTATGTCTGTCCCGGATTATGTGTAAACGAATGGCATGTATGAATTACATGTAGATTGATATCAATAATTATCGAAATGATAAATTGTTATAAAATTGTATGTTCCAGAGATGGACAGAATAATTTAGTCACTGGTGATCCGCTCGATTACGCTGGTTACCGAAACGGTTCGTAGCTCAGAAGACAACAGAATCGTCGATTTAATTCCTCACTTAAGTTACATAAACGGTAGGGGTTAAAAGTGCAGATCTGAACTGTTTTTCGAAATACCGTTTATGTAACTTAAGTGAGGAATTAAATCGACGATTCCGTTGTCTTCTGAACTATTTGTTCGCAAATGTGTACATCTTCTGTCATGGGAATTCTGCCTACATGTGAAATAAGGAAAAAAGAAAAATCGTACCTTTGACGTTCCGACATTTTGTTACCGAAACGGTTCCAGCATAATCGAGTGGATCACCAGTGTTAGTGACTGTAAAACTTAGTAAGTTTCAAAAGGGCTGTATTTTTGAAAATACTTTGTCGACTGTGGTGCAAGTGAAATTGATACGGTTGTGTATTATTCAATTGTTTTACACAGCGGTATTTCGCACATACTATTGTACAAGGTATAACTCCGATCTAAGGATCTTAATAATTAAAATCTCCCCCCCCCAAAAAAAAAGCATATACAAAAATGCAGCCTTAGTCAACTGATCTTTTTCCTGAGTTTTAACAATCTTTCTTTTAATGTGACCTCCTTTCTTTTATCAACTCATTTTGAGATGAAACAACTATATCGGCTTGTCCAAAAAGCAATTAATTAATTATATTTTTATTTTATTTCAAAGTAATATTTTAATCAATAATTTAATGGTATTCTAGCCCAATCAAAACTACTACCGACATCTTTATTTCACTATATACAGCTAGTTATCTATTATCATCAAGTTGGATCTGTTGATTTATTAAACAACACTGAGTCCCTGTATTTCAGTGTATACGGTTCTGACCTCCTGAGAAGAGGCTCTAAAGGGTCATTGTCTCTCGGTTCATCGTAACTGGTTGATATGATAACATCCCTTTCTGCCCTCTTTTTCTTGACATTCCTGCTCAGTTTTTCACCATGATACCTGGAAATGAAAGTTATATCAAATTTGACCTAATAACACCCTATGGTTAAAGTAAAGATGTATCAGTTCTTGTTACTCCGTTTCATCCAAATGCCAATACAGTCTTGCATCAAGTATCTTAATCACACCCTCATCGAACTTCTGCACCTCCCCGTGGGTTGAGATTTGGTGTGAAGTCTTAAGGGCTAACCCTTTTCTTGCTTTTTCTAATTTGATTGTACAGGGTGAAGCAAAAGTTTTGATTTTAGCTTTATTGTACACAGTGAACCAAAAGTTGAAATATAAGCCAATAACTGCTCAATCTTGTAACACCAGTACATCATAAGTGAATAAATCTAAAATAAATGGGTTGCATTTTGGGGTCACCTTGTAACTATATTTTTGTAACTGTCCCCTTAACCACAATATGTATGATATTTTGTATTAAAACATACCCTAATCCAGATTTATCTCTTGGTTTCTGTCCTTCTCCTTCAAGTGCTGTAGATATACCTATTCTACTACCTCCTAGACCAGCCCCCTCCCTCCAGCCTTGCTTCTCCAGCACTTTACGACCAACACCCTATCAAAAAAGGCAGATGGGTATATGTATTAAAAATATACAAATAGTATGGTTTAATGCCAAAGCATTAAGAAATTAATGAATAACACATCACATTAGATATTATAAGAAAAGCCTATTGTCTACATGAGTGTTAATGCCCATGGGTGTTAAACTGAAAGATCTTTCAATATTTAAGCCCATGGGCGCTTAAACAGGTAGTATCACAATAATGTTTGAATTAATGTATCAATGATAACATTTCATTAAAGTTAGTGCCACATCTGCACATTGTTATACCTTTGTGAACTGTTCAAATTTTCCGACGCTTTCATCCTCATCTTGTAGACCTTCGCGACGTCTCTTTTCTCGTCGCATTGTGACGTGATCCCTTGCGTCCTTGTCTCCACCAGTAGGGTCGTAGTATACACTCATGTCTACATCCCAATCATCTGCTGTCTGCTCATCGAAATCTGAAAAATCCCATTATGCATTTCAATCAAACATCTACAAATCCCATTTTGCATTTTTAAATAAATGTCCTATTAATTTTACATACAAAAAAAGAAGTACAGGGTGGTCCAAAAAAAATGGGACACTCGTATTTTGAAAATAGATATTGATTTTCTTGATGAAAACGTGACATATTATATACCAGTGGATAGGGAATTTACTTATCTTTAATTTAGATCATAAGTTCAAATTTATTTTAATGTCTGTCAACCAGCGTCCATAATATAAATGACGTCATTTTCGTTTCAAAACGGGTTTTCCAAAAGTAGCAAAAACCAAGTTTTTTTGTCAACTTTATTTACATAAACAGATGCTCAATATGTCCACCATAATTTTGATTAATTGTAGCCCTCAATTTTGGCCTAAATTGGTCAATAGCATCATTGATATGCTGTTAAGACAATGGATTTCACTTCTCAACAATTCTGTCCTTAAGGGACTGAATAGATCTTAAGGATTTATGGTATACCAATTCTGTCAGTCCTCCCCATACGTGGTAGTCGCAGACGTTGGGTAATCGGGTGATCTGGGCGAGGCAGTGATTAAGGGGAATGAATCTAGGCACATTTTCCTTTAAACATTTGACACTCTTGTGAGATCTATTGCTTGGAACCCCATCTTGTTGGAAAATGTAATGATTCGAAAATGAGCTCATATCAGGATGGTCCAAAAACAACATAATTGGATCATCCGATATCAATGTCTGTGACTACCGCGTATTTTGAGAACTAACAGAATTGGTTTACCATGAACCTTTCACATTTACTCAGTCCCTTAGGGACAGAATTATTGAAAAGTCGAATTCACCGTCTCAACAGCATGTCAATGATGCATTTGACCAGTTAAGGCCAATATCTAGGGCTATAATTGATCAAAATGGTGGACATATTGAGGGTCTATTTATGTAAATCAAGTTGACAAATATTTGGTTTTTGCAAGTTTCGGAAAACCTGTTTTGAAACGAAAATGACGTCATTTATATTATGGACGCTGGTTGACAGACATTATAATAAATCTGAACTCATGGTATACCAAATTAAAGATAAGTAAATCCCCTATCCACTGGTATATAATATGTCATGTTTTCATCAAGAAAATCAATATCTATTTTCGAAATACGAGTGTCCCATTTTTTTTTGGACCACCCTGTATATCCACTCAATAAATTGAATTATTTTTCTCAAATAATTTTCATCAATAACAGAACATATCTAATTTTAGTTGTCTAATTTAAGAATAAGTCATTCATCTAATTTTTTTATTCAAAATAAAAAGCAAAGTATATACAACATATTGCAGTAAGTGTTTGTACAATACAAAATCATTTTCAAAAATCAATCAGTTGTCAAAATGCAATCAGCTAAATAATAAATGCTGGTATTGTTCTGCTTACCAACAGCAATGTAGTTTTTTATTGACGTTACATTTAGTCTTAGAGACTGTCATAAATATTGGTGCTAAATATAAACATAAATATAAACAAAAGCATTAACATGACAAAATGTCACCACCTTGTAAGTTATTGTTACAGATGCTGAAATCTGAACACCTAACTACGGGGGGGGGGGGGGGGGGAGATTTCCCAAAGATGACCTTTCATATTGACACATTCGAAAACAAATTTTATTAACAGGCCTCATTTGCCATTGAACTGAATCTCCCAATGTTCGCTGTAGTTTTATGAGTATTCTCTACAAGTATGGATCGAGTAACTTCAATAGTATTGACATAGGTTTGAAATGATGGTGTTGAACTGAACGCCATTCAAATTTAACTTTGAACATGCACAGCACTGAGAGAGCACGTGCTCATGATTGTTCACGTGATCACATCCTGCAATTCGATTGGAGATGATGCGGGAGATGACGTAGTGGGGAATCCTCGATTCCAATAGAATATGAAAGAATTATGGGAGCTACTCACTTCTTCTGCCTACCACCAATCACTGAACAAAATCACAAAAAAATTGGAGACCATAACAATGTCACTCCTTTGGTGGTGATATAACAAAAAGGATTTTGATTGAACAGGCTTGTGCCATGCGTTGCCCTCTCGTAGTTAAAAAGTTTTATTTTCTCATTTGCATTCATTTATGGTTCCAGGGGCCACAACTCACCGCCCTCTTCCTTAGCCCAATATTGAGCATCGGTGTAAAATACGAGACCACTTCCTCCTTTCTCCCATTTCAGTTCAATCTTCTCTTCAAACAATCGTTCCTTGTTACGCTCAGCGTTAGAAGGGTCATCATGTAATGCCTCATGTCGCTCCCACTCTTCACATGTGTCATCATCCTAAAAAAGAATAAAAAATAAACATTTTCTCTTAATTTTTTTCTACAGATTGGGTTAATTTGGCGCTACTTAATTTGGCGATTTTGCTATTTTTTGCATATTGGTGACTATTTAATTTGGTGGAAATTTCAGATTTTACAAAAACTAAACTGGAAGTGACTAAAACACCTGACAGAGTTCCCTGAAAAATTCCTTGGGATCCTTGCTAAATTCGCCAAATTAAAGCGGGTGCCAAAATCACATTTACCTAACTTTAAATGATCTGTACAAAGGATGCTTGAACATGTTCGTTAAAGATTACTTGGTACTCATAAAAACCTTAATGCATTTTGAAATGAAATCATTACACTACATGTATTTAATATTATATCTCATGAATTTCAATTACAGGGACAATGTACAGTGAAGTTGACAACGCACATTTCTGATTTTATATGGAAGCTTATTTATTTCTCTGTGGCTGGTGATTGAGTTACTCCTGATTTAGTACACATGTTCAAATTGCACTAATATGGCAAAAATACAAATCGATCAACTGCACCATTCAAATATGAGAGTAAAATACCGAACAGAACAATTTATTAAGAGTACGCTGGTACATCCGGGAACTTCTAGTAACGGTGAAATGAAAGTAAAGTAATTTTTTTAGATTAATGGTTCATTTCGACTAGCTAAAACAGTTTTAAAGCGAAAGAATATCAGGAAACATTGGAAAATGAAATAAGACATGAGAAAGGTAAGCGATTTGCATCAAAATAAGAAAAGAAAGGGTGAGTTTTTGCAAATTGATTTTTTTAAAAACATCGATGTTTTGTTTCAGACATTGATGCATCGCCAGAATCAGCTTTGGCGATGTATATCGCGATGTATCGATTAATCCATTCGCGACAACACTACTGTTAACTGGTATGTGAGAAGAGAATTGGGAGGTGGGGGGTCATACATTTGATACAACACTATCCAATATCTTACCTCTCCTGAACTGTTGCATTCTGGGATCATATCCTCCTCTATATTTTTGGCTTTCAACTTTTTTGTTTCATCCTTTTCCAATTTTTCTCTTTCTCTTTTGCTCATATTACTAAGTAATCTGTCATGTTCTTTTTCTTCATTTTCTCCGGTGATTAAATGACCCTGAGCAGTTTTTACATCTTCTTCTATTGTATCATTTTGTGAAGTATCTTCCACATCACCCCCATAGTCAAATGGAACATTCCCATATCTCTTATTAGTTCTAGTCTTTGGGAAAGTCAATCCTAGTTTTTTAATCACTATTGGGGGGAGTAAGCATTTATTTATGAGATCAAGAAATATTTGGGTAGGTGTTCCAACATTGCCATGTGGCATTATGTCTGGTGGTTTAAGTTCTATTAAACCATCTAGGTCTGCTTGTGTAAAAGTCTCTCTATCACTGGCAATAGTTTTACTTTCATGACGTGTCTTAAACTTATCTGCAATAGTGTCTGAAAATAAAATCAATCCATTAAAAAGCATCTGAAACATAGAGAGAATTCATCTGGCATCAGAATTTGATCTGACATTTCCCCAAAAGCTCAAAAGTTGAAAAATACATGTACTACACACACTGTAATAAAAAAGTATTTAACTCCTAAGCAGGGCCAATATCATTCAACTGGCCCCAAATGCTGTTCTCTATTAGTTTCTTAACATTCTAGGACTTCAGATCAATACAGACTAAAATTTAGGATGTAAATTCTGGGGAATTAGAGGAATAATTAGGGGATGGGGTATGATGAGAAGTAAGTAGAGAATGAAAGGGAGGAAGCGTGGGTCAAACCTACCTTGTATGTAAGAAAATCCTGTATGTCATGAGACAGTGAAAATGAAATGTTCAGTAGTTGATCCGTGGGGCCAAATTACCCCCATAAATATGAGCCTGTTATGTGTTACCTCTTATTTTTGACATTTTTTAAGAAAGACATAAATCAAACCTCACATTTATAGGGTTAGGCTACATGTTATCAACTCTGACATCACATTTAGTGGCCTCACACAGGGCCTCGTCCCACCTTTTGCAAACCACACAAATAGATAAATTAAAGTGAGGGACAAAAATAAATCTCAACCCTCAAAAGTTGTCACAATGAGCTAAATTCTAAGTTTCGTGTCTCACACTCTCCCAAGCGGTAGAAAAATAATTCCCATTCAATTTAAGTAGCACAATAAATGAATCCAAAGCTTCATATCTGCAAATGATGGATAAATCCCTCCCAAAACGAATGAATTTTTTCATGAATCGCCATGTTTGTGATCCAAGGAGGATTATGACTCCCAGAATGCAACATCAAGTAAACTTATTTACTTGTGACCGATTTCAAAATGGCGGAACAGCATTTTGAAAGCTGACACGTTTCATGTTACATTCTGGGAGCCAATCCACATTGACGGCGTGATCGGGCTCCAAAATCACCTCAACATTTGAAGAGTCGGCATTAGCATGTGAATTCCACTTACAATTTTTAAGTTCTTATTTGTAATTATGGACACGAATTCCACTGTATCTGGACTTACTAGGATGGAGAAAATAGAGCTCTGAATACACTGAGGTAAGAATTTATTACAGTACATGTGCGACAGCATGTAATTTCCATAGCTTTTGTAATTCTTTATGGTGAGCACTGTATACATGTATGTTACACAAGCTAATATTCATTATTCAAACATATGTACACATACCTTTGTCAGGTAATTGAACTGGATCAATGCGACATAAGGAACGGATAGATTCTCCTTTCCGATTCAACCAGTGCTTTCTGTGATACATTGATATAAGCTTTAGACGATTTATAGGAGTCAGTTTCACAACACAACACATTGTATTTCTACTTGCTGTAGTATTCGCAGAAATTTCAGAAGTCCAAACTTTGCAAAACTGAGTCAAATCAAAACTTTTCTGTGCTGAATTTGTGTCAGCAATTTCATTTTTAGATTGAGTTTCAGTTAATTTTTTCTCAGAATATTTATCTTTGTTTTTCTCCTTTTGTATCTCAGGTCGGTGCCTGAAATGAAAACATTCGAATCCCCCACTTTCAAGGAATTGTGAGAAATAATTCCGTAGGTCTGAAGAGTGGTAGAAGGGTGGGATATTCCCAATAACAGCGTAGCAAAAACAACTTCCGTCTTTTACCTCGTTCGCCATGTTTGGGTATTTCCCAATGACGTCATTTGGATTTTAAAAAATATTTCACGCTAGTATTTTGACGCCTACACATATCTAATCATCGATAAAAATCAGATATGAAAAATTTAATCCTAGCTTTATTCTATTGTACTGAAATTTGAAATAACAACATCCTTGCAGATCTTGAATGGAAATATCTATTTCATGAAACAAGTTTGAGACACCGGAAATCCCCACCAAATTTTACATGGGACAGTCTGATAAAAATGACCCCATAGCGGGGGAGATACAGCATCCACGTGAAAAACATATAAGTGTTGATATTTTCCGAGATACTCCACTTCGATACCTAGGTAAGATGATCTCACACAATGGATCAAATCATTACAACAATTGATTTTATCTTATTATCGCCCACTTACTCCATTCACTTTTCTATCCGTCAATCAAATTCAAAAAAGGTTATCAATAGACAAGAGTGCAATGTTATATGGATAAAGACTTTCACATTTTACATGCAAAACGTTTGCCCATGTTTTATGATTTGACTAAAAATAGATTTTCTACCTGTAATAACTGTCAATGTGGTCTGAATCCCAAAAAGTCCAAATCCCAATCGTCGGAATCCCAATCATCCGAGTCCCAATCGTCTGAATCACGCCTAGCTACACTAACTTTAATATCAAGATAAAGTCTATATTAGAAATGTGTAAACGTTGAATAAAACATCACATTGATGTGTAATTATTGAATAACATTGATTCCCAATTTAGAGTCCATTTCACTGCTTCAGTTCGTCAGATCTACTAACTGACCAACAGCACGGGTTTACACCTGGGAGATCATGCTGCACTCAACTCCTGACGGTCATGGAACAGTGGACAAAACTAATAGATGACGGGGAGCCACTAGACGTAATATATTTTGATTTTTCGAAATGTTTTGATTCAGTGCCACACAAGAGATTACTGGAAAAGATCAACTCCTATGGAATCCAAGGGAATCTACTTAAACTTATGGAAAACTTCATCACTAACAGGAAACAAAGGGTTAGAATAAATGGAGAACTATCTGAATGGAGGACCGTAACCAGTGGAGTAGCTCAGGGAAGTGTGTTAGGGCCGATCTGCTTTCTGATATACGCCAACGACCTCCCTGATGTAGTAACAACCATAGCTAAAATGTTTGCAGATGACACCAAACTATATGCTCCAGTCAGCAGTGCAGAGAAAATACAAGGGCTGCAAGGAGGCATAAACAATCTAGTAGAATGGAGTAACAAATGGCTACTGAAATTTAACAAAGACAAATGCAAAGTGATGCATCTTGGCTCCAACAATCCAAAACATGACTATACAATGGAAGGCGAGAAACTAACGACAGTAACAGAAGAAAATGATTTGGGAGTTACAATTGATAATGAACTTAAGTTTCATAAACAAGTGGATAAATGCACAAGTAAAGCCAATAGTATACTTGGGGCCATAAGATACACCTTGACATACAGAGATAAGGATACACTGATACCATTGTATAAGACTCTAGTCAGACCTCACCTGGAATATAATAATGTAATCTGGTGTCCAAGGTATCAAGCAGATATAAGCAAACTAGAGAAAGTTCAATGTAGAGCGACCAAGTTAATCAATGGTTTACAAGATCTACCATATGAAGAAAGGCTAAGTAGTCTCAAACTCTATTCCCTGGCATATAGAAGGAAACGCGGAGATATGATCCAGGTGTATAAAATACTGAACAATTTAGAAAATCTTGACAGTGGATTATTCTTCACCAAACATGACAGTGCAACCAGAGGGCACAGGGACAAACTTTATAAGCAAAGGTCCAGACTAGATGTAAGGAAAAACACATTCAGTCAACGCATCATTAATGATTGGAACAGTCTCCCTACAGAAGTGGCACAGGCAGAAAATCTGGATGTCTTCAAGACAGCTCTAGACAGACACTGGGTGTATCAACACTACCGGCTATAGGTTTCCCCCCTTTTTTGTCCTTAAAGTTTGTACTAAAGCTCAGATCTAAACTATGTTTGAACAGATGAGACTAATAACTGGAGTAACCAACTAGTCTTAATACTGATGATGATGATGATGAGTAGAACGGCAAAAATAAGAAATTGGGAGACCATTGTGCAATAATATATGGAAAAGTATATTCATAATGTACATGAATGACATTTGTATATCTTGGATTGCTTCTAGTTTGGCTTATAAAGTGTGTGGCCTCTTATATTTGGATGTTTCTCTGCCATGTTATTTTCAATAAGATGAACATGGCTGAAATTCTTTAAATTACAAGACGACACAGGCTTATTGCACAAAAAACTAAAAAATCTGAAATATACAAATGTCATTCATGTACATTATGAATATACTTTTCCATATATTATTGCACAATGGTCTCCCAATTTCTTATTTTTGCCGTTCTACTGACGAACTGAAGCAGTGAAATGGACTCTAGACATGGTTATTCGAAATATTACATTCAGCATTTTACACTTTGTACTTTTTGCTGCCGTCAATGTCAGGCTGTCTTTCTAATTTGGTTTCAACAGAAGAGTGAATCATTTGCTCGTAACTAATTACTGAATGTGCAACAATTAATTTGAATAATAAAATAAGTGCGTTATTATTCAAAGGCCTCATTTTTGTGTTTGCCGTACCTCTACACATATATCTGCTCTTAAAGAGAGGAACAACTTTCAGATAGATTTTGTCAACGGAATTGCATGCAGGTCTTAGATACATCAAGCTAAACGTTATTTGCAAGATCTTTCTCTCATGATATTAAATTTAAATACCAGTATCATATCGACAATTGTTAATTTTCGGATCATTGGGTTTCGGATAAATATGATTCAGACTAATGGTATTTGGACGATTGGGATTCCGACCATTGGTATTCAGATGAATTGGATTCAGACCATTGGGATTTGGACCAATGGTGTTTCCTTGTATCAACACGTGAGAGCATATGAAGTGGCCCACTCTAATTTCTATTGATCTTGATGCATGTACTAGTGGTTTAAAACAAACCAAAGCATTTTCTTTGTACACTTTCACCTCAACGATAATATTAGACGTCAAATGCTTGACAGGCTTAACTGATTTATTCACCATGCTTTGCGTAATTTTTTCTTTCAGCAGATTAAAACAAGAAGATAAAATTGATGCTCTTTTGTAGGAATTAATTCCTTAAATTAAATAGAGAAATTTGAGCTATTTCTGATGAATAATATCACACTCTCTATTCTTTAACATACACAACCAACAAATCAACATGTAAAAATTTTGATACAATACAGGTATCTCCTGGATTAGTTAGTGAGTTTTAGCCATTCAGCCATCATTTCAGTCCAGTGTAGCTTGCGGTGCAAGACACGTTTAATTGTTATTTTTATATTTTCCAGGTTATGCAAATGAGGTCGGGGAAGCATTTAGAGCTCTGGTACATGTGAATGTTGTGCGGCTCACGTATGTTGCAGCGAGTTCATACGTTCTAGCAGATGCTACAAGCAAAGCTAACGATGCCTCTCAGGTATTTGAGCTGCTCTTGGATTTTTTGGCCTATTAGATCCCAGGGTATTTTCCTTTTTATTTATTATTTAACCACTACAAGTGGTGACATATTGTTGTAGCTTCCAACATTTTGTGGATGGTGTTCGGCATCCAGTGGTCGGCTTGAGGAGTTCAGTATCTGTAGTTTAACAAATGGCAGGTAGTGACATTTTACATGTTAACAATTTTTTGCTACTTTATGATCTTAATATACATTATATGCTGCTCAATTTGGTTTAGGGGAAGTAAAAATTAAATCAATTACCACATACATTATCATAAAGTTTGTGAAAATTTGTTCAATATTGTTCTTTTTAAAGTTAAAGCAATTTTCACTGAAACAATGTGACAGTCTTGTCAATCTTAGTGTACACTGTATATGTATTAGAGATGTCACTTGGGAGTTGGGACAAATCTTTTTTTGTAATATTCAGCTTCATGTTTATTAGATGTTGTAGTACTCTTTGTGATGAAAATGTCTACACCTTTAAATGTTTTAATTTTTTATGGTTTCAGTTGCGTTGGAAAACTGATGCAATAAAGAAAAGAAGGATGAAGCACGCTTTTTTCGATGCCCTTATTTGGCAAGGATTAGCCTCGGTAGCCATACCAGGGTTTACAATAAACCGACTCTGTGCTTTGTCGAATTATGCACTGCAACGTTCTAGTCGCCTCCCACAGGGAGTAAGAAAATGGATTGTAACAGCCATAGGATTGTGTGCTATTCCAATAATCATTCAGCCCATTGATAGATCAGTAGATTATATGATGAATCAGACACTAAGACCATGGTACCTGGAAATTCCTGGGGATGAGGAGCTAATTCATCACCATAGAGATGACTAAATCATCATAAGATGAGTTATTTATCACTATAGAGATGACTAAATCAAACTCTAGATGCAATATGACAGAACTTATGAACCTTCTTAGCGAAGTTGGTTTGTCAAATATATGCAAGGACAATCAAGCAATAGCACAAACAAAACCTGTCCTGAATCAGGATAAGTTAAAGCAGATATGAAATGGTATTTTTTAACCTAAAGGAATCAATACAATTTTTTGATAAATGTATTTGGACATATTTTCTCATCAGTAGTGCGAAAACTATTTCACTCTAACGATCGTTATAGCTGCTTAATAAGCAATATTCGAATTGGTTGTGACGTTATTGGCCCCCACGTGATCTCTCACTGGTCCCCACATGGCCCATAACGTCATAATGCCAAAATGTTTTGTTTTGGTTTACACTACAATCCTATGGTTGCCGTGACGTTGTGATTACTAAGGAACCAATAAACCAAAGCTATATTTTGTATATGACGTTACTTATCACGTGGGGGCCAATTTGATTGATCAGTTAGTTTTATTTCGTTATTTATGACCGTTAGCAGTTATCTAACATTTATTTTATAATGACTATCGCAAGAACTCTACGTTGGGCTTACAAAGGAGAAAACCGCATTTTTGTAGCTGCAAGTTGAGAAAAGCTATTTCAGTTGTCCTTTAATTAGACTAACTAATTCTAGTCAAAATTTGGAAGTTTCAATTATGATTCTTATAATTCTGCAAAATTCTTCATTTATAAGCAAAATTCCTAATTTTGAAAATTGGAGATGGATTGTGAATTTATCATTCATTTTCTTTTGAATGTGTTCAATAATTTTTACTCAAAGGATGATGAGCTTATACAAAAAGGTGCTACAATAGATAGGATATGTTCTAGGTTTTAGTTTTACATTGCATACATGTATATGCAATATGCCATATATTTATTTTACAAATACGCACAATATTTGTATTGTATTTAATATTTATATTATGTACTACATCAGGGTACCTAGATTCTGGAAACCAGAAATCAAACTAAATTAGAAAAACTAAATTAGAACTACTTAAATCATAAACATGCAGTCGGTGAACATGAAATTTTTGTCTCTCATTAATTTTTGATAGATATTTTGCATTCATTATCTAACTTATATTAGATTATCTATGCAATTTTATGATATGATTATCCATGCTATTTAATTTAGAACTGAACACTAACTATGCCAGTTTATAATTCAAGAATATTCATTTATTGTAATATTAAGTAGTCATTAACTTTTTTATATGTATATATGTTGGGGATACAGGGATTACTTGGGCAGGCAGTTTTTCAATTTTTTTTTTCAATTTCAATTTATTTATTTCATAACATAATCATATCAACAACCAGACCATAAGTCCTCACCCAGCCAAAAAGCATTATTTTATTTTGCAGGTAATTGAGACTGTTGATTTCTTAAACATGTGCCATTGAGGTTTTGTGTGTTACCTCACCTATTTAAAAGACCATGTGCAGTATGGCAAGTGATTTTAGACGGTCATATCTTTTTACAATGAATACTTTCTGGGCATAAATACAGTGGTTTTTATTAAAACAATGTTTTCTTTCAAGTGAATTCCCCATGATGATAAAAATATCAATCAAACAATTCGAAAAATTATGAATATGGATCCCCTGTCAACATTTTTTCGAAATGTTGAACCTATTTACTCAAAAGAGAATCTCACTTTTCTGATTTTTATTGCATGAAAAGATCATTCAACAAGGGGTCTAAAACATCTTTAAAAACAGAATGGTATTGAAAGACTAGTTTGAAGATATCAATTTTCGATGATCAAAATTATGCTGAAAACAATGGATAGCATGAGTTTTCCCTATGGGACAATAACATGGGATATGTGGTTTTTAACAAAGCATTTCAATACCCATTCCCTTTTCAGAAATTGTTAATATAACGTAGAGGAGACTTTCGATATGTTTAAATTGAGGAAAACAAGATCCTCTTTTTAGAAAATAAGCCCATCATTTTTTAAAAAGTGCCAAGGTGGGGCCCCAATCCTTAATTTTTCAGAGGGTTGGATTGATATTTTACTTTCACGGGGACTTCACTTTAAAGAAAACATATTGTTTTAATAAAAACCACTGTATTTATTACCCAGAAAATACTCATGATGAAAGATATGACTGTCTAAAATCACTTGCCATACTCCTGGCTATTCCCCTTAATATAAAAATTATATAAATATAATTTTTTATCATATGCGAATTGGTAGCACTGGTTGGTTGATAAAAAGCATTATAGGGGAGTGGGGTATAAGGAGTTAAGGCATAGACCCGCTCTATTGTTGTTATTGATTGATGTTATATTGTATTTTTATTGGCTTGTTTTTCAGCCAAGATGTTGATGTTGGATTGTTTTGAGTTTTTGACTCATTAATAATTAATAAAAGTTGAAATAAATTTGATATTCTTTTTGTTACATTGTATATAGTACTATTAATTTGCAGATGAAATATATATTTTAGTTGTATTATTGACCTATTCAGTGGAAGAAATTAATGGCCATATTTGAGAATATGTTCTTTATGATTTTGAAAGTCAACCGGAAAGGTCTTTAGTTGTATTGTTAGTCCGAAAAAAAGTATCACACGGAGCAGACTATGTAGACTATGAACATTCTAGACTTAACTAATGCAACCAAGTCCCCTCCCATCACTCAATCATCACTGAGTTGTCCTGAGTGAAGCTCACCCTTATGCCTTGGTCACAGTTGCTCCGATTTTCACTACGGCGCCTGGCCGATTGAGTATTTTGTTCAAAATTGAACACAATATTGAACAAAACACTCAATCGGCCGGGCGCCAGCCGATGGCATCCTTCTTCAAAGGACTTCATTTATGGTTAAATTCAGTATATAGTGTAAAATACCCTTGCAGCAAGGATGGCTGATGGATCGGTGCATATGTGACCAAGGCATTATGCAGATGGAGCCTGTGGTAAATAATTGGTGCGGCAGAAATAAGCGTTTGTTGCAGAGGCAACGGTCATTTTTGAATTTAAAGGAATACTTCTGATACCAAGCTGTTTTGGGACTTCAAATATATACCCATTTTATACCACAATTTTTTTAATTTATTAAAATCAATGTAACATTTTACAGTTGTAGTGGCTATGACCCCCAAGAGGGAGTATTAGGTGCCACATAATCACTGGTGATCCCCACGACATTTTTTTCTCACAAACGTGTATCAGTATCATACATATGTTTTAGAAAATGTACATGTTTGCGAAAAAAAAGCTCAGAAGACAACAGAATTGTTGATTTAATTCCTCACTGAAGTTACATAAACGGTATGGGTTAAAAGTGCAGATCTAACTGCTTTTCGAAACACCGTTCATGTAACACAGGCCTGTAGCCCCTGGCCAAAAAACTTTCCAAATTATGCAGTTTTTCACCATTCTGAGCACTTTTTAAGTGATTTTGGCCATTTTTGGACCAAAATTGTTACAAGTGAACCCCCCTGGAATTTTTCAAATAGTGAACTCCCCCTTGGCAAATCCTGGCTACGGGCCTGTAACACATGGAAAGAAGTGAAATACCCTTAGACGAAAGATGACCAGGGACTTCACTTTGTAATTTCCCATACAGAGGAATTTCTTTTTGCATGGATGCGGATCATATATGATATGGATTTTTATGTCACCTCTACAAGTGGTGATTGATGCTATAGTCTTCAACTTTTTGTGTTCAGTGGTTGGTGTTCAGCGCTTTGGTGTTCGGCACTTTGGTGTTCAGCGTCTATAACGAATTACAGGTGACAACATTTGGCATGTTAATGCCTTGTTCTCATCATTATTATGCTATTTGTCGTCATCCTCCTTTGCCCTATTTGGAGAATACAATTAGGATATCGGCAAAATACAATAACACAATTTTGTCTGTTTGTATATTACTAAAATATATATTTCATTTGTAACTGCAGTATATGACAAAATCAACTATATACAACTAAATAAAGCATATCCTTGATTACATTGAATAATTCTGTTGAAAATAGATCAAAATAGGGATAAAGTCACACACATATTTTTTATGAAAATCCATTGAAAGGGGGATCTTTTACATTTCAATATTTCCAATGCACAACTTTTATGAACAGACAGACGTTCAATGTGGAATTATTCTACTAAATTCAATGTATACATAGACACCTTTTACAACCAATCAGCAACTTTTGGATGTTCAATCCCTAAATAAACAGTTGTGAATAATGAATAACACCATCCACCAAAATATCATTTCTGTCGTACAATCAACAAATGAATACCATGTAAGAGTGAACCTGGCAGATGGTAGGTAGAGCATGGTTCATACACATCAGCTAAAATTTTTAAGGATTATCCTGATTGCCCCTACATACACAAGCATGTAGCCAGAGGGGGGGGGGGGGGCAAAATTCAAAATCATGCAATCTTAACCTTTCTGAGCACTTTCAAGTGATTTTGGGTCAACGTTTTTAAATCTCAGAACTCCTACTGGAATTTTTTGAAAAGTGAACCCCCTTGGCAAAAAAGCTATGGGCCTGTTACACAGTGCCTCCTTAAGAGGAGAGCAGTTTGTAAAATGAGGAAATGATCAAACCCTTTGTAATATTTTTTCATGAAAAAACACATCTATATTTTAACATTGCACCTAAAAGGATTCAAATATTCTTATATAAAAATAGTAATTTATCTATAAATAATGTATATTGTATTGCAAAATTTATATCAGAAATGTAAATTGATATTACGGCACACATAATTTGAAAATGATTGCAGAGCTCTATGCATGGCATATACATGCTTTATAAATATCGTGCTTTTATATTGCAGGAACCTAATTTTAAAGATATCTCATTAAAGGGCCATATTATGTAATTCTCATCTCATCTGAAAAACTTTAAATTCATAATACTTAATTTACACAATCAATTATTTAGAATGAGAATTACAGCTTTAATTTAACACAATAATACATGATACATTCGATTCTACTTTAATTTTTAATTCTACTGCAGCACAGTCTAATGTTTTCATTCATTTCTGAAGTTCAGCAGTTCAGTCCATATTTATTATTTACACGAATTTTCTTTCTTCATATTTCATAGTTTGATTGTGTTTATATACTGTCACTAATTTAATAGCAGTATGTTCAAATTAAGCAAACAGTGCAGGCCTGATTTCCACATTGCTAATACTAAATGAGTTTTTGTCTCTATAAGATGAACAAAATACTGTATCATCTATTTGTGTCCTTTTTATGGAAATTTCCTTTCAAGTTGGTGCTTTACTTGGAAAATTCCCTAATTTTCAGTAGGATTTTTCAGAAAATCCTCACTGCAGAATGCCCCCAATCCTCTGTGTGTTATGTGAGGATTAGGCCGGGGCTGAATGAGACGAGCTAATCCGATTGGCTTCTCTTCTTGCTTCTTAGTATGCCGTTCCATCAATTTAGCTTTCTCCCTCTCAGCTGAGTCCAGTTTTGATTTGTAGTCCTGCAAATATGTTGTATTTTACATGAGTAAACATTTCAGAAAAGCAAAGAGGGACAAACAGAAAATATCTCCAAAGTCCAGTCCTGTAATCACCCAAAAAATTGAAATATTCTTCACCTAATAAGTAGCACCAAATTCCAGAAAATTTCAATTGCTCACATGCACCTATTGTAAATTTCTCGGGGTAAATTTTCAATACACACTCGAGCAATTCATTCAAGTTTTATATTTACAGAATAGAAAGTTCATATCTAAATCTGTTGACGGTGCAAATAGACTTAAAATATTTTGGATAATCTAGGATCAGGATTACATAGTCTGACTTTTCATTTAAAAAGAAATTAAGATGTAGAATAATTTTCATGAATGTCATACTATATTCTTCCAGCTTATATTCAATGGGAAATTTTGTAGGATTAAGACAACAGTTCATTGGAAAATAATGTTGAAAAAGACGGATTATTAATTTATTTAGCATGATAGAGTTTTGGTAGTTCAATGAATACAATCCTACACTAATTTATAATAACTTAACAATATCATGGAAGTTTGGAGGATTAAATCTAACTATTCAAACAGTATCAAATAGAAATCATTCACAACATATTTAACAATATCAAAATCATTCAGTAAGATATGACATATTTCTAAATAATTAGTAAACAAGTAGTCACATGCAATAATTCTGAACCTGCAATAACAGAGCATGCATTAATTGAATAAATAATGCACGCACTTCAGATGTTTTGCCATGAAAGACAATCATTATGTTATCATTCGCCAAATAGAGCTCTGTTATCTGATTGGTTCAAAGCTTTTCATATTAAACCAATCAGATTACAAGGAAAGGAAGAAAGGCATTCCTTACAAAGAGGTGTTCAATCAGACAGGTTTAATTGTAGTATGAATAAACAAATTTATCCCATACTTAGAAATATTATATAATTAAATATGGCTTAGTAACATCGTATTAAAAAAAGTATGGGATAAATTCATTTATATTCTAATATGGACAAAAGAATCAAGGGTGGGGGTTGCCTGATGTTTTAAGCTACTAAAGGGTAAAATATGTAAGCCTCCTTGGGAAATCCTTTATCCTAACCCTACCATTGTATAATCTCTATATACAAGGTGGGCCAATAAAAATTGGAACATTTTTCTATTTATTCAATTGTTTTTATTTTTATCTCCTTGTGATAAAATTTATAACCCTTTATCCTAACCCTACCATTGCATAATCTTTATATATATATTTTACACTACTGTTTATAATACAATGCAGCACCAAAGCAGCTCATGTCATGCACTAGTAAATTTTGTTTCAGATAAAACGGATTATGAAAATATATACAGAAGAATGCAGAATCTACTAATTGCACTAACTTTCTGTGTCCCAAGCTTGCAATGCTTTGATTTATTTGTAATCTAATGAACGAAAGTAGTTGTAACTTGTACAATGTGAGAAGGATTTGGGTGTGCATACAGCTTTAAATATTTTGCAAAGTGAGTTGTCATGTAGTTGTGGTAAATAGAATTTTTAACAAGAAATATGTTAGGGAGAGAAGAGTAGCCACCCCTCCCAGTTTTCTGCAAGTTAAAATGGTGAATTCTTCAAGCTAGAGTAGTAGAATATCCAAGTGAAAAAAGCTTTTTCATTTCATATTGAAATATGCTGGATTTCTCTGCATTTTAAGATGAAAAATGAAATAAACATCATACAAGTCATTCATTCAGTCATATCGTCATCTAACAAATAAAACAAAAGAAAGGCACATTTTGGCCGAATTTGTGGCATTCTCTGACTGTGCTCTGTGAAAATAAAACACTGGGAGGAGTGAGAACCCAAACCCCAAGTACCACCTTAATATACTGTAAGTATAGTACCACCATAGTATAGAAGTATAGTACCACCTTAATATATAAGTATTAGCATGCGGAAAAGGACAGTATCTGTAACTGTGATCTGTAATAAACCCAAAATGTATTATTTATAACAGTCAGTGACTTCAAATGGTACAAACTCGAGATTTTCTGGATATACCAAAAGCATGAAAATTGTGAGTCTAGTGAGAAGTATGACAATTCCAAAATGGATTAACTGCATGCACCTTTTTAAATTTTAAATCTTAAGCTACACAAGGAATTTTTTACATGTGTAAATATTTGATTCCAGATATGTCCATTGATTATGCAAGGTTAATTACAGAATTAAAGATACAGGCCCTTTAATCTTAAATCATAGTGCAATGCATTATGAATCAAAGTGCAATGCATTATTTATCATAGTGCATTGCATAATGAATCATCGTACAATTCATTATGAATCATAGTGCAATGCATTATTAATCATGGTGCAACGCATCATGAATCATCGTTCAATGCATTATTAATCATAGTGCAATACATTATGAATCATCGTGCAATGCATTATTAATCATAGTACAATGCATTATGAATCATCGTGCAATGCATTATTAATCAAAGTGCAATGCATTATTGCTGCAGCATAACTCACTCTTCCCCTAGATTAGCATGACATAAGCTGTCTTCTGGTCTGTTTTTTCCGTAACAAGGCCTTATCCCTCTCTGCCTCATAAAGTTTGTTTGCAAGGTGCTAAAACGAATATTTAACGATGTTGTTTCCAGTATGTATTAAATGGTAAAAATTATGCTGTGTTCATAAAGTACATGTTTATTGATGACATTTATGAATACCAAAGTAGTTGCTCTTTCACGAACACAGCTGCAAAATGCTCAGTTTCAGGAAGTTTCTCATTTTTAGGGATGTAACAGCACTCTCAACCAGACATTTTCCTGTATCTCTGAACTGGAATGGAACAAGTCTCAACCTAAATTTCACTCGATTTCAGATATCCTTTGTATGTCAACCTACCTTGATATTAGCTCAATTAGATACTTACATTCACAAATAAAATTCTTAGATTTTCAAAATCAGCAATGAGTTTAGACTACAAAAATGAATGTATTTTTACTTGCACTACCTACAACCTATGACATCACAATCTTGACAATATACCCAAGCTCCTTTAATGAACCAAAAGCTGACAAGGTTTTGGGTTTTGAAAAGGTATCATTACATTTTCTTGAGGCTGTGTGTAATTATACAGGATGCAAATATTAGGAATTACTAATACAACATCTAGCATGCTTTAAATCATACAACTAATCATTAAAAAATTAAACACTGTTTATGTTAAAGGAGTGATGTAAGCAAGGGATTAAAGTAATGACTCCAACTAAACTGTAGATATTTGCAGGTTTAAATATTTTAGATGTGCAAGTTCTACATACTGTGAAATCACTATTTGTGAATCATATCGTACCACCCTGTATAAGATTTCGCTCTGTATAAGATGTCACTCTGTATAGCATGTCACACTGTACAATATGCCACCTCAAACTACATTTGATTACATGTCACTCAGTATAACTTGTCACTCTGTATGTGTCACCCTGTATAATTTGTGAACCTGTGTCACCCTGTATAACAAAATATACCTTTAATTGTGAATCTGCCTCCCGACGCTCAAGCTCCAATTGCTCAAGTTTTTGTCTTTCTTGTTCAAGTAGTTCATCCTGCTGTTTCTTCTGCTCTTCTACGTTCACCCGCTCCAGTTTCTCTTGCTCGAGTAGTCTCTCCTGCTCTGCTCTCATTATCTCTAGTTCTTCACGTTTTTTAGTCTCCTCTTCAAGAAGTCTAATTTGAGAAAGAAAAATGCATAAATTTGGTAGAAAAACAAGCAGTCATTTTTGGACATTCATATTGTTCAAAATGTTGAATTCCATAAAATAACATCCAAAAGCGGCTTTCCACTTAATGGAAAAAATCAAAATGTTGCTTGAAAATCATGTTGGCATAATTATTTGTTTTAACTGAAATTTGTGTGTGTGGTTCTTTGAATATTGTCACTTAAGTCTCAGTCACATTTATTCTATGGCAGCCGTATCTTTACAAAATCCATATATAGAAAATCTACATTATACTGCTTATTCCTATATTTTATGCTGCATAAATTTCTCTTAATTTTGGGAAGCTACGGTCGCCATACTGTTGGCGTAGATCAAATGTGAATGAGGCTTTAAGTAAGCCACAGTGATGAAACTTTATTATTTAAGCAGCCTACTTTGCTTGTAGAGCACGGACAATCTCCTCATCTTTCTTATCCTGTCTTTCTTGGTCTAGAAGATTCTCTAGTTGTTTGTTGATATGCTGTAGGTCATTCAGTCTGGTCCTCTCCTGTTCTAAGACCATCATCTCTTCCTGGAGTTTGTTTTCTACTTCAGCCTTAGCCTACAATATTACACATTACACATGTATCTTGTGTTCTAGAATGTTCTCCAATTCATCTGCATCTTGTATAGCATCATCTATGTACATATATATTTTTGTTCTCAAATGTTCTTCAGCTACTTGCTGTAAGATCATTCAGTCAGACTGTAACTCCTTTATAACCTAGGTTTTTGAAATATGCCAAATCGAAATATACCTAACTGCAATCTTTAACATTTTCTGGTACACACTATTCTGACATACTACTGTTGGTGTAGCAGGTAATATGTGCATATATAAAAAATTCAAACTTACGGTCCTTTCAGATTCTAACTCAGACTCTCGTGCTTTCAAGGTTGCGATTTCCTCCTCCCGTCGTTTTCTCTCCATCTCCAATTCCTCGCGGTTTCTCTCGAGTAACTCATTTTCTTGTTTTCTTTGTTCACGTTCCTTGTCTAGCTCCTCCTCTCTTCTCCTCATCTCCTCCATTAATTCCTCACTCTCTTGTTGTCGTTTCAGTATCTCAACCTGTCAGTCAAATTTTCTGTTTTTATATTTTAGAAGTCACATGACAATATACATTCACAAGTTATTTTTTAGCATTTATCATTTTCAGGAGTGCATCTCCAATATAAAAATGCTGTTTCATAAAAAATAAATAGTCATTTATCAAGTATTAAATGAAAAATAACAGAGTTTGTAATCTATCATCAGAGAAAAACAAAACTAGACAAAAAATGTTCACATTGAGAGGTTTCATTTCAATGGAATTAGTAGTCAGACCATGTCTAACTCAGCTACCAAAAATAACGTAATGTATTTGTGACACAACTATATTCCTACCAAAAGTTCTTGTTTTTGAATCTGTAGCCTCTGAGCTAACTTTTCTGTCTCTTCCAGTCGTTTCTTTTTCTCGAGTTCTAGTTGTTGTTTAGTTTTCTCCATTTCTTCTTTCTCACGTTTCAGTCTTTCTTCATCTTCTGAAGATTTGGCACGTAATATTTCTCGATTCTTACGACGCTTCTGAGAAGCCATTCGCTGAATTGGAACTGTTTTTTGGCAATTGTCAATGGCACTTTGTATTGCTATAATATATAAAGTATACGTGTAATATTTCAAGTGTGGCTGTATAAGTATAGTTATAAAAATACTGTAGGTTTAGTGGTTATTGACCAGAATTGTACAGAATTGGTAACATCAAATTAAACCATGTTAAAATGGGTGCCAAACTAAGCAACATACATGAAGTATTGTATTATGGGTTTCACCTGAATTTCACTTAAAATCCACCTTTAATAAAGGTAATCTTTATTTACATTACCATCCCAACATATTAATTGAATTTATTCTTCCATCCATTTTTATTAAATGTCACCATCCTTTCAATGCAGTTGATAAATTAATTTAAGTAATATTGTCAGATAGTTTTGCATTTAAACCTTTCTTCATATGCACATTCCAAGGCCAACCCATGACAAATGGGGCCCTTAATATGTATACCTGCTATCCACTCATTCTTGCTGCGGACATCAGGAGCTGAGAGTTCATAACTTTTATCCTCCCCACAGAACATAAATCTACTTGCTTTGTTGCTACCTTTTTCAGGTATTGACTGAAATGTATAATATAATTATTTAAACATATATCTTTAACTTAGCACAACAATACAATATAAAATTCAAACATTTTCAACTCACAAAACAACAAAGAAATTCCACATTTAAAGGAACTTTCAAGTACTAAAATGGAGAAATTAGAGATTTCAAGTGCCTCGGAAAAAGAGACTCTTCGTTGTTTCACATTTTATCACACTACTTCTTCTCTGACTATAATTCAGGATTTCAGCTTTGATCATTAAGTTTATGGACTTCCCTATAAAATATAGCCCATAAGATCTTAGCAAAAAACTAAGCCACAAAAGTTCAAAACTCTATGATGCTTGAATCTGCATACCTCTACTTTGCATTTAGTAGTGATGTTCTCTTCGCCCTTGAGTTCCCTTTGGTCTCTCCCTGTGTAATACTTGAGATGATGACGTGTCAGCACTACCCAGCGATCCTTCTGGTTCTGGATAAAGTGTCCCTTTTTTGTTAAAAATCCCTGCAAAAATAACAAATAAGTTACTACAGGGTGGGCCATAAACATTCACATTTTTTATTTTGGCATGAGTAAAATTAAATTAGCAACGAATAATGAGTAATTCTTACCATATTGAGAGCAATCTATTAACAATTTTCAAAGATGTTTCAACTTGCAAAATTATAAGCTTTCAATCTTAACTACTTTAACTCATTCTTTTATAACTTTAATTTGATTGTACTTTAAACGATATTGTTTTAAATATAGGAGAGAAAAGACATATGGTAGTGAAATTCGCTAATTAAATCCCCGGGATTTGTTATTACCTGGGACTTCGATGCATTTCGTTTTGTGTAAAACGTTCGTCCAGTTGGGCGATAAATGGGATATAGCAACAATTTCTCTTACACTGGCTTATTAGATCAATTAGACCAAAAATGACGATGTAATAGAGGTTGGGGTGCAGCTTACCAAGATCTAGCAATTATTCATTTTATCCAAATATTAAATTGGGTTGGATGTAACTACTGTAAAACCTTACAAAATTAAATAGCCGCGAAATTGCGAATCTCAAGATTCACGAAAAATATCATCCTACCTTGTTGGACATTCAAGTTACCATATGCATGGTTCAATTAGACGAAATTAAATTTTGAGACTTTAGAAAAACCACAATTGCAATAAATTAGCTTTAAATTGTGCATGCAGATTTAAAAAGTAGAAATTTCATTATTCTCTGAATCTTCAAGCTTTGTAAACTTAAGTTATAGTTACTTACATATAACAAAACTTGACAAATATGTTCAAGATCATTTACCTTTTTGATGACATCCTTGAAGAACTGATCAGCAACTTCTGTCAATGCTGTGCTTAGTTCCTGTGCGCTGACCCCTTTAACATGGACATATCTCAATTCCAACACATTCAATAGCTTCTTAAAGTCCCACAATTCAACATCTTTGGTCTCAGACTCAAAATCTTTCATCGACCAATCTTTTCCGAGATAAAAATAAATTCTCTCCAACAGATACCCCACCTCTTCTTTAATCATATAAATTGGAAGCACTGGTTCCTCTGTTGTATCACATTCGCATAAAAAATTAAAAAGTTTCCAAAGATTGTGTACGTCCGATTCGTGAATTATTTTATGGTCTCTGTTGAGGAACTGTTTCGAGCAAATCATCCAGCATACATTTTCAAAGTCGTTAAAATATATATTGTTGGTACATTTAATTTCAAGGACGGCGAAGACACCTACTAATGTCAGATAGGAAATATAGTCCTTGAAATTTAGGTCTGGTGTGCTATGATATTCCTCTAGGTCTTCAATGTTTTCCTGGATTCCAAGTGTTGTTTCTATACTTTTTGTCAGAACCTGAAAATATATGGAAAATTTTTCAGTACTGGAAAATATGTCAGAAATTTGTCAGACCTGAAAATATATGTGAAATTTGTCAGTACCTGAAAATATATGTGAAATTTGTCAGTTCCTGAAAATATGTGTGAAAGTCAGGACTTGAAAATAAGTGTGAAATTTGTCAGTACCTGAAAATATGTCAGAAATTTGTCAGACCTGAAAATATATGTGAAATTTGTCAGTACCTGAAAATATGTGTCAGTTCCTGATAATATGTGTGAAAGTCAGGACTTGAAAATAAGTGTGAAATTTGTCAGTACCTGAAAATATGTCAGAAATTTGTCAGACCTGAAAATATATGTGAAATTTGTCAGTACCTGAAAATATGTGTGAAATTTGTCAGTTCCTGAAAATATGTGTGAAAGTCAGGACTTGAAAATAAGTGTGAAATTTGTCAGTACCTAAAAATATGTCAGAAATTTGTCAGACCTAAAAATATATGTGAAATTTGTCAGTACCTGAAAATATGTGTGAAAATTGTCAGTTCCTGAAAATATGTGTGAAAGTCAGGACTGATGTAAAATCTAGTATACCTTCAGAAATATGGAAAAAACAAATCTCCTCCATTGTAACTTCACTGTAGCCTGTATCCCTTTCAAAGAAATACAGTATGGGGGTAGGGTAGTATGAATATTATAGAAAGCTTAATTCCCTGACCAGGAAGAATTCAACATATATGTGCATATAAAGCGGGTCCCAGCTGTTTGACAGTACATGTACAATATGATTTACAGCATGATATGGATTCTGAATCAACTATGAGAATTTAGAACTTTTCCTCCAATGTACAATCACATGTGGTTTAGTTCCTTCTAAGGTTTATATTAGGCCAGAGTAAAGAACAATTGTTTTTTTGTCTTTTGCCTCATTTAATATTTGTTGAGGTCAAGAAAAATGCCTTTTGTCTTATGTCCTCAAAAGAAAATCAAGGTGCTTGGTACTGTTATATATTATAGATATTTCAAATAAGCAGATCAAATTATATAATCAAATTATAACATCAACTGTAAGAAAAGATTTCTCTGTAAGTCAGGGGTTTTATAAGCAAGAGGCAACAGGCAATTTTCACTGGTTGTTTTCACAAAATCGCCTGTTGTTTTTAGAGACTTTTCCATGTTAAATTTATGATTTCCATTAATTTTGCACATGTTGTTTTCATTTATTTAGCCCCTTGTGAGAAATTAAGTAAGTGTAAATTAAGATTGAAGAAAGACATTACACTAAACATTTGATTTATTTACCCTATCCTTATGTAGATAAGTTTATCTTGTTTTCTTAATTTGTTTAATAGAACCTGGTCGACTGGTAAAATAACTTCTTGAGAATAGATTATCAAAGAGCTGTTTTATGTCATTGATAAGTATGACCCAAGAGACCCTTTTCAAGAAGCTGATTTTGTGAGAGATTTATTTATGCTTTTTCAAAAAGAAGTAATCCTTTGAACTCACTTACCGCTACCAATTAGAACACTACCAGTTAGAACAGATACAGTTACGACAGCTACCAATTAGAACACTTGTAGCTACCAATTAGAACACTTACAGCTACCAATTAGAACACTACAGCTACCAATTAGAACACTACAGCTACCAATTAGAACACTTACAGCTACCAATTAGAACACTTACAGCTACCAATTAGAACACTTACAGCTACCAATTAGAACACTTACAGCTACCAATAAGAACAGTTACAGCTACCAATTAGAACACTTACATCTACCAATTAGAACACTTACAGCTACCAATAAGAACAGTTACAGCTACCAATTAGAACACTTACAGCTACCAATAAGAACAGTTACAGCTACCAATAGACTAGATGCGAGTAGAAATAATCTTGATTTACATCATTAAATATTCAAAATTCAGTCAAAGTGATGTCATATTTGAAATCTACATGTAAAAATACATCTAAAAATATGGTATCGAAAATTGTTTATCAACTTTGAAAATTTAATCATTTTTGAAATTGTGACTTCTAGTTCGGGTTGATTCCCCATAGACCCCATATTACAAAATCACAAAAAGTGAAATATCTTTTCTTGTATTGGACATATAACATTTTCTTTTACTGGACATATTTTAATCTGCATAACTATTCGATACATAAGGGCTATATGAGAATTGAACCACTAAAACAGATGTAATTTAAGTTAAAGGGAACTTTCTACTATACCCGCATTGCTATCTGACCCGAGCGAGCCACCTGGTGGTGAAACTGGTAACTACCTACTCGCATTTGCGTTATTAGAACACTTACAGCTACCAATTAGAACACTTACAGCTACCAATTAGAACACTTGTAGCTACCAATTAGAACACTTACAGCTACCAATTAGAACACTTGTAGCTACCAATTAGAACACTTACAGCTACCAATTAGAACACTTAAAGCTACAAATGAGAAAACTTACAGCTACCAATAAGAACACTGACACCTCCCAATTAGAACACCTGCAATGCTTTCAATTAGTGTATCACACCTGGTCACTCCTTATGTGGTTGTCAAGGTGACAACTCGACTCTACAGATTGAAATTGATGTATTGCCAACTCGATATTCTTCTAGTGAAGAGAAAGTGACATAGAAGAGAATATTTTGCAATGTCTGAAAAGAATTTAAGCCCAAGACTTGATGCATTGTGGCTGATTTGTTCTACTCAGCTGCATTGATTAGCCTCAAAACTGTGAAATTATCGATCTTCGTCAGAGTGTTGATATTACTTATCTCTGTGTCAGGGTACATAAATGAGGAAAAGAATAGAAGATAAAGCTTTAGTCATTCCTGTGCATGTTGTTATCAAAGAATGTAGTACAGAAGTAACAGAGTCTAAGTAGTTATATTGAATTCACACTTATATTCTGTATTTTTCATTTAATTCACTTAGTATATCGTAGACAAAATCCACCCTATCAGATTGGGATAGAGCAAAAAGCTGAGCTGGTATGTCAATGCTTCATGATATAGAGATAATATAACCATTGCATCTATGGCGGATCCGGGGGGGGGGGGGGGGGGCCCATGGGGCCAACTTAAGGCCCCAAAAAGTGGGCCTTTTGGTCTCTGTTTTATTTTTTTAATTTTGAAGAAAATGGGCCTCAAATTTTCGGTTTTAGGGGCCCAAAATTTTTTTCCGTGCAAGCGCAGAGGTTTTTTACTCTGACCTAAAATTAGGGCCCCCCCCTGTTGGTACCTGGATCCGCCACTGTGCATGGGGTGGTTTAGGTAGTTTTCTTTCATATACTGAAACGTTTACCGTAGATGAAAATGAAATAGCATATTACAGCAACATTATAGTAAACGTCAATGTCTAATCGAGTTGTTGAATACGGAAATAAAACGAAACATTTTTGATTTGAAAAAAAAGTTTGAAACTTTTTACAAAGTTCCATACTTAGAGCACGTCTCTCATCTATCAAACAAAAATATGTTATTATGTGCTGTATATATTCATGTATTTACCTTCAACTTTGATTTTGGAACAGTACCCCGCTGTTTGTCGTCTAATGTATTAAAAGCGTGCCACAAATACTTCCTCATTTCATTCAACGCCATGTTTATTTTTCGTAATGACGTCACGTTTGGAATTCCCCCTCAACTTCCGGTAAAGTATTTTACAATTTTTCTCCTCACATTTTATCAAATATTTACCAATCAGAGGCAGAAAAACGTTTTTTGAACAAATACAATCGTTAAGGTAGAAATCATACGTAGTTTGAACATTATGGTAACCACTGACACGTTGTATTCCAGTGTTTAACGATGGATCAATCTGGCAGGGTAAAACCACTCCATGTGAAGACACCCCTCATAGAAAGCCATGCCCTATCAAAACTAACAGGACTAAAAGTGTGGTTGAAACTAGAGAATACACAACCTGTCGGAACATTCAAGATCAGGGGAATTGGAAATTTATCCCAAAAGGTCAGTATATCAGCCGGTATAACATACAGGCATGCCTAAAAGTATATCTACAGAGCAGCCACCCCCACCCCCCACAACTGGGGCGCGTGACAGCCACGTTGACCTTTTCTCAATCAATCAGTGAGCTGACCATATATAGAAAGCAGGCTCGAGCCTGGGGGGGGGTGGGCAGGGTTCGGGCAAACCCCCCCGGCCAAAAATTCTTTCAAAATCATTTTTTCACTTTGTCACCTTTTACCCTTGTCAAATCATGGCTTCAGGCCTAGAAAGTCGTCCGTATTTTGACGACAAACTTTGATTGGTTCGATGATTTCAGAGATTTATTGTAAACAGAGTGAAGATGCTCTGTCTAGGATATTGTTACAGACATTCACATATAAAAATATCTAGAAAATGGTATGGTGTGCCATGTCTATGTCTATGTCAATAATCTGCAAAAGGCTAATAAGCCCATATTGAAAGCAGATATATAATTTAACAGTGATAGAATTTGAATAGAATATAATTTAAAACCTTAACATTTAAAAATAGATCTATGGTTTGCAACTCATTAAAATGGAAAGGAACTTTCCTTATGTTGAAATACCCTGGGGTGACTGTCAGGCTACCGCGTTGACATCACCCCTCTTTACCAGTAGTGCAGGCTTGTTGCTGTGCACTGGGGACCTTTTACATTAAAACATAGATCTATATTAAAAACACACCTATTTAATTGCAGTTATTGACATAGGCATAGTATGATGATTTAAAACTACTTAGACTGTCACAGTCTAAGATGTCACCAGGTAGGGTGTTCCATTTAGCTATTGTCCTAGGGAAATAGCTAAATTTGTATGCATCCGTTCTAGTTGATGGTTGTATGAACTTAGAAGGATGATACAGCCTAGTGTTGGTATTGATCTGTTGGCGGAAGTATGGAGGCACGTCGATGGCTGCTAGGTTTTGCTTTCCTTTGTAGAAAAGGAAAACTCTAGCAGCCTCTCGACGCTCCTTCAGTGGCTCCCACTGTAGGTCCTGAAGAGCTTTGGTGACGCAGCCTGGTTCCCTTGAGTGACATTTGGTTACAAATGTGATCTGTATGAGAGTTGAAATTAAAGGGATAGTGTCCTTTTAAAATGTTGATTTGTCTTTCACTCAAATATTTAAAAATATCAACACTATTCACTAACAAAGCCATCATTTAACCCCTCCCCCTAAGGAAACCAACTTCTTTATTCCACAACTGTTGATAGTTTGACACCACCCCTTACAACAAGATCAAAAAGGAAGTTGGTAAATTGATTCATGATATCTTCCACAAACATCACTAATTATCTTGCTGGTTGAGGTTTTCTGCATTTCAAGTAAATTCAAAGTTTAAATTATTAATTAAGTTGCAGTTACTTTTTCATAACAAACTATTAGCAGGCTTGTAGCCAGGATTTGCCAAGGGGGGGTTCATTTTTTGAAAAATTCCAGGGGGGTTTACTATTTACAACATTGGCCCAAAAATGACCAAAATCACTTGAAAAGTTCTCAAAATGGAAAAAAACTGCATAATTTTGAAAGAATTTTTGGCCAAGAGGGGGGGGCTTGAACCTTGAATATGAATATGGGATGGTATTCAATTATCAACACTTGTGCAATACTGAAGTTTCTTTCATTAGAGTACATAATGAATACATGTAGTGTTGATTTTTTTTATTAATGAAAGACAATGTACGCATTTCGTTCGGACTAGTCACGCGAATTACGGATATGTGACGCATTATGTTCGAAATTTTTCGTACCTACCCCCCCCCCCCCCCCCCCCCCCCCCCCCCCCCCGTTGATGGATGTTTGAAACGCGAGCATAGCGATCGCGAAAAATTTGAGGTGTTCAAAATTTGGCAAGATGTAATAAACCAAGGTGTTCAAAATTTGGATCAAGGTGTTCAGATTTGGACCAAGGTGTCCAGATTTTGAGGGGAGGTGTTCAACATTTCCAAGTCACTCATGTTAGGTGTTCCCAAGTTGACAGGCCTGTAACTTCAAGACAGAATGTCAGCACAAATGCACTCACCTTCTGTTCATGCTTTGTATGAAATTCTGTCCAACTTGCGCTGAATTTCACCATATTAAATGGCTTTTCTTTATCCCCGTATTGAAATTTTTCTAGAATGCCCACATGATCTAGTTTACTTGTAAATATCTTATTTTCAGGCTGTTTCAAATGGCTGCAACCATTTGGTTAGTTCATCGGGAGGAAATGCTGGTTTGGCGGCTGCCTATGCAGCACGTAAGCTGAACATCGCAGCAACCATCGTGGTTCCAGAAACAACCCCAGAATTTATGAGGGAACGTTTACGTGAGGAGGTACATTTTCTTTTCAGTGTTGTCATGAAGTCCTTATGAGTGTAGAAGCAGGGGAGGAGGGGGGCAAAATCTGGGTTTCGAAAGGATGGGGGACCAAACTGAAAATTTTTAACCCACATCGAAAATTGAGTCCCATTTTTTAGAAAGCCCCATGTATTTTCAATTTGGACTTTATAAAAATGATTGGGCCCATTTTATGTGCAATAGAATTTCCCAAAATGGCCTTAGGTCTTTATTAGTCGCCCATGTTTGCCAAGACGAAGTATTTTTAATTTGCTTTCTTTTAATTGTTAAAATTTAATCTTTTCAATTGTATGCTTTCTAATGTTTTCCATACTCACAGCTTCCAATTGTGAACATTTCGGAATGATTAAATCTTAGTGTGCTTAACCTTTACATTATACTCAAAGCTGAAAAGGCCCTGTACATGAAAAAGTCAACTACATGTAAAACATTCAGGATATTGAATATTTTTAATTTATTTATTTTTGTAACATATTTATGTATATGTACTCATCTTTAACAGTTAAGATGGTAAATAAAATAACATAACATAACATATACTCGACATGCCCTTGTTTACAAGCATGGTCATCATCATTCTACAGGGTGCTACAGTAGAAGTTTGTGGCAAAGTATGGGATGAGGCCAACAAGAGGTCTCTTGAAATAGCTGCTCAGCCAGGATACACTGCAGTCCATCCATTTGATCATCCAGATATATGGTAGGATTTAGGAGTATTCACATACATATTTATTATTTATCATACACATTTATTATTGTGAATATTGCACTAGATATACATGTACATTGATACATATTCAAGGGTCGATCAAAAACTAGCAGAGTTCACAACCTCTCACAAGTAGGCCTTTAACATGTGTTTTTTGATTGGTTGGACAGTATTGTATTGACTCAGACCAATTTGTATGAAACTCATACAGTTTCAAGCGAACTTATAACCCTGTCTCGTGTTCAAGTTTGAGCATCCAACTCCTCTTATCATGAAATCTAGAGCCAACGGTAAGAAACTTTTTGATCGACCCTCGTACATTTTTTAACATTCAAATAGATCAATATGCATGCTGTATAACAGTTTAATTGTTAACAGTTTTGATGATTTACAACTATCATTTCTTTTTTATTTAATTTTTCATTGGATTTGTAAGCATATAGATGTACATGCAGGGGCGGATCTGGGAACCAACAAGGGGGGTACCCAAATTTTGGGTCCCTAAAACCCAAAATTTGCCCCAAATTTCAAAGTTTGAGGCCCATTTTCTTCAAAATTTGGCCTGAAATTAAAAAATAAGACCTCAAAAGGCCCAGTAATGACCAAAAAGGACCACTTTTTGGGACCTTAAGGCCTTTTTTGGCCCAAAAGCACCCCCCCCCCCAGATCCGCCAGTGACATGTACATGTATGCTTCAAGGTGTTACAATGTACATGTACATGTATCACACGGGAACAACTATACCCAAAAAAATATATGGATCCCCAGTTGTAAGAAGCGCTTCTCACAGATGGGGACCCAAATGCAGCTAGCGAAGGATAATGTACCAACAAAAGGCATTATTGTTTTGCTTTGTATGGAACAAGTTTGAAGAAAAACCAAGCAGAGACTCAGAATCCTTGATTTCCAAACATCTGGTACAATGTAGGTCTTAAATTCAAATTGTGTTTTTTTTGTGTATAGTTGGACCCATGTGAGGTATATTTTTTTAACAATTCCAATCAATCTTATAGTCTTCTTTATACAATATTGTTATATCAGATTTTAACCTTAGGGGAAACTCAGAAACTGACTTTTTAAAATGTTTATCAAAAAACACCAAAACCAAGTTTTGAAATCATAAGTCAAACTAAAGATAAAGTATACTGATTTCGAACTAATATTGATTCTTTAAGGGAAGGTATCAAAATTTCAACAGATGGTGAAAACATTAATTCAAATTGATATTAATATTTACCCCCTCTCATAACAACAGTAAAAATATTGTTTTTCATTAAGTTGGATAATTGAGAAATCCAATGTCATTACTTATGGAATGATCACTTACAGGGTGATTGAGAACCGATCTTTCATCTTGTGTTTTGAACACCCTAGGCCCTATATGGCCACCTATTAAGGTTAACCCTTTTGTTCCGAACCTGTTGACATTTGTACATTATCCCCATGTGAGGCTGGGGTCACATTGGTGCTTTCACTTACTATGGTTGATAATCGTTGACATTGTGATTCGGGCAAACAAAACATTAAACACTTCAACATTGCTTTTCGCAACGAAGGCTGCCGAAATGCGAACATAACAGGATTTAGAAGTGAAATTATGAGAACTAATTTGTTGATAGATTCATGCCAAATCTTCAACACCGATACATTACTGCCAAAGACCTTATCACCCAATGCTCGTAAAATCAAATAAAGCCCCCACATGCCTACAAAAAAGCCAAACAATGTAATTGTTGACTTTAGGACCCTGAACCCTTTCTTGTAAGCCACAGCTTTGCTGTGATCAACAGCTTCAAGTTGGCTCAGTATAGTGGCGCGGTGTTTATATGCGATCCAGAGAATCTTGATATGTATAATGGAACCAATTGATGTACAAAGTACAATAACAATGTTGATGATGTATCCTTTCCCTTGCATCCAAGAGCTGTAGTTAGAACAGATCTCTGCGGTACTCCAGTACTGCAGGCTGAGAATAGCCCCAAGGAATTGTACGCATGACAAGACCCAAAATATGATGCATATTCTACCAATATTCTTCAGCTTCTCATACTTGTACGGATGTTGGATCGCGATATATCGATCCACACTTACAACTACAAACATCCAGAGAGTTAAAGATCCAGGAAAGGCTGTCATAATCACCTGAATGATACAGAAATATTTGTTCGAGACAGACCCATAAACCACCTCCTTTGCGATTGAGTATTCATAGTTCATAACGAGGCGCATTGGCGTGGCAACCAATCCCTGTAATAGATCAACGCATGCTATGTTCAGCACTATAATGTTTGTTGGAGTGCGAAGCTTCTTGTTGAGCAAAAAGGAGAAAATCATCAAAAGATTTGTGAATATTATCCCCAGTGCAATGCATCCTTCGAGTGTGTATAGACCCACAAATACACCAATGGGATGTTGAGAATATTGCCATGGGTACTTATACATGTAGGAGATATTTTCAGAAGTGTTCTGCATGCTTGCGTTTATAATGGAGGTGTTATTCAAATTCAGTTTGCCCAACTCCATCTGGTCATTCAGATGTTGCCAATAACAGTTTGCTGGTTAAATGTTCAGTTTTGTCAGATACTTAATGAGTTCCCTTTAAAATTTAGATGTTGCCGATAGCTATTTGCTGCTTAAAGGTTCAATTTTGTCAGATACTTAATGAGTTCCCTTCAAAATTTCATTTGTTGCCAATAACAGTTTGCTGGTTAAATGTTCAATTTTGTCAGATACTTAATGAGTTCCCTTCAAAATTTCATTTGTTGCCAATAACAGTTTGCTGGTTAAATGTTCAATTTTGTCAGATACTTAATGAGTTCACCACTTGTGTTACACATGGATGTGCATCCATCATCGAGTTGTATGAAATTTCTTCCATTAATCATTGAGAAATACTTTGTGAACCTTGTTAAATGGTGGTCTGCTTTGCTACTGGAACTTACTTACAGATTTTACTATAAGTGCAGTCATCATAGCCTTAAAGTCAAAGTGGAAGTGCAGCCATCATAGTCTTACGTAAGGTCGTTGTTTTGACTTGTATGAAGTTTCTGCCTTTAATCATTGAGAAAACCTTGTCAAGTGTGGTCTGCTTCGCTACTGAAACTTACAACCTTTTTCAGTGTTACAGATTTTGCTACAAGTGCAGCCATCATAGCCTTAAGGTCATTGTTTTGAGTTGTATAAAGTTTCTTCCTTTAGTCATTGGGAATACTTAATGAGTTCCCATCAAAATTTCAGATGTTGCCAATAACAGTTTGCTGGTTAAATGTTCAGTTTTGTCAGATACTCAATGAGTTCCCTTCAAAAGGATTGGTATTGATATGGTGAACTGAACACAAGTTTCTCTTAAACCAGCCATAAAAAATTTCTGAAAATTTTCCACAATGTCAATTAAATGATCATCTTTTGAATCATAACAAATTTAATTTGAAAAAATTTATCTATATTGTTTTAGTAAACACATCAGACACTTCTTTTGTTCTTGGTTTCATATGTTCAGAATGAAAAGAAACGTCTACAGATGTATCCCAACCTCATTGGAACAAAACGGCGTGTTTAGGTCTCTCAGTATTGTAATTGTACAAAGGAAAGTTTGGTTGATTTTAAAAAAGAATCTTGTTAATGAAAAAAGGGTTTACTTTAATATATATATATTTTTTAATTTTTTGAATACTTTTTGATAAATGAACCAAATTTTCCTTTGTATAACTTTAATAATGAGAGGATTAAGAAAATGTTGTACCCTTATGTATTTGTTCCAACAATGTTCAGAAAGATATTTTTCCATTCTCAAGAATTGGTAGAAAAGAACAAAAAACAATTGCACCAAATAACAAAAGAATGTTAACAAAAAAGTTATAAAAAAACATATTTAAATAATTTTCGCATTAAGTTATCAGTCCTCATTAAGATAAAGAACCATTTTTTACAGAATGTTTTCAATAATTGGTTTAAGAGAAAAACAATGTTGAGTTCAATTCGCCATATCGATACCAATCCTTTCAGATGTTGCCAATAACAGTTTTCTGGTTAAGTATTCAGTTTTGTAAGATACTTAATGCTCCCATCTATATTGTCCATGCATTGTTGGTTAAATTTTCAAGTATCCATACTACGTTGACAGAGTTTTATGATTTCATCTAGTTAATTGTTAAATATTGTCAATAACGAACCTGATTTAAAGTCCTTGATAAATTGGGTTTGTACTAATTCCATTAATGTTGACCATCAGCACACTTTCAGGGTTCGGTGTGAGTTGTCATTGAATTCCTTGCAGATTTAATTTCTTGAAATGTTGCTCTCATGAACTTTACTACTGGAACAAAATTTTTTGGTGTTGCAAATCTTGCAGCTGTCATAGCCTCAATGTCATTGTTTCGAGTTGTATAAAGTTTCTGCCTTTAGTCATTAGGAAATACTTTGTGAACCTTCTTAAGTTGTGGTCTCTGTCATCTTTCTCTTTCAGTATAATTGACATTTCTTTTGCCTACTGCATACTTATATGCCTATTTAAGGTGATAGTCCAGGTTGTACTAACTATTTGCCAGAGCTCATTTATACCTACACTCTTGGAATTACAAATTATTCTTAACAAAATCAAATCAGAATTCATAACTGGACATCTGCATATGAAGTAGCATTGAACATTTCATATTCAAACTGCTATTAAAGGCAATGGGAGCAACATCTGAAATTATTCACATCATAAAAATCTTATCAGCTTCAAAATTGTAAAATCACTTGACATCCTCAGAGGGTCGAACTACATGGAGATTTGAATTCAGGGTTGATTGACTTTTCAGAAATTTTCTCATCTTTGACGCATTCATAAACATGTATTAATGTCAATTAATTTAGATTAAATTATCAATTACAGTGTACAGGAACACCTGAAGAGTTCAATTAGGCTCAGATAATTTGTTCATTTACACATCATATTGTTCCATAAATGATTGTTTATTAACACTATGGGACAGGGAAATTAACTCAGTCATGTATGATCCATAAACATAGTTCCATATTAACACTTTTGGCTAGATTATTAAATGATGGACAAATATATAATATTCAGATGTAGTTCCTCATTGTTTACTAATTAGCACATTTTGGCTTGGCAATTTAGTTTAACACTAACAGATTTTCTATTATGGTTATACTTAAGAATCCGTACCTCCTTCTTCCCACCTGCTATAAGCAGTTAGCATTTCCCTGATTAAGAACTCGCAATTTGATTGGCAATCGCAACAGCAATCATGTATACGTCATCGGCGCATAATTAGATCACGTGATTCAGTTTAATCGGGCGCATCCAACTTGGTTATAGCAGGGGGTAAAAAGAAAGAAGATATTTTGGATTTTGAAGCCCTGTGATCGGAGGATGACTTAATATTGGACCTCAGTCTTTATGTTCATACCCGCCTCCACAATACCTTTCTTCAAGTTTGGTCAATTGCTGATTCTCATGGATCACTGGATTATCTAAAATATCAAATAAATTATTTCATGGATGACCAAGTTCTTTTTAGACATTTTTGCTGGCAAAACCTTTCAATGTAATCATGATGCCCAAGATGTAATACATGAATCTTTGCAAAAATGAGCTCCTTTAGATTTAATTATTGATAACCATACATGTAAATTGATAATCATCATTAGTGTTCCAAAAAAGTCATAATTTGGTTTTAGTAATTATTTTTTGCTTTGAAATTACCAGTTACTTTATGCTCTAATGCAGTTAGTCCTTTATCAATCTTATCTTTTTTATTTTTCATTGTTACCATACCTAACATTCAGAGGTATGATGTATGTAAATGAAACTTTATGAAAAATATCAGTTGATAGAACAAAAGTCTGATTTGCATGTGAAAATGCATGTATGTCAGATGAGAATATGTGTTTATTGGGCAATATGTTACATCCCATCCTTAATTTCACTACTATTTAGGGTAAAACTTGTCTAATAATCATGTCTTAGATCATGGGTTTTGGCACTACCATGACTTTATTATGGCAATGTGTTAATGTTTATTTCAAACCTGTCAGTCATGAACAGTTTGAGATGGGCTTTACAATGGTATAAAATTTAACATAAAGAAAATGATATCCTTGAGGAAAATGTATTACAGTGTATAATCGCAAATTGTTGTTTAATGATGTCATTTAAAGCTGGACTACGCTCCGAAACGCAATCTTGGGTTGTTTCGGGGGTGAACTTTATCATTTTGAGCTTAATGAAAGATTATAGAATGATGAACAAATGGGGCAAATCTTGTGTAGAAATACTTACGATAAATGTGTCATTTCAAAGATTTTTCATTGAATTTGCTTCGATCGGTGCCGGCGATATGATTTTGGAAAGGTTTCTAAATGAAGAATGTGACGTCACTTCCGAATCATAGCATTCAAAATAAGTAGCGTTTAATTACTTCTTTATTTCATAATAATACGGTGGTGTAGCGGGTAGAATCCTCGCTGAGCACGCGGGAGGCCCGGGTATGAATCCCGCATTAGCCTTTTTATTTTTTTAACTAAATGATTGTTCTTTGATATTACGCAGAAAAAAACAATTTTTATTTACATAAACTTTATATTAGAGCTTGAAAATGTAAAAACAATATATGTCAACATATTGCGTTTTGGAGCGATGTGCAGGTTTAAAGGAAAAGGTTACATTAGTGAGTTTACAAGACAATGTCTTAATGCCTCAAAGAGTTTGGTGAAATTATGCAAAATATTGAAAATTTTATGATTGATAAAGGACCATGCACCTTTTTATTTTCTTTACAGAGGGTATCCTCGTTGCAATTACTTTTGCTCTTTTCAATTTTTTGCTCTTTGCAAACTACTTTATGCTCATTGCATTTACTTTTGCTCATAGCAATTACTTAATACTCTTTGCACTTACGTTTGCTCTTTCTGATTACTTTTTGCTCTTTGCACTTATTCTTGCTCATGGCAATTACTTTTGCTCTTTGCGATTACTTAATTGTCTTTGCAATTACTTTTGCTCTTTCCGATTACTTTTTGCTCTTTGCACTTTCTTTTGCTCTTGGCAATTTATTATGCTCTTGGCAATTACCTTGTGCTCTTTTCAATTATCTTTTGCTTTCTCTTTGCAACTGAGTAATGGTGTGACTACCAAACTAACCAATTGTGGCAATACTGTGTATTACTTGAATCAAGTACAAATGTAATATTCAAATGATATAATATAAAAATATTATGTCTAAATGTAATATTCAAATGATGTAATATCAAAATATTATGTCTAAATGTAATATTCAAATGATATAATATCAAAATATTATGTCTAAATGTAATATTCAAATGATGTAATATCAACATATTATGTCTAAATATAATCTTCAAATGATGTAATAGCAAAATATTATGTCTAAATGTAATATTCAAATGATGTAATATCAACATATTATGTCTAAATATAATCTTCAAATGATGTAATAGCAAAATATTATGTCTAAATGTAATATTCAAATGATACATGTATACTGTAATATCCATGAAATATGTTTATTCAGGGAGGGCCATGCGTCTATGATTGAAGAGATCAAAGAGGAAATGGATGCCCCTGATGCTGTCATACTGTCTGTGGGTGGAGGCGGTCTGCTCTGTGGAGCAGTAGAAGGTATGTGTTCCTTTAGAATAACTCTTGGCTTGTGATATTGAATAGTGGGGTTAGGGGTGGGTTATTATTAGGGTATGATTTGGGATAGTTGGGATTATTGTGATATTGAATAGTGGGGTTAAGGGGGTATTAGACACTGTTTCGTTTCACGTTTGATTATGATTTGGGATAGTTGGGGTTTGCTTTCCTGATAGCTGGTGTACGGTACTCAGATATTTTCTTTTCTTATAATATGTTATGTAACCATTTTTGGTACTTTCCTATCGGCACTTGCACATACATATCTTAAAGCATTCATTTTGGAAAAAGGGACAGATGAAATTTCAATGAATATCAGATAATGATCAGACAAATAATTTCAAAGATATTTCAAATGGGAAATTCTGCCCAGCAGGTTTCAAGTTCAGAATTCAATGAAGTGGAGATTGGGCCCATTTTAATTTCACAATCGAGTTCAATGGCAAAAGTACATTGTAGGTTTAAAGAGAGTAGGTTGGGGAGATGTTCCAGTGGTTGCTATGGAGACCGAAGGAGCAAATTGTTTCAGTGAAGCAATTAAAGCAGGAAAAGTGGTCAGAACAGAATCAATCAAAAGGTAAGGCTTTTATCTTAATCTGCATGTATTTATCTACACCAGGAGGTAAGTTTTTGTTCAAATTCAGCATCTACAATGCAGTTTTATTGCCACTTTTGGAAGATAAAAAATAAATGTTTGTTTTGATCATTGAAATATTCAATTTTGGCCTTGTGGTTTTAGAATGCCAAGTTTTCTGGACTTATCATTACCCTTAACCATAGGATTTGATACTATGTTTGATGTGAACTCTTAAAATATAAATACATATATAGTTTTTAAAGCATACATGTACAGACAAGATATCCTTTTTCAAAATCCCAGCAAAATTAGTAAAAGTATTTTTGGCCATAAAATAACTCTGCTGTTCTTTTCAGTATAGCCAAGAGTCTCGGTTCATTAAGTGTTGTTGAACAACTACTCTCATACATGAAAGAACACACCATACATTCCGAGCTTGTCTCTGACCAACAGGCTCTTAGCGCCTGCTATAGATTTCTAGGTGAGTGAGACATACAGTTCTGTAGAGGATTTGAGGAATTTAGTCCATTTGTTTTTTGTGAATCTTAGTCGGCAGTATTGCAGTTTATATGTATCGTTTGAAAGAGAAAATTATATAGACTGTAGTGCCATCTTTTAATTAACTCGAATCATTTATTTTATTTTCTTATTTGGCAAACACATACTCAACATACATCTGTATATCTGTGTATATTCTGATATTTGCTTCATGAAAAGGAATGTCTGGAGCCAGCAAAAATTATTTCACAATCATGCAGTTTTTCACCATTCTTAGCTGTTTTCATGTCATTTTGGACTAAATTTGTCGCTACGGGCCTGGAAGTTGCTATAAAAAGCTTTTTCTGAAAACACAGCTGTATGCATTTTGAAGTACATGTGCTGTATGTTGGAACCAAAAATTGCAGCCAAATTTAAGAATTTATGCACACATATAGTCCCATATCAAATTCCACTTGACATGTCAAGATGAGGTGTGTAGGAGGAGCTCACAATGGCTTGAAGCAAGACTAAAAATATAAATTGCTTGTATATTCAATTTCTTTCAGCAGGATTCCCTGACACAATGTTCCCTGTTCACAGTGCTATTCAAGATAATGAAACAGTTTACTGAGAAAATAATAAATAATAATCCACCAGATGTACTGGTTGCTATGTCACCTCCATAAGGGGTGACATGATGCTATGTCACCTCCATAAGGGGTGACATGATATTGTTATAGGCTCCAACTATTTTGTGGACAGTGTTCGGCATTCGGCATTTGCAATAAATGGCATCTGTAACAAATGGCAGGTGGAGACATTTTGCATTTTAATGACTTGTTTCAAGATGTCACATGACCCAGCCTCGTTTTCATTTACTGTAATGCATGCCATCTTTTTCAGATGACCAAAAGATGCTTGTTGAGCCTGCATGTGGTGCCGCATTGGCGGCAGGGTACAGCAACATTTTCCCAAAGCTACAAAACAAAGGGAAACTTCCAAAGTTAAAGACAGTAGTCTTCATTGTATGTGGCGGAAATGCTGTAAGCTTGAAGCAGTTGGACATTTGGAAATCAGAACTAGGAATGGCTTGATTTATATACAATGGATTCTAGTCGTTTGCAATTTGTTAAAATTGTATTTTACAAAAATCGTGACTTTTTCCCTTTCCACTTAAACAGAACGAAGTTCTAGGAAATTCTTTTCCTTTTCTGTTTCACGATCCAGCCAATATTTTCAATAATGATATATTAAGAGGATAGTAATATCTACTGGACTGGACTGGTCTCAGGGTGCTCTTTTCTCTTCAGTTCTGTTAAGACATATGTCATGTTTATTTTGTAGTAAGAGTGTTTTTTCAAAATTTCACATGTGTAAAGAGTTGATTTAAGTCAGTTTACTGTATAACAGAGTTTTACCCTACTATCACACCAAACTAGTTCTCACTACGTTCTCGAAAACGGGCTTTAACTGTGTACATGTACGAAGGGACTGGACGTACCGTTTGGCACTATTTACAAACTTCATAGAACATACTCGAAAGGATAGGTCCTCTAGAACTTAGAAAATGTTCTCATGGTTGTCATGTTCTACAATTAGAACGAGTGACAACCTACTGACGACGAGCTGGACGCACTACGAACGGAACCATCGTACTTCAATCCTACTAGGGACGTTTTTTCAACGAGTTGAACTGTCCGAGGACGTATTGAGAACGAGGTAGAACCAATTGCAAACGGGTTAAAACTGATTAAGAACGTATTTATCAAGGAGTTAGCAAAAATAAAGCTATCACACCAAGCAAGTTGCCTCTGCGTTCTTCAAAACTGGTTGTAAACTGTGTGCGAACTGAATGAACGTAGCTACAACGTTCTACGGTCTGTTTACGAACTTCGTGGACTTTCCCGGACGGGGAATGTGATTTAGAATTTTGAATCGATTCAAAATTCGATTGGCGACCATACCGTTCTGTAATCAGGTCATGATGACCTAGACTAAGGGACGCGTTATACGACGTTTTCGTAGGACTGGCAAGAACGGGTAAGAAGTAGTTTGGTGTGATAGGGGGGTTAGTAAACTAAACGCACATGTATTTTATAATAGTTTTTGTGAGATTGAAATGCACAATTAAATTCAGGGGAAATTCAATGTGAAATATTATAGACGGGGCTTTAGGATGGGATCAGCTTAATTGGGCAGGGACAGGGACTTGCATTTAGAAAGTCCATGGTGAGGACTTTATATATTGTATGGGCGTAGTCAGGAGGTTGCCACAACCCCACAAAAAGAGAAAAAAGCAATTTTGTAAAATTTGTTGAAAAAACATTTACAAATTGTAGCTTAAAATGTGAACTAATTTTAAATTTCCAGGTGTGAACTCCCGTTCCCCCTTTTTGGGGCATGTTTCACTTCCGTGATGCAAACCCATAAAATCGCACCCCTTGACATTTGCTCTATTGTCAAAACAAAGAGTAATTAATTATATTATTTATACAGATAAATTATCATACGCCTACAAATATCAAGATTTAGATATTTTTGACAGTCTTGTACACAGTGATCTCCACAGGATTTTTTCTCAAGTGGGTACAAAATTGTCATTTTCACAATTCAAACCAAAATTGGTCAAAATATGCCCATTTTCATAATTTTTCTCATTTTCAAGTGGGCGCAAATGAATTTCTACTTTCAAAATCTCAGGTGGGTGCTACGCCCACTTGATTCAATGCTGGGGAGATCACTGGTGCAGTACCTGTATATAGTATTATTGCATCACTAACATTTGCTATGATGATCATCAAATAAATGGTAAACAGAGTTTTTAAATAACAGTGTCAATGTTTAGATACCAACTTCATTTATTTACAACTTAGTTCTCTAGTACTATCAAGCTTTGACGTTTTGATAATATATTTGGACAAAAATCATGATTTTATACAATAAAGCCAATTTTTTCTAAAAATACATGTTGTCTTCAAATGCATATGATTGGCCATATACACATGTACGGCATCTCTATTGTCATATAGCATATCTGGCATATGCATAGATATTTCCAATAAATTAAAGAAGTTATGATATAGCTAGATTGATGATGTCATTTGTTGTGCTTTTCAAAATTAGCATTACAGTAAAACCTGTATAATCTGAACGCCAGTGGGACCGGCTTAAAGCTTTCAGATTAGGAGGTGTTCACATTTCTAGGTTTTTGCATTCGCGAGATTCCAGATTCTGAAGAAATTGGAACACATTCTCGGTGCATATTTATAGTTCATTTGACCACATAGCTTTAAGGCATTTTAGAAATTTGAAATGAATGAATCTAGTCATGCTGGAAAGCCCTGGCCTTTTATAATCAAGACCATTCAAGGTTTTCCTAAAGTTTTGATATCATAACAATATCTGAGCAATTTTGTATGAAAAATGTGAAATTTTATGAAAAGTGTTCAGATTAGACAGGTAATTTTTCAAGTATGACTGTTCACTGTTCAAATTGTGAGGTGTTCACATTTCAAGTTTTTTAACATGGGAGTCGATGGAAAGAAAAAATGGGATCAAAAAAAGTGTTCAGATTGGGAGATGTTCGGATTAGCCAGGTGTTCAGATATACAGGTTGTACTGTAATTTAATGCAGTATGCCTACGTTTATCCTTTTTTGATTCGCAAAAAGGAATCGATCTAGCCAATGTATCATAGATTCTGATTGTATGTTTCATTCCCCAGTAGGTGGCAATGTTTAACGGAAAGGTCTTAGAGTTTTCTTTTCAGCATTAATTAACAATTTTTTTATATCCCACGTACATTTACCTATATGATGATTACACAAACTCATTGATACACTACACTGTCATACTGTACATGTGTATATCTCATCACCAAATGACATTCAAAAACATAAAATATTTGTACACTGTCATCATAGTATAATGTAATCATTGTAGATGCAAAATCAGCCAAGTCATTGGCGTCAGTTTAGAGAAGAAAGGAGGATGTACTGTAGATTCAAATGTATTCTAGGAATTTTAATATTACCCACAACATGTTCATTATGAAGCATAAACAATTATTTATATACATATGTACATTATGTAGTAGTAACCGTGCATTATTCTGACTTATGTACCTTGTCTAAGGTCTCTTGTCTCAGATTTTAAGCAACATATTTGACAAGTTCAATGTTGAGAACCGACCGATAAAAATGAGTTTTACTACGTTTAAGAAATTAAGACCTGAATACATCATTCTCCTTAACTTTAGCACACAGCAGAGGTGTCTCTGTTGCAAACACCAATCTACAATGTATGGCTTTAAAGCTACATGGAAGAGGAATCCGAGGTTATAAGATACATGTACACATAGGCGTAGCCAGAGGGGGGGGGGTGATGGGGGTGATCGCACAATCGCACCCCCCTGACTGAAAACCAAAATCTTTTTGGCGATCACACCCCCCCCCCGCTCCTTGACTGAAAGCTGGTTACGCCCCTGGCTGCATCCAGGAATCCAGATGTCTTCATTCAAAACACTTTGGACGATACGGATAGAGAGATGTTACACTGAAGTGAACTTTGAAACATGGAAACGAGTCGAAGAGAGTGGAAAACTTCGTTGGAAACGGGTAAATGTCAAAAACACGAAAGAGGATTTTATTACAGTGTTCCTTAAGGAACTGGCCATATTTAGACAGCACATAATAAACGTAAAAACACAATACTCGGAGACTGAGAAACAGTCTAAATGACAGTGAAGCATTGGTGTGGGTCGACTTTAATAGTGAGAACTACATGTATACTTGCTCCTCGATGGAGGAAATTCAAAGTTCTTACTGGAACCAGGAACTTGTAACTTTACATCCATCTACTGTATATTCAAGGCGGAAATTTGTGCATGCTCCTGGAACTGTATCGATACAGCATAATTATGGTCTCAGGCCCGTAGCCAGGATTTGCCAAGGGGGGTTCAGTTTTCAAAAATTTCCAGGGGGGGTTCACATATGACAATTTTGGCTCAAATATGGCTAAAATTACTTGAGAAGTGCTCAAAATGGTGAAAAACTGCATGATTTTGAAAAGTAATTGGCCCTGCGAACCCCCCCCCCCCCTGGCTACGGGCCTGGGTCTAGACTCAGACTTCACCATGTCCATCACATGCCTTTACTCTGTCATGTGTGTTTACTCTTTTTGAATGTCTGATCATTTACAAATTACCTCTTCATATTCCTGGTCTCGATATTTTTCATATGAACTTTTATCATTTACAATGGTTTGATTTACATATTCTTGGTTGGTCTCATTATGCATGGTGTTTGAACCCGTGTCATTTGAAATTCTTTGGTACATGTTTTCTTGGTCCAAGTCAGTCGCATTGATCATATCATATGGTGCACTTAATGTTGACTCGGAAGAAATATTGTTAACAGATAACTGAGAGTCATTTGTTTCAGAATTACTGTTCATTGCAATATCCATATCACCAAAGCCATCATTTACATAATCTTCATTATTTTCAATGGGAGCATTGTTAAGGGACTGGTTGATTTTCCTTCTCCATATTACAGGGTGACCGGAAAAAAAGGAGACCATTGAAATAGGCAATATCTCCTAAAATAGACTAGTGACATCAATGAAATTTTGCATACATCAGGACAGTTCTATGGAAATTTGTTCCTGAAAGTGTCAATACAAGCAGTCAACTGGTTCAGGAGCTATGATCATTTACATAACATGCTCCAAATAGGCGCAATTGAGACCAACGCAGAGCTGGATACATTTGGCAAATACCCTTACATATTCCGACCTTGTTATGGCATTACATTTAGCATTTATTGCCACCTTTAGGTCAGCAATTGTCTCAGGATTGTTTTGGTACACATTGTCTTTCAAATTGCCCCACAAAAAGAAATCAGGTGGATTCAAATTTGAGGTGTATGGAGACGAAGCTTATCTGACCTATGGCTTCTGACTCAGTGGTCCCACTCAGTTACAGTATCATCCTAAGGAGGTTTTGGGCAGCCCTTGGTTTTCATATGGGATTTAATTGTGCCATATAGTGGTTTTAGTAACATGGCACTATGCCCAATACCTAAAGTGACTCTTAAGATTTGGTAAATCAGCACTTTGGCAACAGGATGATGAACCACATGTCAGATAACCCTTCATTGCCATTACAGCCTAGACTTGAATCCTGCTGATTTCTTTTTGTATGGATATTTGAAAGACAATCTATACCAAAACAATCCTCAGACTATTGTTGACCTAAAGAAGGCAATCACTGCTATATGTAATGCCATAATAATGCCATAGAGGGCAGAACATGTAAGGGTAGTTTGCCATATGAATCCAACTCTGCGTTGGTCTCAATTGTGCCTATTTGGAGCATGTTATGTAAATGATCATAGCTCCTGAACCAGTTGAATGCTTGTATTGAAACCTTCAGTAACAAATTTCCATATAACTCAAAATTGTAAGTTTATTGTCATTCAAATAAAGCTCTTGTAATGAAGTCAAACCAGAAAACACATCACCTTCAATCTTTGTTATATCATTGTCGTCAAGATCGAGTCGTTTCAGGGAGGCCAGATTATTGAATATCCCATTTCTTAAAATTGTAAGTTTATTGCCATACAGGTATAGATACTTCAATGAATTCATACCGGAAAATGCACCAGGTTTAATATCTGTTATCTGTTTGTTCTGAAGTTGTATCCATTCATAAGATGTATAATTCACTAACATGTTTTCTGTTAGTATCATCAACGGCGTGTCCCTCTTATTCGACATTGTCACTTCGGTTGATTGTGACATGGTTAGGAACAGGAAACATATCATCAACGATATCATGAGCACTGTCTGGAATGAAGATACATCAGTTAGACAGTTATTTGGAAATCAATGTTAATGTAAATATGAATGAGCTATTTGCACAGGATACAAAATATAACGCCATTACTGTATTGTCTGGAATAACATCATTTTTTTACGGTATATCTTTTCAGTAACCAAGGTATTTTTCCCTCCAAAATTTTGGCAACCCTCCCCATTGGACTACATGTTAAAGCCTCTTTGTGTAATTTTTTATGTACATTACCTGTAATGATAAAGGTGGAGACGTAACATAAAATTTGATTAATCTTTGAAAATCGTCATTCCAAGGTAAACCAATAGGAAATGAAGGATTTGGGCGTATTTGATTTATTCCAGGATACTATCTGATTCACCAAGAATATTTTTAGACGGAATATTGAATTGTCTAACATGTTTTCATTGTTTATTTTACTTACTGGACATATTGAACATTAAAGTTACAGAGCTTCAAAGTTATTTTTGAATATCAGTTTCGCCTTCTGTGCTATTTCAAGGGAAGAGGTTTCTCGAAAAGGAATTTCGACTTTTGAGACCTTACCTGTAACTTTGTTGAAGAGACCACTACAAAGTACAAAATTGGTTAGAGCTTATTCGATCAATGAATTTAGTAATTTTGAACAAAAATTAGAGCTTTGTTTGGAATTCTTCTTAGATTTTTAGCCACCAATTAACACAAGTGTGGACTCTCCGAATTTTATCTTTGTCCCTTTTGAATAGAAGAACCAGAGGCAATTTGTCATCTCGTCTATAATTGTAAAGTGGTTATGAAATTAGTAAGAAATAAAAATGGTTACCTGAGGAATTGACAGTACTTTATACAAAACAGAATATTATTGATAGTACCAGTATTTATGAATGATGGAACAATTATCCTAACAAATATGTTATGTATATTCATTCAAAAGATATGTTTAAATATGTAAATACTCGATGTCCAACCTTCAGCTGTTTTTATGAATAAAAAAGTGTTAAACAAATAAAAAAGTAAATAAAAACTTTATTGAACCTGAACAAACATGTCAATGATTGTTACTGTCTACGTCATTGTCCATTGTCCAAAACACTGATAGAATTATAGAATTATAACATATGACCGATTTATGCCCAAGGCCGTTACAAGCATCTCACAGTCTGGGGGTACGGTGCCAACAAAACGTGTTCTGGTCAAATGACCTGTCATTCCACATTTTTGACACGCCTGCCCCCCGCAGATCGTTACTAGGTGGCTGATAATTGCTGATTCAATGGTGTTCTTAGCACATAGCTATGGTGTGATGAGCTCAATATATTCTGAAAAGTAATTTTGTCCATTGTGCCTTTTAAAACATGAATAAAAGGAGTAAGGGAAATGTTACAAAGGATTGGTATCGATATGGCGAACTGAATTCAACAATGTTTTTCTATTAAACCAATTACTGAAATCATTCTGTAAAAAACACGGTCCTTTATGTAATGTTGACTGATTGACAACAATTTTTAAAATGCGAAAATTATTTATTTTTCATATAACTATTTTTGTAAATATTTTTGGTTTTTTGTTCCTTACTACCAATTCTTGAGAATGAAATAAATTATCTTTCCAAACCTTGTTGGAACAAAATACATGTAGCTTATACAACATTTTCTTAGACCTCTCAATATTATAGTTATACAAAGGAAAGTTTGGTTGATTTTAAAAAAAAGTATTCAAGAAATTAAAACAAAAAACAAAAATAGATAAAAATTAAACTTTTTTTAAATCAAACAAACTTTCCTTTATACAATTACAATATTGAGAGACCTAGATACGTTGTGTCTATGTCATTTTGTTCCAATGAGGTTCATTCCGAACATATGATACCAAGAATAAAAGAAGTGTCTGGTGTGTTTTCTAAACAATATAAAGAAAAGTATATTATTTTTTCAAATTATATTGTTACCAATCGAGAGATGACCAATAAGTTGACGATGTGTAAAATTTTCAGAATTTTTGATGATTGGTTTAAGGGAAACGTGTGTACAAAAGGTTCGCCATATCGATACCAATCCTTTCCATTATTTTGTTTCGTTTTGGACTGCATCTTTCTAAGCAGTGATACGTACCCTTAATTTTCCAGTTGTCAATTTACGTTGCATACTTGTGGTTAATTGCTTTATTGTGGGCGACTATAGCATATTCTTGTAGTTCTTAAACTTGGTCTTGTTTTGTATTTTCTTAATATTATATATTTTCCTTATTTTAGTTACTTTTATATAAAAGTGATACATATATGTTTCGTATAGTCCGTATTAGTGTAAACTATACTTGAATAATGAATATTGAGTATCTTAATTGTGTTTATGCTTTAGGTCATATAATGCCCATGCGGAGACACTGACTGATGTAAACTCAACTAGACGACATCGGTTTATTCAATCCGTCACACCTCTTCGCTTTTTTGTTCTTTGGGGCTTTCTTTTAAATAAAAGAATTTGTATGTCAATTTATCACCACTACTAATGAAGACGTTTTATATTTTTCCTTTAGGAACATTCCAATTTAATGTGCAATACGTGTTTGGAATAGGTCTAATAATTGTTTGCACAAATCAAGTTCGTCTTATCGATATTCTTTGTGCTTTCTAAATATATAGCTTACTCAGAACACTATATTTGTTGAAAAGAAATCATCAAATATCATAGTAATATATCATACTAATCACGTGCAAAAGGTTTCTTTCGATAGTACTATTAGTATTCCAATCATCATCCGTCCCAAAATAATCAAGGCGTTGGGCTTAACTAGGTTTGTTGCAAAAGCGAGACAATTTTTAAAGATGACGATCTCATTGGAACCCCCACGCCTTATTCTCTTTCTTACTGGAGTGTTAGAGACCCTCCTCTACAGCACATTTAGGCAGTGTGATGGGCGGGGTCTTGGGACAAGACTAGAAAATGGAATGTTTACAAATTCTAAAAAATCACTGTTTGATTGTCTTGCGCATGCGTGGTGGAAAACGCAGATTTCTCAGAACGACTGAAAAGAGTCTGAACCTTTGATTTTATGTAAGAGTATGGTTCAGAGGAATAAGTGTTTTCATTTGTCCAAAAACTGTTGTAAGAATGATGGATAAACAGACAGATGGACGGATAGACGGACGCGTGGAAAGGAAACCGTTTTTAACATGATATTTTTATCCCCATGCCCAAATTCCAGGTCTTGCCTGCAGAATTACAGAACGGTAAATCACCTTCCCGTCTGAGCACGTCCTTGGAGTTCGTACAAAGACCGTAGAAAGTTGCAGGTACGTTCATTCCGTTCGCACACAGAAAACTAGTTCGGCATCCTTTTTATGAAAGCAGTGGCAACTAGTTTGCTGTGATAGCTAGTATATTTTCCTTAAGCCCACTCGTTCAAAAGCAGTCTTTAATACGTCCTTAATCAGTTTAGTTTGCAATTAGTTCTACCTCGTTCTCAATGCGTCCTCGGACAATTCAACTCGTTCTAAAAACGTCCCAAGGATTGAAGTTCGACAGTTCCGTTCGTAACGTTGTCACTCGTTCTATTTCCAGAACGTGACGACCATCAGAAAATTTTGAGAATGCTTTAAGTTCTGGAGGACCTACATACTGTACCTATTCGAGTACGTTGGATGAAGTTTGTAAATATACCACAAACGGTTCTAAGTACGTCAAGTCCGTTCTTACACAGTTTAAGCCGGTTTCGAGAACGTAGTGAGAACTTGTTTGGTGTGATAAATAGTAATCGTTTATGGTATGAAAATTAAATCTCATGACTAGGGTTAACGTATATCCTATCTATTAAACACTATCTTATCACATTATTTCAATTGTACATCTCTCTATGCTTGATAACAATCGTATTGACATGATATCTGATCACAATATGTCCATCATCACTATCAGTTATTGACGCATCTGCCATGTTGCTGTTAAATCTAATTGCAGTTTGCCTGGTGGCATATTCCAACTGTGATGAGACCACGGATGAGCTTGTCGCCGAATTCGAGACTGCTCTACTTGCTCTGCCAGAGTCCAAGTGGCCCAATGAGTTTAGACAGAAGCTTGGTACCAACTATGCAGACAACAATGAGTATGTACCATTTTTCGTCAAATCGGTTTATTGCATCCTGTTTTGGGGTTCGCTTCGCTCGCAGTGATGCAAACCCAAAGAATCGCACCCCCTTGACAATTGCTGGCTACGCCCTTGTATGTATATACACTAAATACTTAGCATTTTTCAAACTATAATATTTAAGAAAAGAAGGCTTGCTAGCAATGAAGTCGACGGGACAAGTTAATACTAGTATTTTTTTTTAAATTTTAGTATATTGTAGTATCAGAAATACTGTTTGCTGAACGGTATCATTTTGGCTCAGCTCATTTATTTCAACATCCTCGCTAAATCACGTTTGTTTCGTTTTTAGCAACAGATGTTGTAAAGGTGTCACTATTGGAGGTGCTCTTCCTCCTAAGACAACTGCAACGAAAAAGATAGTGGCCCTTTATCGCAGAGAAGCCCGAAAAGTAAAAACAGGAACCACGAAATGCGGCTGGATGTCTATAGATAAATGCTCTGTTTACAGCATGGAATACTTGTAGGTGACTAAAGCATTGCAATATAGATCAGTTAACAATTACCCGGGGTATGGCACACACTGAACGAAACGTTATTTATCATTTCCGTACATTGCTGTAGTATTTAACATTATCATATGTCGTTATTTCAGCCAAGTGGCTAATTACATGTACAAGGAGGATTTGGGACTCATCCCTCAAGTATGTGGCGACATTGGAACTAATCCTACATGTTGTGCCAACCACATCGAGATTTTGAATCGATGTTTGAGTAAGTAGAAATTGTACTAATATCTCAAAATATTTTAAGGGTGCCCCTGGAAAAAGTGTTTCTCTGAGTCTAAGAAAAAGTTGAATACTTCAAAATATGTTTTGAGGTGAAAATCTGTTTTTTTTCATGGGATGCATTACGGAAGTGCCACGCCCACTTTTGTCGATTTTTGACAATTTATAGCCCCCTTTCTTTGAAAAAGCACTAACGTAAGTTTTTTAAAGATTAAATATCGATATTTTAGAAAAAATCAAATATTATTTTAAAAGTTCAATATGGCAGATCGGAAGGCAGTAACTTCCATGGAGAATGCAAAACTAGGTGTTTAATAAAAAATATTATTTTCAGACTTATATTGGGTGATCGAAAACATGGATGTAATCCAGAGAGAATTACAGAAGAACGAGAAGAAAAACTGAATGGCATATGTATCAAGTTGATGAAAATAAATCGAGTAACATAAGAGTAATTGTATCTTGATTGTAACTTTATAGCATACCCTATTCCATATTTCGGGACTACATTTTTTCCAAAATACTTCTATTCTCCATAAGTTTGGCAACCCTAACTCCCCCATTGGATTACATGCTAAAGCCTATTTATGTTTGAATTTTTATTTGCGTAGTCTCTGAGGAAAATGATACGTCTAGGGCTTGAAATATAAATGGACATCATTTCAGCAGGAAAATAAATCTTTATACACACCTTATTCGGTTGTTTTGGTTTCTATCGCAACCCAAAAATGTGTTTATTAAAGATTCACTTTCCTGCTATCTCATAGTCTGCTTGGAACTGTACCATTGGATTTCTATGGGAAATTCCTCAGAGAAAACTCTAGGGATTAAGGAATGGGTACCATTTACAAAATTTGAGAAATTATTGGCATGTAGATGAAACCTATTTAAAACAGCATTTATGTTATTCAAAAGCGAATAGGATCAATGATTCCAAAATCCTAGTTCTCTGAAGTTGAAAAATGAAAATACCTGGGTGTTAATCCATAGATAATCCTTGAAAATGAGAAATATTTTTGGGATTACATGGTGCAATCTTATAGTCAATAAAATATATAATTCCATACATCTATAATGAAATATATACAAAAACATTTGAGAATTTGGAATCCCACTTAACATAACAAGTTATAGTTATTTAGTTAGGTTAAATAGTTTATTAAAGTCACACACTTGTTATACAATTAAAGTACATAAAATAAAATACAAATCAACAAATATGTACAGCCGACTTATGAGTGACTATAGGTAAATGCGTCTTCTACGCCATATTTTAAAAATACATTTTGCTTAAAATAAAACTGTTACAAGAAGTCATTATGTAACAATATTGAGCTTAAGTACTAACTTTTTTAAGTATATGTGCCTAATTTGTTACCATTTTCACAGTTTTTCTTATCGTTCCATAGATCCCTGAACCAATGTGATTGCTCTGACTCTACATTTTCTGTGAAACAATTTCGCCATGCTTTTACCTTTGGTACCAATGTACATATTTTATACTCTATTTGTTCTTATAATATATTAATATGACTCCTGCTTTGTGATCTAAATCAGTCTCATTCATCATATCATATGGTGCAGTTGATGTGGACTTGGAAGAAATATTGTTAACAGTTAACTGTTTGTCATTACTTTGAGAATTACTGTTCACTGCAATATCCATATCACTAAAGCCATCATTAACATGTTCTTGATTGTTTTCAACAGGAGCATCGAACTTAACAGTCTGGTTCGTTTTCCTTCTCCATATTATGGTAGAGACTATTATAATGACAAACACAACAGACGCTGATATTCCACATGCCAAACCAATCTCAAATGAAAGGCTCAATGGTTTATTTGTTTTGGTAGTTGACCTTGTTGCTTGTGTAGATTCTTGTGTTGATTTTTGTGTTGTTTGTATAGCTTTTGGTGTTGTTTGTACAGGTTCTTGTGCTGTTTGTATTGATTCATGTTTTGCTTTTTTATACGCTCGTGTTGTTTGTTTATATTCTCTTGTTGTTTGTAAAGATTCTTGTGTTGTTTGTATATATTCCTGAGTTTTTTGTATTAATTCGTTTGTTGTTTGTACAGATTCATCTGTTGTTTGTGTTGTTTGCTCAATTCTTTTTGTTGCAACACAAAAGTTCTTAATTGCCTCGATGTTATAAAAGTTTTGGGCTGGAATGGTTGTAATGTTATTTCCACCCAAGTATAATGTTGTCAATTTAGGCAAATATTCACATATATCTCTTGGTACTTCCTTGAGTTCATTGTTTTTTAGATTAAGATATCTAAGATTATAAAGGTTCACCAAGGATCTAGATCTAATCTCTGTTATTTTATTGTTATCAAGGTGGAGCTCTTTCAGGGAGGTCAAATTATGGAATGTGCCATCTCTCAAAATTCTAAGTTTATTGTTATACAAATATAGATATTGTAATGAATTCAAACTAGCAAATACATCACCCTCAATATTTGCTATTTTATTGTTATAAAGATATAGCCATATCAGGGAGGTAAGATTATTAAAAACGCCATTTCTTAAAATTTTAAGTTCATTGCCATCTAAATATAGATATTGCAATGAATTCAAACTAGAAAATACATCACCCTCAATCTCAGCTATTTCATTGTTATACAGATTGAGCCGTATCAATGAGGTAAGATTATAAAATATGCCATTTCTCAAAATTGAAAGTTTATTGCCGTCTAAATGTAGATATCGCAAAGAATTCAAAAATTCACCAGTCGCAATCTCTGTTATTTCATTGTTATGAAGAAAAAGATGACTCAGAGAGACCAGATTATAGAATATACCATCTCTTAAATTTGAAAGTTTATTGTAATTCAAATATAGATATTTCAATGAATTCAAACTAGAAAACACATCACTCTCAAGCCCTGTTATTTCATTTTGATTAAGATAGAGCACCATCAGGGACGTCAGATTATTGAATAAGCCACCTCTCAAAATTGTAAGTTTATTTTTATATAAAGATAGATATTGCAATGAATTTAAACCAGAAAATACACCACCCTCAATTTCTATTATTTCATTTTGATGAAGATATAGCTTTATCAAGGAGGTCAGATTATTGAATATGCCATTTTTCAAAATTGTAAGTTTATTGTTATGTAAAGATAGATGTTGCAAAGAATCCAAACCAGAAAATGCACCAGGTTCAATTTCCGTTATTTGATTTCTATCAAGTCGTAGATCTGTCAAAGATGTGTGATTCACGAACATGTTTTCTGTAAGTATTGTCAACTGCGTGTTACTCTCGTCCAACCTTGTAGCCTCAGTTAATTGTGGCATCGTTTGGCACAGGAAACATATCATCAACGTCACCAGTAGCATTGTCTGAAATGGAGATTCTTAAGTTGAACATTTAAAATTAAGGTAATGTAAAATTAATATTTATTCATTTATTTATTATTTATTTGACAGTCACTTTTATAACACTGGCACTCAAAGGTGCGTCAATATTACATATAAGTAGTATGCAAACAATACATTTTTTACTAAAATCCATAGAAGAATATGAGACATAAGCTTTAAGTAAAATCATTAAAATAGGTTGAAATCACGTTGATTTATGTTTCACATACATCTTTTTCAGAAATTTTTTTGTACAAACATCAAAATTCCAGCCATTGTCATGCCCCCGAATGCTAAACATATCATCCCCAAGAATCCACTAATTTAATTTAATTTGAGGGGGGAAATTTAGGTACTATAAGCATCTATATCAATTATAGCTAGGAGTATTTTCAAAGGATCGTCCCCATGTAAAGCTGTAAAGAGATAGGAAACAAAACCAATATCGAGTCGTAAGCCTAATGAAGGGACAGGTTGCAAGATGTCGACACATCACGTTTTGGTGCGCTTGAAATATAAAAATATAGCCATGCGACCTAAAAACAGATCCAAATTATACATGAAAGAGAACATTAGTACACAACTCCACTCACTGTTGTGATTTTGATGGTGTTGTAAAATTCGGAATATATTTTTATAGAATAAATCCTTTGCCTTAATACTGTTTATTCTATTTTATCTTATTTTAATGTAAATTGAAAGTTATTTTAACAATGAGTGAATTCTTATTTTAATATTTTTTAGCCGCTCATGACACCCCTGGTGTCAATTTTAGCCTCTAACTTCACATTAAGAAAACAACGGATGGTTTCATATTGTTTGGAAATGATTTATCCTTAAAATTACATATAATATATGACATTATTTAACATATACCATATGCTATTCATCTTTAAACTGGGGTATTGTTTTTTGTCCCACCCAGTATTAGTGCTCATAACTTGGATACTTGCTACTAGAAGCCTTACAACCGTTCCTGAAAGTTATCGAGATGTTCGAACATGATTGTATTCACGCCTTCTATAAACTGTAAACAAAGTCAATATTTCACCTGGGGTATATTCGCGAAGAATACCTCTAGTAATACGTGTAATGTGTGATGTCATAACGGCGGGCGGTACGTAGTAATGGCGGACCATAATGAATATTCGAAACATTTTGGTGAGTTTTCATGTTCGAATCGTAATATAGACCTCAGAGCAGGGGTAATATCGTCGAATACATCCCTTAGGGCTAGGCATGAAAGCTTCGGTCGTTCGGGGTACAGAAAACGTCTGTGCCTAGCCCTGCGGGGGTGTATTCGACAATATTACCCTGCTCTTCGGTCTATACTTCTTAATTGCAAACGTACATTTATTCACATGAAATAAAATAGTATTTTGTATATGTGAAAACTGAAGGTAACGTTTTTAACCAATAAATCTTCCATAATACTTATTGAATCATTTTCCTTTTAGACGTACAATATTCTAATAAGGCGTCCTCGATTATAAGCATGATTTTAAGAAGTTTACATTGATTGCTCAATTCAAACCTCAAGTTGTTCATTGTGTATGTGCGTGATACCGCAAAATTTCAATTGCAAAATGCTTTCGAATCTCAAAACCATGCTTATAATGTAGGACACCTTGATTATAAGCATGATTTTAAGAAGTTTTCATTGATTGCTTGTTCACCGTATATATGCGTGATACTGGGAAATGTTTCGAATCTAAAAATCTTGCTTAAAATCTAGGACACCTTGCTTATAAGCATGATTTTAAAAAGTTTTCATCATTTGATTGCTCAATTCAGACCTCCAGTTGTTCAATATGCGTGATACCGGAAATGTTTCAATTGTAAGATACTTTCAAATCTAGAAATCATGTTTATAACTTAGGACATCTTGATCATAAGCATGATTTTAAGAAGTTGCTCATCAGTTGAAACCATCAGTTGAACAGATGTTCACTGTGCATATGCGGGATACCGCAAACTGTTTCAATTGTAAAATACTTTCGAATCTAAAAACCATGCTTATAATTGAGGACACCTTGATCATAAGCATGATTTTAAGAAGTTGCTCAATTGAAACCTACAGTTTTTCGTACATACATTTGCATGATACCGGAAAATGTTTCAATTGCAAGATACTAACGAATCTCAAAATCATGCTTATTATTTAGCCCGGGTACCGGTAATTTAGACACCTTGACTGACCCAAATACATACCATGGATTCTTTAGTTGTCAATTTACGTTGCAAAATCATGGTTGACTGCACTTTGGCCGAGTGGGGATATGTATAATCTCGTATATCTTGTTCTTGTGTTGTATTATATTTTCCTTGTTGTTACTTTAATAAGTGATATCTGTTTTACATATATTCTGAAGAGGAAATGTTATCCTTGTAAAACTGTTATTTATATTCTACAATAGGTTTTGTGCTAGCGTATTGAACCAGCTGTTTTTTATACTTTAGACTTCCTATTTTGTCAGTACAATGTTTGATTCTTCAATTCTTTATTTGAATTAGTTATCATTTAAATATTGTCTTTACTATGCGCTGTACACTGATAAAACTCAACCAGAAGACATTTGCCACTTTAAGCCTTCACAGCCATTAGTTTTTTTTAAAATCTAGTTTACATATTTTGGTTGAACTTATTTCGCAATAAAAGAATTCGAATGCAATTGTCCTCAATCTATTCATTACCAACACCATTTATTCCACTTACAAAGAAGTTTTATGTTTTATTTCTAAAGAATGTTTTAATTCAGTTTGCCATGTCTTTGAATAGTGGGCCGGATGCTAAGTTATAAGAATATTTGCAAGAATCAAATAAAAGATTGAGTAAATCTTAAATTTGTTTTACAAGTATGAAACAACCTCAATGTAAGCACATGGCCGTGTGGTACGGAATGGTACAAATTACTCTTAGTGGCTTAGTTTTTATTTTCTTGCAAAACTTCCAAATGGAATTTGACTGGATAATTGTTTAGAACACAAGTTCTAGTGTCTTGTCAACAATGGTGGTGGTACCTAAAGTGGTGAAAATATTTTATGTATATTTTGAAAGTAGCGCCACCTATGTTATTGAGTGATATACGGCTGTTATGAAAAACTATTTTTCAAAAATATAATTTTGTTGTCTAAAATTATTTCACCTATTGTTTTCTGTGATATTCCATATCATCATCCTGAAGTAATGTAAAAAGTCCGATAATACAATTTGTTAAAAATCATTAAAACCTCCTTGAAACTGTCAAGATCCATACGCTGTATGCCACATAATTCAAGGCGAAAAAAATAAATAATACGAAATTGTGTGAAAAATCATTGCATGGACAATACACTTCTCTCCATAATTTGGGTAAATATGGTTTGATGAATTGATGTTAAATTGCCAAACTGGCTTTAATTGACGATCAAAAAGGAATTTTCGGTTGTCGAAATTGCGTAGGGTAGTGCACTTTATGCACTACCTGATGTGTCATGCTGTTCATATTGACTATTGACTGACGTATCAATATTAGGTTTTTAAAAGTGGCGGGCCATTCGTTTTAAGTGGAACTAAATTTTTCTCAGAACTTATTTTTCCAATCTTGTTCACTTTTCCAAAATGTTAATTAAAGAAAAATGCAGTATTTTATTCAACATTTTCGGAAAAATATGATCCTTAACACCCTTTTGAAGTTAATTCAGAAGTATATCAGAAAATAATACATAATGAGCAAAAGTGGTTTAACGTTCGATTCCTTGTGGCAAACAATGGTCCTTTTTTCATATAGCTTTGAAATCTTGTTAAAGTCGCGTTTTTAATGAGATTTTAGGAGATCTGCATTTTTAACCATTAAAGACTAACATTTTCTTCTATTTGATGCCATATTTGAATTCTGTGTGTAATTTTCTATCAAAACAACTTTGATTTGCACTGTTATTTATCTTTTTTCAAATTCTAATGATTTTTTAGTTGTCTAAAAAAGGTCGAGCGGAGGGATTTCCCAAAGATGACCTTTCATATTGGCACGTTCGAAAAACAAATTTTATAAACAGGCCTCATTTGCCATTGAACTGAATCTTATAAAATGTTCGCTGTAGTTTTATGAGTATTCTCTACAAGTTTGGATTGAGTAACTTTAATAGTATTACCGTAGGTTTAAAATGATGATATTGAACTGATGTTAACGCCATTTCCACGATTTCAAAGAGAGAGCACGTGCTCATGTTTGTTCACGTGATCGCATACTGCAATTTGATTGGAGATAATTCGCGATCGGGAGATGACGTAAAGGGGAATCCCCGAATACGATAGAAATATGAAAGAATTATGGGAGCAACTCACTTCTTCTGGGTATGAGGTTGAAGTTATTTGTAAATTCAAAATCATTGCTTAAACAAATCAATTAAGGATTTTCATAAATTTATCAATAAGAATTGTCAACTATATAATTGACACCAGGAAATGACGACTAATTGGAGAAAAACCCATGACTGAGCCTTGTATAGCGAGAAATAATAGTTGTATGTAAATTGTACTAAACTGACAAATGGAATGGTCCAGTTTAATATAATGTTCTTTTCTGCAGCACCGAAACGACGGACCGCTACGCGATTTAAAAAATCGGACGGACGTAGCAATAACTATTTGTAAGGCTCCAACATTTGCTGGGAACCTGATTAGTCAAAGTCTTGTAACCCAAGTCAACTAAGTCGGCAACTAAGTCGAAACAATGGCAGATATAATTTAGAATGGATAAAATTGCAATAAACTATAAATGACATTCTGATTTAAGCTATCCCCGAAACAACAATTTCAACTTGGATTACCAAGATGTGACGTTTTAATGAAGTATTTTGATTAAAAACAATTAAACTGGTAAACGAGTTTGCGAAAATTAAGGAGAGGGGCAATATATTCAACATCTTCGGACATACGTGGCCCTAAAACTCTAAAATACAGCAATCAGCCGCAAGGAGGATTGGCTCCCAGGATCGAGCATCGCTGTTTTCCAACAATGAAAACGTCGAAGTGTCGTTATTTTCTGAAATTTTTACCGACTATATAAATTCAAAATAAACAGTTCAGAAGATACATACCAATATCTCGATCATTTCTTGTGAGTTTTGGTGAGTTTTGGAATTTTTCGTTAAGAAATAAGTCCAAATTTCACTATTCAAATGTAAAAGTCAACAAAATGTGGGCTGTTGGAATTCGAATTTTGTGGCACGACATCCCCATATATGGGACAGAATATCGATGTTGCACTCTGGAAGCCAATCCTCCTTGAATCAGCCAGGCGCCGGCCGATGAATCGGGGCAAATGTGACCTCGGTCTTACTATGAGAGAAACATAATTTGTGTCCTATTTATGGTGGCAAAAATACTCATGGTCGAAGAAATGACTTTCTAAAGCCATTCTCCATCCATATCTGGTTTTCTAAAAATTGTATTGAATAAACAATATTCTGTTGATTTATTTTTTTATTATTCCGGATATACACGAACACTTTGATTTTTTCGTTGTCTCGGTGAATAACATAGCAAAATATATAGCATAAATAGTTTTGCGGTGTCAATTATGGTTACACATTGTAAAACTTCACGATAAATCAAGAAGCAAAGCTCAAGTGGTCTATGTGCTAGATCGCTTGTCCACTTACTAGTATCAGATTCAGGCGATGCGATATAAAATGTTCGTAAATATAGACCAGGCCAAAAGGCCGATGGCGTTCTACAGATGGCGTTCTAACTTCTAAAGACAAATAAATTCCATTTTAAATTGACCCCTCCTTCTCCAAATTGTAAACCCTGTAAACTGAAATTTCAATAATGTTTTTTTAAATCAAAATTTACATCCTGAGCCCTAAAGCATCCTGAGCCCTGAAGCATGCATTGCTTGCATCCTTGCAAAGGAATCTGCTTGCATCCTTTCTTGGCTTGCACCCTTCCTTTGCTGATCGTGATCATTTTACGTATAACTATGAATCATCCTGAGCGTTTTTCGATCTATCAACGTTGTCCCTATAGTCAAGTCACTATACAGCGTAGTCTTTATCGTGTCATTCGAAAGAGTTGTAAAGTAAAGAATAAAATTGTAAGTCCGATGCCAAAAAGAGATACAGTTGTAGACGCAACCCCGGATACTGGAGTTGTGCTCACAGGTTCATCGATGAAGCCATTGTCAGCAATAATTTTTGAATAGGCCTTTGCAGAGTCTTTCGCAGTTCGCGTTTTGTTGGGCGAGTCATAATCAACCCAATGCAGACCAAATCGCTCTCTATAGCCGGACGCCCATTCAAAATTGTCCATAAGACTCCACGCAGTGTATCCCACGACATTCACTCCATCAAGCTTAATGGCTGAAAGTAGAGACATATTTGGAGGGTAAATACCAAGTGAAAACAATGATGGGTAAAATAGGTAAAATGTCTTTAAAAAACGTTTTTGGCCCACCTAGTATATCAGCAAAATGGGCACCTTCGCATCGTCGTCGACACGACAGTGAATTTTTGATAAAAGTAAAATTAAAAGTTGGAAAAATATGAAACACAGGCCTAAGTCTATCATATGCTATGTTATACGTCTGATTACTTTTCTTTTACAGACACATTTGATATGATCAGGAAAACAAAAGATAAGACTAGGAATGATCTTCCAGCTATCGTCTTTGATTAAATGATAAACATTGCCGTCTGCAAAGCATGACACCACAAAGCCCTAACTTTTATCTAATTTTTTGATTCACCAAATGTTCCAAGAATTTGACCATGGAGACCTCCAGTTTTCAATAATTTGGAGGGAAGTGTACATGTACCTTTGAGCATTTCGTCAATGTAATGTCTGTAGTAGAAAGTTCTGGCTTCGTCAGAGATTCCATTTTCTTTTGAAGAAGGTCTGTCAGACACCCCGTTTTCAGTGACGTAGATAGGAGGATTTGGATACGTAGTGTAGATCCAATTGAGCACTGAGCGCATTCCAAAGGGCGTCACCTTTAACCAATCAGAGCCCGACCTAAAAGTGAAACGTTTGGTACATGAAATCAGACGTTGTCTTAAAGTTAAGGTTAAATGTGTATGACTTGCGGCCATTTTGTACTGGCACATGAAATCAGACTTTGTCTTATAAAGTAGCAGCCATAAAATCCAAACAGATTTGTAAATATTTCACTTTGAGAACAAAGGGACACATTTGGGAGGGGGTCAAATTGAGAATATTTCGAGATATAAATACTGTTTCTATGGTAACCATATAAGTTAGAGATTGGAAATTTTTGGCACTTACTTACCATAAGATGCCCTACCCAATATAAAACAATGAATATCTGGCATGCATTAGTATTCTTTTTATAGGCTGGTATTAAAGTACCCCCATGGTTTTTTGGGGGTAGGGGTATAAATTGGTCCGAGGGCCGTCTGCCACCCCTATAGAAAGTCCAACTACCCAGAAAGTGTCTAGTATCATCATACAGATGGTTTGAAATAGGTTGGAATGTGTAACCTTTCATGTAAGGAAGGAGTTACAATTATCAGAGTGGGGCGTAGTCTATTAGTTTAAAAATGTGTACGACATGCGGCCATTTTGAACTGGCACATGAAATCAGACGTTGTCTTAAAGTTAAGGTTATAAATGTGTAGGTCTTTCGGCCATGTACCTTGAAAAAATGTATAGAAGATTTTTTAAATAAAATGTAATTTATGAAGTTCACTGAATTTACTCGTTTTTTTATACATTTTATAAATGTTCCCAACGCTTTTATACATTAGTGCACCCTTTGTGCAAAACTGAAAGATACAGACAATGTGGGAAAGGAGGAGTTCATATTTGAACAGTAACATGTGACTCAATGGGGATATCATCAAAATGGCTAAAAGAACACACTGACTTTTAATGAAAGGAGCAGCTAAGACGATTTCCATATCATGACTATTTTCTAAAATCCAATAGCCATGACTTTATTTCTAAATAATAATCAGGTGCAAAAAAATAAAGGTCAAGTTCATTTTTTATTCAATCTAATCATATCAATATATTTCTTCATCTTATATCTTCAATAATTACATTTTTATTCAAACAGATATCTTTTATTTATTTTTCGGGTAATGAAATAAGGATAGTATTTTCCTTAGGAAACTGGTAAACTGGTATGCTTTTTGAATATATTCAATGCAAGTGTAAAATATATTACATCGCCAGGTGTTGCATTCACATAATGGGAGTTCATTATTGTATATTGATTAAAATTAATTAAATCAACAATTTTTACATTTTAATTAGACATTTTTTAGTATGAAACCGTCTAGGTAATGAGAAAATGTAACATGTCCAGCCGTGGCCCTTTGGCTTAGCGGTTAAAGCGCCTGTCTAGTAAACAGGAGATCCTGGGTTCGAATCCCAGAAGGGCCTTTTTGTCGGCCTTCAATTGTTTTTAAGCAATTAGGTGCTTGGCTTTGAATTCCTGAAAGACCTTCCTTTTGATTATTGCATTTTTTGACAGAAGTCAGTCATAGGCTGAAGAAGAAGGGTGTGATATATGACATAAACAATGGACGCGTATCACAATCACCATTCATGTGCTCATCCATGATACATATTTATTTGTTCATTTATTTACTTATTTATTTATTATGAAGTATTAATTGTGTGTGTTGTTATATATACTGTTTTCTGTTGTATTGATATATTGTAAAATTAGTGTTTACTTTGTTTACACTTAACCCTTTATGGGTATGCATGTGTAATAAAGTTCATAAATCTAAATCTAGGCATAGCCAGGGGGCGGGTCCCCTGTAACTAATAAAAATAGAACCATGAGAAAGAAAAACAAACGAGCTTGAAAATACTTTGTAGCTTGTAGCTCAATTTTGAAGGGAGTTGTATACTTTTTTGTAGAATACAAAATAAATCTTATTTTGGCTTGTTTATGCCACAATCGCACCCCCGACAGAAAACCGAATTTTTTGCGATCGCACCCCCCCCCCCCAACTGAAAGCTGGCTACGCCCCTGTCACTGGTATTTGGTAAAGAATTAAAGAAGTCGATAACTGGCATGCTGGGTTGTCAATTGTAACGGTCTCTCGATTAACTCTCGACTAGACAGATTTCATTCCAGATGTCAGGAAAATTTGGGTATAACAAAATCTTCAAAACCATCGATTTTACCTCATCAAATTTCTTAGAACTTACATTATCTAACCACATGATCTTGAATTTTGTTCATTACTCCAAACTAATTACTAATTACTTCAAACCTGAATAACACGTACAGAGGTCTCAAATAAAATGTTTCGGTTGAATGATCACTATATATATAAGCCCCTTGCATTTCATTGTAACGTGTGTTTGGCCTTGGATCCGATGATATTATCGTGGAATATCGCGGGCTTTACTTTCTTACACTTACACGGGCCAAGCGGGGTCAATAGCTCCTGCTGTCGCCTTGTCATTGTCATAGCCTGGTGGACCAACTGGATTGTTGTCGTCATTGAACGTCAGACCAGCGCCATAGAAATTCAGGCCCATGAAATCAGAGGTCCCTATCAAAAGGAAAATCAAATTTAAAGCTCGTTACGGACTCAAAAAGTCTAATCATACTTGTAGATTAAATCATTATTTAAAGTGGCCTTAATTGTGATAGACATAAGGTTTTATTAGAAAGAACAAGGCATTAACATGACAAAATGTCACCACCTAAAACAATTTGGTCAATTTAAAGCAAGTTGGAAAATACCTTTTGACCTTGAGAAGGTCATTGAAGGTCAAAGGTCAAATCTAAAGTCAGATTTGAACTTCTGAGAACTTGTAAAGTCAAATTTGAACTTTTGAAAAGATGTAAATGATTTTGAAAAAAAAATTTGGTTAATTTGAAGCAAGTTGAAAACAGACCTTTTTGACCTTTTTTGACCTTGAGAAGGTCATTAAAGGTCAAATGTCAAATCTAAAGTCAGATTTGAATTTCTGAGAACATGTAGATGATTTTGAAAAAAAATTTAGTCAATTTAAAGCAAGATGAAAAAATACCTTTTTGACCCTTTTTGACATTGAGAAGGTCATTGAAGGTCAAATGTCAAATCTAAAGTCAGATTTGAATTTCTGAGAACATGTAGATGATTTTGAAAAAAAATTTAGTCAATTTGAAGCAAGTTGAAAAAAGACCTTTTTGACCTTTTTTGACTTTGAGAAGGTCATTGAAGGTCAAATGTCAAATCTAAAGTCAGATTTGAATTTCTGAGAACATGTAGATGATTTTGAAAAAAATATTTAGTCAATTTGAAGCAATTTGAAAAAAGACCTTTTTGACCTTTTTAGACTTTGAGAAGGTCATTGAAGGTCAAATGTCAAATCTTAAGTCAAATCTAAAGTCAGATTTGAATTTCTGAGAACACGTAGATGATTTTGAAAATTTTTTTAGTCAATTTGAAGCAAGTTGAAAACAGACCTTTTTGACCTTTTTTGACCTTGAGAAGGTCATTGAAGGTCAAATGTCAAATCTTAAGTCAGATTTGAATTTCTGAGAACACGTAGATGATTTTAAAAAAAAAATTTAGTCAATTTGAAGCAAGTTGAAAACAGACCTTTTTGACCTTTTTTGACCTTGAGAAGGTCATTGAAGGTCAAATGTCAAATCTAAAGTCAGATTTGAAGGTCAAATGTCAAATCTAAAGTCAGATTTGAATTTCTGAGAACATGTAGATGATTTTGAAAAAAAATTTAGTCAATGTGAAGCAAGTTGAAAAAAGACCTTTTTGACCTTGAGAAGGTCATTGAAGATCAAATGTCAAATCTAAAGTCAGATTTGAACTTCTGAGAACATGTAGATGATTTAGAAAAAAATTGAAGTCAGTCTAAACAGTATTTGTTAAGTTATAGGAAGTTGTAAGAAATTGTTACAGACGCCGGACGCCGGACGCCAACCTCCAACCACCAACCGCCAACCACCAACCGCCAACCACCAACCGCCGTCGCAAAAAAACGGAGACCATAACAATATGTCACTACTTTTGGTGGTGACATAATAAGCCAGGCTAGGCGTCAAGGCAATTGTACATCTTATAAGTTTTAACAGGGAGTTTGTAGCAACTGAAGACCTGGCTAAATAAATGCTTCTGATACTCATAGCATCTTTCTGTTTCACCTGAAACATGCTCTGATATTAAGTGATTAAGTGTGATAGTTATCATGTAATCATTTACCTAATGTCAATACATTACATAAAAGGCATTGTATTTAACTGCAGATATTAGCACAGGCACGTGTACACAAGTTTAATGGCCCCAATTAAATGAAATATGAGCTGGGATGAAAGATCTCAAAAATCCTCAATTTTGGGCTCTTCTGGATCGCCAAATCAGGCTCATTATTATTATATCATGGCATCTCAGGGCTGAGAAGAAATGAGATGTCATGGTTTATCATGATGAAATAAATGGGGAAGTCATATACCCAATAAACCGTTGTATACCTTTTATGCTTTCAATTTCTGCCGGGGTAAATTTTGGCAGCCTTGATTCAGTGAGGTTCTGTGCTTCGCTTTTATTGCCAACTTGCCACTTCATAACATCCGGGTAGTCGCCGTAATAGATGGGGTGCGCAAACCATCCGAAGTCAAACTGCATGGCACGCTCTGCGGCTTCCACGTCACTAGGAATACTTGCGTTCCTTGGCTCTGACCAACCAGTGTTCAACGTGATACCAATAGTTCCTAAAAATACGAACTGGGAATGAGTGGCAGTCTCTTTCTAGCGGCCGGTATTAATAAAGAAGGCAACAATATCAGATACTTTGTTGTTTGTTTAATTTATATATCAGGGCCTGACCGTGTTTTAAAATCTTTTTTATTTTGTGGAGGGGCTGGGTTGCTTCACTGGACATTTTCGGTTGGGTGTACGAATGGTTAAACTTTAGGTCTTAAATTGAATAAAATCTCTCTCCCCTGTGTACAGAGCCTTGAGGGATCAATTTAGATTATCATTTTTGCTTTTAATAACTGGCCAGCTATAAACCCGGACATTTGCTATGGCATTTAAAGTAAATTTGGATGTTGGAGATATTGCTATTTGATTTGTTGGAATGGGAGCATACAGTATTGGAATTTCATGGTCGTGCTTTGGATCCTATTTACTTGCATTGAATAGATACTCACCCTTTTGAGTGGCTCTGAATTCATCATCGTATGTATGCCAGGCTTTGGCGTGAGCCTTTAGCAGGTTATGACCAGCAATGTATGTTTTCGTTCCCGGTGCATCGCTGTATCCTGGTGCAAAAATACCATAGCCGTAACCGTGACGTACTATGATCCATGGTTCGTTAAATGTGATCCAGAGAGACACCTGTTAAACGAACGTTAGAAACTTACGTGTTTCCGCACGATGAAAATTTTAAATGGCATCCTCGTCGGAGTCACGTGTTAATTTCAAAATAGCCATATATCGGTCACCATAACGATTCGCTTAAGTCTCACTATTGCACAGGATGTATTTATGTATACAATGAATATACGGTGTATATATAATCTAATTTCTTAATTGTTTAATTCACATCAGCTTACCCTATCCCCGAATCGCTGGAAGCAGAGACGAGCGTAATCGTTGAAGTGGTCATTTGTCGTTTCATTAAGCCAACCACCGTGATCTTCAAGCTTTTGTGGCAGATCCCAATGGTACAACGTCAACATTGGCTTGATGTCGTTAGCAAGAAGCTCATCAATGAGGTTGTTATAGTAAGTTATGCCCTTTTCATTGATGTCATTTATAGTACCATTGGGCAGTACGCGAGGCCACGATACTGAGAATCTGTAATGGGATACCTGCAAATATGGAAAAATAGTTACATTGGATGAGAAAGTCTGAAACTGAAACATAACGATACACCTGAAAACAGGGGGTGGAAACGCGTAGAGTATTTTCGTAGCGTACAAAGGAAATACATTACAAAACCGCCGTCTTATTAAAAAGAATAGAATAGGTGTAGTTTTATTTTGTCGCCTATCAACATTTTCTCGTTCTTTCCCAGCTGCTAATACGCTCATCACGCTCCTGGGGTGTCGTGTCGATGGTTACAAATTGACACCCAAAACACTAGTTTTTCAACAAAATGGGATTAAATACAGACTTTTTGTTTAAAAATCGCAACATTTCTTCGTTTAACCCATCATTCTATAAAAAATATATGAATGGCTGTCAATTTATAACACTGGATTCACGGGGGATAAGCAAAACGAGGGCGAAGCCACGGACTGCGACTCGCGTAACTTTACACCGCAGCCCAGCCTTCTGGCCTTCTGCCTTCAGGCAGTGCCTTCTGCTTCTTCCGACAAAATAGAGAAATCCAGGTATTTTAAATGCTATCGTAGTGTCTAATCGGTGACCAAAATATTACTCTGTATCTACTGTTGGTCTGTAGATAAGAAAATAAGCAGTTGTCCAGATCAAGCTAAAACAGTAGCAAAGTTCTGATTTTACCTGTAAAATATGTGCATATTATTTAATTTACTATACATTTGAAAGGAGTTTTAACACGTTTCTGATATCTAAAGGTTAGTTGAGGCTCCGAGTATAATTCGTGAAAATGATTTGATAATAGAATGTGTTCATGAGGAGAAAATTAGATTCAAACTGCGCATTCATAGTGGACGCAGTCCAGTAAACAAAGCTATTTCAACAACGCAACACAGCCTCCATTGATATTCTAAGTAACGCAGTCCAGCCGCGAACACGAAATAAATAAGATAGTGTAAACTATATTCCTACGCTATTATTGTTTCAGGAAAAGAAAGTCAGCATCCAGATTATCATTCAAAGTTACGTTGATTAACATATATCTATTACCTGAATCAATGTCCCAAATTGCTATATTGTATCGTTTAAGACCTAGAAATATGGCAATTCAATAGCGTATTTGGCAGAACAGTCGAGCGCAAGATGACAACGTAATATGTTTAATACAAACCAATTTGTGGATAGGGTTAAATATATAGATAATTGGATAGTGGTGAGACTTTTTATAAGAAGTAGAAATGCGAAACAATTAACTTTTTGATGATGCAATAAAAGCTGTTGGGGAAGGGTACATTAACTAGTATTTAAGATATCAGGAAAATATCAAATAATTGGAGAGTTGGTGAGTTAATGTAATTTTGGATGATCTTTCCAACAGTCCATCAATATTGCTAGCTACCATAAATTCATGATTTCAGCTGTATTTGACAGCTTGTATATATTTGCAGAATGGATTGAGACACGATGTAGGTCTATTAAAATAGCCCTTTATATTCAATTTTGTCCAAAGTTGCTCCATTTCGGCCACACCTGTACACACATTGTGCTATCTACTTTTGGCTGTGATTGCGTTAAGCTTCAGATATAAAGCAACACTGAGTCGCGGACTGCGTTGGGCAGATGGATGGACTGCGACTATTATAAATTCCAGTTTTCTATGTAATTGTACGTTTTCCGCTTACCAAATATCACACGAAGATGTAATTGTAACAACAGAACATGAATAGTTATATTAATTCGATGTCATTTCTGATTCCTTTGTTTAAATCGGTATATTAGGGACAGATATTGACAAAATTACATTTTTTTGTGGCAGATTTCGAATTCATTTGTGTTCATGCTAAACTATTGGACAGCCGTGCACCAAGAATGCCATTGCAGGTGGAGTATGAATATGTTGATCACCGACTGGAACATACTAGCTATTCTGTAGAATATCCAAACCAATAATCTACCCCAAATCCTAACATGCCTTCCAAATTAAGTTTGGACTTACCGCCATTGTTCAGCTATAATGCGTTGTAACCTCGTTTTGAATTACGCGAGTCGCAGTCCGTGGCTTCGCCCTCGTTTTGCTTATCCCCCGTGGGATTGTTTCCTCGATGTATTGGGAACGTGATGAGCTTATTAGAAGCCAAGTCAAATCTCAAAACGTTCACAACATGGAACCATCTGTTACACTTAATACCTTAATCAATATAACAATCAAAGAAACTTTTCAAATTTAATATAATTAAATTGCTATGTTTGTAAAGCGGCCCTTTGGCTTAGCGGTTAAAGCGCCTGTCTAGTAAACAGGAGATCCTGGGTTCAAATCCCAGAAGGGCCTTTTTGATGCGTTTTACTGGTTTCATATATTGTGTGCATTGTTGAAAAGAATTTCAAATGCCCAGGGTGATGCTTGACAGAAGCCATAGTGCATAGTTAAAGATTTCATTTATACAAACAACAAAGTCTGAGAGCTTTCGAACACTCCACGGCATCACAGGATTAGGGATTTCAAAATGATCAGGGATTTCAAAATCATGGAGAGGTTGATATGAAGCAAAATATGGGTTATTTGAATAAAAGACAACCGTCATCGGAACCGCCCACAGATCACGCTTTCGCATCCGCCCGATCCATTGTCGGCAGCTGCGTATACCAAGGGTGATCTCGCTCTAGCGGAATTAATTAAAACGAATACATTACCCCCAATTCTTTCAGAAGCTGAACATCCGTTTTGTAGTTGTAGTAGCTCTCGCATGCCACATCTCCCGTGTCATTGTTATAGACTTTACCACTGGTGTGAACAAAGCGATCCCAAATACTTTCTCCTTTACCTGCAAAATAAATCAACATAAGGTCGTCCGTTAAATTGTACATTGTGACCCGTTAACTCTCAGATATTAGGGAGTTTAAAAGTGTGCATATAAAATCGAAACACCAACCTATACGTATGACCAATAAGCCATACAAATGCATCGCTAAATATTTTCCGTTCACGTTGAGGATGTGAAAAACATTGCAAGATCCCCTATTGCCCAAGAGTAGACCTAGGAATAATACATAATTTATATTTTTTACAGATATGGAAGGGATAATATCAATAAGTTTTCTGAGATTCAATTTATCGGTGTGAATTGTTTATAATGTATCACTGCGATGAAGGACAAGTCTTGCATCTTTACACCCTTAAAAACCCTGCTCGACAATTAGGCAAAGAATATGTGAAGGCGTGCATATGAACATCACATTTCGAATGCCCATTAAGATTTACGTAATTTACTATTTACGAAAAATGGTACACTGCCCAGATTCCTAGATAACCATCGTCTCCTTTTTGACGAACATCGAGCAGTTACTTGCGACTAAATTGTAACTAAATTAAAACGGTTCAAAACACGGACTCCTGTATGGTACCTTTAAATATGGTACCATGCGATACCATAAACTGGAACAGTACCGCACGATACTGGGCGTGAACACTGTACGGCAGAGATACATACACAAAAGGTACCGTACCATACTCTTAATGTACCGGGGCGGTACGGTACCGTGATTTCAGAGTGCGGATCATATGTTTTGTTTCTAACTACCGACGGCTTCTCGAGATGAGGGGGAATTGTTTACTTTTTGTATTAAGCCATGTAGTACTCCAGTAACCTTCACTGGGCAATCAAATGTTGATCGATGACATGCACTTTTAATGATTATACAAAAAACGAATACTCCAACAACAAAGATAAAACAATTTTCTACTTAACTTTTTGATTTTACAAATATGAAGTGTCGATCAAAATAGTAATATGATATTATATGTACTTTTTTATAAAACGTGTATTTGCTGACTCACGGTATGGTGTGGGCCATGTGACCAAGCCCTCTAACAATCGCCTCTGATTGGTTGCCACACGCAAGGGCGTTGTTGGAGGTGGTGCCTGGACGAGGTTACTTTAAACTATTTTGAAACTCATACAAGTTTGGCGTTTCTATCCTTAACTTATTACAATGCAGAAAACGTACAACATACAGTACAGATTGTTTCGCAAAATGAACCCGTATTCAAATTCTGAAGTAAAAATTACGAATTAGCGGCTTAAATAATTGTAGAGCAAAGTTGGGACCGGGTCGCAAATTACATCCCATCCTTGCTTTATAAAACAAGCAAAACTCAATAAGACAGGTAACTTGGTCGAGTGTTCCGAAAAAAATTCAGACCATGAATATTTAATTTAGACCTTTGGTAAAAATTGTTATCGTTTTCCTAGATTATTGTTGAGAATGAAGAGCTAATGAACATTTAGATTTGGTACATCCTAATATCGAGAGCATCGGGCTACATTTATACATCCAGAAGGTATTACTGAGGCCTCCATTTTGCGTTTGAAGCTACATTGAAAAGGTTTACCTTATTACCGAACACCTTAATTACATGCGTATAACCCCAGACCTAAGGTTCAACCCCAGACTAAGATTAATTAATAGACTTACCATCAACATCCCAAGCTCCCTCTATTTGATAGGACGATGTAGCACTGCTCCAGATAAAATCATCCGGGAACTTTCCATAGAGGAATTTACCGTCAGATGATCCATCGGGATAGTATGTGAAAACTCCCAAAATGTTTAACAAAACTAAAAATACTCCTAAAGTGTTCACCATTTTTTGCTCCTGGGTTTTCGTTTTGAAAATATTGATGATCTAAAAGTGCCCCAAAGGGATTTTACATGTACACCTATCACTGTCAAACAAATATTCGGTTATCTGTGAATTGAATGATATCTTATGAAAAATTTTGCATGAGTACAAAATGCGTCAAATCCGAAGCTTATATATTACAAGGGACATGTAGATCAGAATACCCTTTAACAGACATCGATTTCATTTTCCACCCTCTTTAAATGTATTTGATTTAGACATGGGGTTTTATAAGAGGGATGGGAACATATGTGATAGTCAGAGTGTGATCAGATGATAGAGATACAAAGAGTAGTATCTTTGAAGTTAAACATTTACTTTTGTGTTAGTGGCCACTCATCTACAACGACAAGATACTCAAAGTGACAAGTTATTGTTGAAGGTCTATTGTCATCACGATTTGTTAAGTTGAATTCAAGAACTCTCAATTATTCTTCACGTGAAACTACATGTGCATTATTAATAACATGTAGTGTACTTTAGGCCTTAGTCATTTGTTCGTTTATTTCTAGACTTGAAACGACATCATATCTTTTTTAAATTTTCGTATTTTTATTGAATACTGAAATAAAAAGGATAACGTATATTTCAGTTACATATCTGGCCTGCTTTGTGTTCGCCCTTCCAATTTTACTTTTTACCGATTTATTTGACTCTTAACACAATCTTAAATTTAGAGAACTTGCGACATTTTAAAGAATATGCCGTCTCATTCCGCAAATCATTTTATCTATCATATCAACTACTTCAGTAATCTTCGTTGATCCGTTTTACGAACAACTTCGATGTGGAGGTCATTCGAGATATCAGTTAATTCTTGCTTACTTTATCCAATTTTCATCATTTTCCCCATCATGCATTCGTATTATCATTACCCAAAACATATGTGCGTGACAATTAAAATTTGAAATAAATTCACAATTTTTTGAACAAAAAGTCTTTCAGAATCAACTTTTGAAAATTAAACTGAAATTGGGTAGGACCAAAGTGGTTAAACCTTATATGGGGCTTTAAAGGCACGGATCAGAAAGATGTGCAACCTTCGAGATCTACATTAAAATGTGCGTATAAAAAGGCCATACTGAAGAGATCTCCAAATTATTTGGAATTCCCAAACAGCATGTAGGCGATCATTTTTGCAATTTGATTTTCTGAGGAAAGAATCAGAAAAGCGATGATCATTTTTGTCATTTCGGTATACTTATAAAGGATCGTGTCAGCCTTTTCCGTACATATACTATAGTTTACTTATATTTACTTATGAATAGAGTATAGGCATGACAAAAAATAATTGGTGACAAAAATATTTGAAAGTTCATCGACCCATTAATGAATATTCTACCAAAAACTCGACCACTAGCAAAGAGATTAAAGTCCAGACTTTGTTTGTTATATAAATATAATAGTCGTTTAATGCATTTTATTGTTGACGTTATGGCGTGTCAATTGTCATAATACAGTGATGTATCGCTCATGAAATGACAAGCGTCTATAACGAGTCGACGTTTCGTCTACACGGCGTACCAACACTAATACACGACACCAGTATAGCGTAACAACATGGAGCATGAAACATTTTGGTAAATTATATTGCTTTTCCGAAAATATTTATTTTTCTGCTATTGTTTTAATGTTGTTAGATGTTGTTTTTGTTTTTGTAATCTCAACCTATTTCAGATAAAATTGATGAAAATTGAAAATGAGTCCATGGACGATAAAGTCATGCTGATCCGCGAGTGGTCTTTTGTGTAGCTGCACTGTGGCAGATTACACGATGTACACATAAACAGAGTCCATCTACGGTCCAGCCATATTGTTTCGTGAATTGCCTCTCGTGTAGCAGACACTAATAGGGTCACATAGCTAAACATAGGTTTCTTGAATTGTTTGTGCTTGTATAAATGTACGTGGGAAAGGTATAACCCCGTTTTCAAAATCTACATTTGGTTATGATTATGCGAGGCGAATTTCCCTGAAATATAAACCATGCGTTATATTTTTTGAAGCAATATACAGATTAGAGTTACGTTTTCTATTGAGTAAAATTTTTGCTTTTTTCACTACATTCCATTCTGGTATGATTTTTTTAACACAGCGATACGACACGGCATTAAATCTACAGGGAGTGTAAGTGGGTAGTTGAAAGGTGTAAACAATTTATCAAGTAGAGTACATTTCGAAATCTTATCACCAACAATAATCGCCGAGACAATACCCTCAGAATTAATAACTAACTTGCAATCATTTTAGAATTCGAAATATTGTTAAATTGACTGAAATTGAGAGAATAACGCATTGTGTCAAAATGCGTCTTTCGCAAGTTGGTGCTTGCGTATTGTTGGCGGTTGTTTCGATTCAACTTGTTCCTTGTAAGGGCCAAGCCACGGAGTTTCTTTTCGGGACGTTCCCAGACAACTTTTGGTGGAGCACGGCGACATCTTCGTATCAGATTGAGGGTGCCTGGAACGTCAGTGGTAAGTGCATTCAAATAACATTAAATTTAACCTCGACCGCGAGGCTCTTTTCTCTTATGTAATGCCGTGGTCACATTTGCTCCGATTTTCAGCACCGGCGCCCCGCCGATGAGTATTTTGTTCAAAGTTGAATACAATTTTGAACAAAATATTCAATCGGGTGGGCGCCGTCGTAAAAATCGGAGCAAATGTGACCACGGCATAATATATGTTTCAAGATGTTTATGTTGTTGTTTTTTGGGGGGGAAAGAGGTCCGCTATGTTATATCGCCTTACTAAAATGATAATATCTTTCCTGGAGCCTCTGTGGCCTTCTCTCCTATCACATAAGAGGAGTTTCCATATAGCTTTGCAATATCGCTAATTCTCACATTCTAATTTTACATGAGATTTGAAGAGACTTGCACTTTTAACCTCTGACGACTAATTTTTCTCTCTTTTTAATAGCATATTTGAATTCAATGAAACATTTTCCACACTATTTACTTTGATTTATACAATTATGTTATTTAAATCATTTTCCATGACCTTTTTAAAAAAAACTTGGGCCAAATTTCCATTGATGCAGTGCTAAGATTCTTTAAAACCTTGGTTTATTCGTTCATGATTAAACAAAACGTGTACATTGACAGGGTCATCCCATAGTATGACATTCCAGTTTATGACAGATTCAACCATCACTTTTAGAGAAATCATGAAATTAAGTGACTACTTTTAACATTGAAGTGAATAGCAGTCTGGCCCAAGCAAAATGAAAAATGACAAGGGCGACATCTATTATTTCAGCTTTATTCAGCTACTTTGTACTTTGTAGAATATAGAAACTATACTATTGCATGTATTACACGATGTGTCGCACGCCCACAAACACTTCTGGGCGTGGCACACAATAAGCGTTGGGGAGAAGGGAAATCATATTTACCCATAATACTTTAGTTTTTGAAGTCAGTAAGATATAAATTATTTAAATGAATATCTGAAAAGGTTTTACGCATAATATATGTCTATCAAGTCGAGATATCTCCAAGACGCAAGGCACATGGTAGAACGTCACGTCATAAACGTGAAGCATTTAAAGTAAAAAGCAGTGCATCTATCTGATATAAAACGCGAAGCATAGAATAAAACGTGATCGGTAAGGCCCTATAGAAAATATGAAATATATGATAAAACGTATACGTAGGGTAAAAGGTGAACGTGAAGCATGAGTTAAAAATGTGAGGCATTATAGAATAAAACGTGATATGACACAATGATAACTAGGGGTGTACGGAAAAAGCAGTTGTAAAATTCAAAAAATGTAATTTAGGTAAAGGCCTGAACATCTGGGACACATATTGCCACGTAGGGGGAAACGTAAACAACAATGACACTGGAGATGTTGCCTGTGATAGCTACAACAAATATGACGAGGACATCAAACTTATGAAGGAACTAGGGGTAAGCGTTAGATGTGCTAACACCCCAGTCACATTTCCTACGGCGACCTTGCGGTCTATCATTTCTGCGGCCAGTAACATTGCTACGCTCTCCGTGGAATTTCTGCGCCCTCATACTTTTGCAGTCACATTTCCCACGGCAGCCGCACGGTGAATTTTAAATTTCTGTAGATAAATAATACTTTTTTCATTTTATTTACATCGGGACAATTTATAAATGTTATTCATAGTGCTAGGATGTAATATCAAATGAAAAGTGGTCGTGAAACATTGACATAATGATTCAATCTTGTTGAGCCAGTTGATTTCTACGAGGACCTCAGAAATGAACAAATATTATAACTCCGAGTTATAATTTCTACGCCTTCCCTGCGGCCTGTAAAAATCTGCATTCGCCGTACGGATGCCGCAAGGCGAGCGTAGTTTTTCTACGCTCGCCGCAGAAATTCACCGATTTAATTGATCTGCGGTCGACTTGCGGCCGCCTTGCGACAAATGTGACTGGGGTGTTAGTATTAGTGTAGTGTCCATTTCCTTAGTCGCTAAAGATACATAAGCTGCGTGTTTCCTTTGTGATGGAGAGTTACATGAGCGAATGATTCAGAATTAAAAGAGACGACAAATCGTCGCATGAGAATAACTTTGTACTATCTCACATTTTTACGGAACTGAGAAATCAAGGTTTGAAAGTTTAGAGGTCTGTATCTTACTTAGTATTGCTATGTGAAACTTGATTTTTTGTATGTCACCTGGTCTCACCCTAGAGATATCTTATATGAAATATCATACCTTGAAACAATTTACAAGATCCTTTTTTAAAACTATGGAAATGGAGTTGATACAATTTCCCACCGGAATAACAGCTTATTTCTTATTTCAAATTGTCATATCTGATATCAACTGTTTCAACCAATCAACTCTCTAAGAATTGGTCTTCAAAAGTCTTCAAAAACCAAAGAATATTATTTAATAAAATAAAGAAAATTCAATTTATAAAACTTTAAAATCAATTTCTCAAATAAGTACAATTATTTCTTAATTTTGGAATCTCAGGACACCCTTCAAAAAGAATTTATTGCCTTTGAAACTAAGGCAGAAGTACAATGCATTGAAACCAATGATGCCAATACGGTCCCCCACATATTTCCCTCGGTATAAACCCTGTAGCCTAAACCTCCCAGCACATTACAATGTAGCCCCTAGCTGGTCATTATCAGGTTATTTTTGATACAGACCAGTTGATTTTTTCACTAGGTATAGGAGAATAACATTGCAACTGGTCCGTAATTCCATTTTGACTAGCAGGTTTCAAATCCTTAGGGCCTAAGACATAACCAATTCTTATTACATGCACATGGAAGAAATTTGAAAATAGAAAAATAAATTCTAATTCATTTTAGATTAATGAAAGTGATGGAACCTCTATTTAGGTAATCACATTTTGTTCATTGGGATGCAGCTATCATTATCCATTCATTTTCTGTTGTTTGCTACTCTGTGGAGTACAATTGGGAATTGAAGCAATTGTAGAAGTGGAGACTAAGAGTGGCTCTTTGTTAAGAAATTGAACCAATTTGTTACTTTTCCAAAATAAAATGTAGATGATCTAAAAACAATGATCCCAAAAATGCAAAAGAAAGGACAAATCTGAAAAACATACTAGTAATAAAATAACTAAAAAGATCCCAGATGTTCAGTGAAAAGCGCAAAGTAAATCATAGATGAAGAGAAAATAAAATAAGTGTTTTAAGGGACTATACTAACATAAAGATAACTATTGATATAGTGTATGGTCAGTAAAAGTTAAAGCTAGTTTAAATAGATTAGCTTTTTTCCACAAACTATAAAACATCATTTTGAAAGAGATTTCAATAGTATACAGATAGTGATTGCCTTTGAGCAATGTAGTGCAAAATATGACAGTTACTATTTGTTTTGATTACTATATCTAGTATATAACCTATTATTATGTACTCTATTTGAAGAAACAAATTCAACATTTAATGATGACAGCTTCGTATATGCATTTCTATTGCATTTGGCCATTCAAACCCCTATAAGACCTGGTAGCACGGAAGATAAAGGGTACTTTTGACTGCTCACATGATCTAATTAACTGGTCATTTGTACTTTTCATCTTCCCTGGTAGCGAGGATTTAGGTTTTCGAGGAAATTAGTAATTCTATTTCATATCATGTGGCCATGAATAATCCAATGAGCATCCATAATACAAAGAGTAATTGAGGGCATATCATTTGAATATGCATGGGATTACACATACTGTATCATTTTATTTTTTTTGATCTACTTGTAATAGTTCTAAAACTAAAACATGAAAGGCCAGGCATGCAAACTGGCATGGTATTGTGTTACAAAACATTATTTCATTCTAGATACAATAACATGCATATTGGCATACTTCGTTTTAATATAAGATTGTTATAACTCCAAGTTTTGCAAGTCACATGACCAATTCTTAGACAGTTGATTGGTTGAAACAGTTGATATCAGATATGACAATTTGAAATTAGAAATAAGCTGTTTGTCTGGAGATGGTACAATTTCACACTGAATTCTAGCTTAATGAGAGGGAATTGAGATGGGGCATGTATCTGAGATGAAAGCCTGTGTTTCAAATAGTAAAATTCCATGTCTATCTCAATTTTTTTGAAAATGGCAGTTAGTACAAAGTTATTCTCACGCGACGAAATATCTTCTCCACTGGCGATTTTTATGTTCTTTGGGAACTTATTTATTGACTTACAGCCAAATACTACATGTACTATCCGTACAAGTTCTGTCCACACAGAAAAAATAAAGAATTGTAAAATATCATGTTTATAATAAACATTTACTTTGTGGCCCGTTTTGTTTGCATTTGACAAAATAATCGATATGGGGATCAAATAAAGGGTTTAAAATGAAAAACTAAAAAACTAACGTCCTTTACCTTCATTAGAGAGTTTATGTCGAAACGCCAACTTTTACGTATGACCAATCGCCCATACAAATGCATTGCTTAAATATTTTCCGTTCACAATTAGGCTGTGAAAAACATTGCAAGCTTAAACTCCATATTGTCTTCCCTCTATGCTTCTATCTCGGATTGTATCTTTAGGGTTGTCGAGTTGGCCGAGAGGGCTTGAGCGCCGGCACGTTCGAGCTAGGCGATTGGGCGCAGTAACCACGAGGTTGCAAGCTCGAGACGCATGTGCTCCTTGTGTTAATTCATTTAATATCTTTATATATAATTGATGTTTTAGGTGTCCCACTATAGATTCTCAATATCGTGGGCAAGAATCTTCCCAGACGGCACAAAAGCATCCTACAACCAAGCAGGGATCGATCATTATGAGAAGTAAGAAAACATGTTGATTGATGAAACTCTGGTGTAGACTTTTACGATAGATTTAAAATGTCTGGTGTTTCTTAGTTCGTATTCGCGAATGCAGCTTTGGCTGTCGGAAACCGGATTAACCTGCTATTTTATGACCAACTCATTTAAATAGGAATGTGGCAGTACTATTCATATCTAAATGAGTTGCCCAAAATAGTAGATTAATCCGGTATCCACTAGCCGCTATTTGCATTCGCGAATACAAGCTTTTCGTTATCCTAGTTTCATCCTTTGGTGAAACATCTCAGTGCACCCAAAATACCGATACACTTTGGTGAATAATTACACAGGCGGCTAACAGGGAGGTTAAGATACACGTTTTTTAAAAACCTGTGCGTGAACGTGTAGAATTATGCTCCTCTGTGGATTAGTTCTCCCATTTGTACTCTTTACTTGGCCGATTGATCATGAATATGAAGATTTGCGGGAAATAATTGTAATAAGGTCCATGGAAAAGTGAATTGAGAGCTGGACAGTAATCCCTGAGGGTCGAAATATTACACGCTCATGTACATGTTCTCACGAAAACGTTTACCCCAGTGACTCCAAACAACGTTTTGTTCTTTTGATTGTACGCGAATGTGGTAATTTTAAGGACGTTCTCTGTAGATTTAATTTTTTTATGTATAGTATCTAACCTTTTCTGAAATAACTACGGGAAACAAAGGATATAAAAAAACTTTTAAAAGGCGCACTATACTTAATATAGAAGAAAAAATCATTGACACATGTTACTCAAACACTTGCTCAAATATGACACAAAGTTTGATTTGCTTTAATATTGGACCAAGAAAAAAATAACTCACATAGAAAAAAGCATTTGAAGTTCAGAGATCATTAGACATACATGCACATGTTAAACAAAGTGCATGTTTTAAATTACTATTGATTTAAAAGATGGCGACACTTCTATAAGAATAATTGTATCATGTAATACAAACAACTTCGCCGTCTTTCAATGACATTGATTAAAACTTGATATATAAAGCTTGACAGATCAAAAATATTTTTTGACAATTTATTGTAAGCTTTGATGTGGTCCATTTGAGCTGTTGTTGGTGTCAAATGAAAGATAAGGTTCTTATCAATACATTGGACATACTATGAAATTTAAATGTAAGTCTTTAGTTTGCCCAAAAATGTTGAAAATTCCCAAAGTTGGCCTTAAAATGCTAGTGTGATTTTTTCGTTTCGAAGCAAGATGCCAATTAAGTGTCAGTATTTGACAAAAGTGGGCGTTGCACTTCCTCATTGGATGACCCATGTAAAAATTAGATTTTCACCCACAAATATATTTTTGAGTATTCAACTGTTTCTCAAACTCACAAAAACACTTATTTATGGTATGTACTTTACATTTTGAAAAAAGGGGTTTATGTTTCTGTAGCCATTTTTTCGGTACCCTTTCCTTATTTTTATTCCCAGACGTACATTTACGCTCTACTTTTAACATCACAGTTTTATAATTTTGAGTTACCCGTCCTTGCAGGTTGGTAGATGCCTTGAAAGCAAATGATATTATCCCGATGATAACGCTTTATCACTGGGACTTACCACAAGCTCTACAAGACATGGGCGGCTGGACCAACGAATCATTGATTGGGCATTTTAACGATTATGCTGATGTCATGTTCGAAAAACTTGGACCTAAGGTATGTTATATTTGTGAATTCCGATTAGGATTCAGTTACCGGATTCATAAATGTTTTCAAGTTATGAACACAAAACTGAATTCGCGTAAATTAATTGCATAAAACTATATTTTGGTCGCCATGAGGTTTTATTTAATATACTACAGGGCGTCCACAAGAAAAGTATACCCAACTTCAAAGCCAGGATACTAGAATTCTGAGCAATTTTTTAAAAATACGAAGGTAGCAGTAAAAGGCCTAGTTTGTCGTCCATCCGATGGTACCTAGATCATTATGTAACTGTCATGGATGACTTAGCAATCATGACTTTTATGAAAAGTGTGAAAATCAGTATTGTGCCAAGTTAGCATTTAAGTAGGAATGACACAGTGGATGTTTTTTGTGTTCAAAACATTATTAATGTTCAAATTCAAACTTGTTTCATGTTCTTCATAATTTTGTACAACCTTTCCATAAGTTTTATTTGGTACCTCCCTCTCGAGAAATTGGATCTGAATAGCCTCTTGATCAGCAATGAAACTTCAACTTGATGATATGCAGCTTTGAAGTCAATTGTATCCCCATGTAAAGTCAATAACCCTTGCTGAAATCCTCATTACCTCAGAAGAACTCAAGTTTATTGAGTCTAAACAAGTATATTCGTGTGGGACAGTATTGCTATAATCCATTTCAAAAGTAAGAATAGGGGTTCTATACACAGTACCAGTGGTTTCAGTAACTTTGTGTACAAGGGGCAGATGAAAAATACAAGAGACGGCATTCAAACTAACCAATTTTACGCTCCCGACAATGCAAATTCTTGTTATTTTAGAGTCCATGGACTGAAAGAAAGATGTCCAAGGTTTGTCAAAGTCATTTCCACTTGTGATGTGGCAAGACATGGGCTCCACAAAATAACACCTGGAACTGTGGAATGACTAGGGCAACTTATATAGAATGTCATTTACCTTTTATAAGATAACTTACCCTTACACAGGTTGCATTTCACAAATCCAAATGCGCCTGTTGAATTGAACACTTATAAATCAAAATCTAGAATTGTCATTATTAAAATGAAAGTGATGTATTAATAGATGATTCACTTGTGATTATGTGTATATCAGATTCATTTTAGTTTTCACCGCCTCCAGACATTGCCAGAAATGGTGACATACAGAGTGTTCCAAAAGTAACAGGACTGGTGCTGGTATTTTGTTAAATATGCACCAATTGTCTTCAAAATTGTACCTTCATGTTTTGTAACTAAAATTGCCGAATTACATATTTTTTGTCGAAACTGATTTAGAAATCGGCCGATGACTACTCATCGTCCGGCGCCCGGCGCATATGTGGCCTAGGCATTAGAGAGAGACCGAGGTGGGAGATATCCCCCTTCCCTCTACACCAAACTTGTTCTCACTACGTTTTCGATAATTGCCTGAAAGGCTTCGTCACACATCTCAATTTGTAAATGTGAATTCGCACCCTCATTTGCATGGAAGACTTTGATAAAATCCTTTTTTGATGATTTTTGTTAGAAAGCTGATGTTTGGCTAAGCTTCGAAATTCCAAATTGAACAGTCTACTAAGAATACCATGTTGTAAATATTGTTTTCTTTATAATATGTCGAGCTAGGACTGTAGGACTGCTCAAAGAAATTCGCTTTTTGTAGCTACAAGTATTTAATTCCAATAGATGATGAACTTCTCAATATAAGAAATTACCCTCATAAGACATTGTTGCAAGGTGTGTTGCAATGAATGTGGCACCCCTTATTTCCGGGCCCGCATTATGTATTCTCGAAGAAAGCCATCATGATAAACCATGACATCTCATTTCTTCTCAGCCCTGTGTTTCAGGTGAAACAGAAGGATGCAGAATGGAATAAAGCATATATTTGCATTGATGGTGTATAGATACTGTAGTTATTTTATATAGTGTTTCTAGTTGTACGTGGAAATCTATTCTAACCAGGAAGGATATTGCAACTTTTTTCAAGATCCTAAAGTTGCAATTCTCGTTATTGTGTTTCATTGTAAAGACGCACCTGTGAAAGTGCGTCGCTGGTACGAAGGCGTAGTTCTACATTTTAAGATACACTTTTTTAAACTTGTACGTGAACGTGTAGAATTATGGACCTGGTGGATTTTTTCTCCCTTTTGTACTGTTAATAGTTGACCGGTTGAGTATATAAAGGTATACATGTCCCAGCTTTTGGTAAGTGGGGGGTCAAATGTGGGCCATCCACACATACACTTTTTATCATGCTTAAGTAACTTCGCATTGTAATTACAAGGGTGTTATAAACGAGACACCAGGATGATAAAGTAGGGGTACAATATATGTTTAGAAAATTAGGGCCCAAATCTTGAGAAAGAGTCGGAGGCATGCGAGGCGAATCCTGGAAACTCGGGTTCGGGAAAGCGGGGTTCACTGTTTGGTTCCGTTGACACCTGTGCGAAACTACATTCATAATTTATCCGACAGTCGCTTTGATAATGTTTCTTTATCTCGTCTGCGACTCGATAAAGAAGAATTATTAAATCTCATTAAGAATGGACGATCTTGCACAGGTACTCATATAAGAACCTCTATATCTTTTTAACACCAATATATAACGGAAACACTATGTTAAAAATAAAATGTTATATCTAATGTGCCAATTTAATGATTTAGCATATCGAAAATATTTTCAACCTAAGTGACCACATCGTGACATCACTTAGGTGGCAACATTTTTCATTGTCAATCTTTTCTAAATATGCTAAACTTAAAAAATGAACCAATTTTGACTGTCTAACCAGGTTAAAAGGATGAATATGTTTTTAATATGAGTTTACCATTGGTTTCTATGAGAATTAAAATTTTGAAATGCATCTTTCCCTGAACCACTTTCATGCATGGATGAGTTCATTGCTCGCTCATCTATCAACCAATTTTCTTGATTTTGTCGGCAACAAGATCGCTGAATAAAATAAAGGATAGTCTATAGAAGACTTTTATTTTCCCCCAAAACTTAGACAATATTTGACTTCTAACAAACGGCGAATTATCGAAAACAAACGGCGATTTCGGACACTCGCTCCCTGCTATTGAAAGCCCAGAGTACATGGGACTTGCTTTTTAGAACTTTTTGTTGGCTCTACTGCTCAGGTGTAAGTTGAACCATTTTTGCGGGCCCGTTTTACAGTAGGTTTAGCTTTTTGCCAAACCTTTTTTTCATAAGATAATTATTCAGTTCCAAGTTCAGTTCAGTATGGAAGGCCTGTCCTCTAACTTAATGTAACAGAAAAAAGAATACTAAGCCAATTAAACATCAATTGCCACACAGGAAGGTAACTTGGCATGGTGCTAATATTACCACCTCTCATAATGGTCAAGATTACTCTGTCATACAAGACACTTACATCATGATCTTGGTACCATTTGATGGAGAATAAATCAGGCTTTTTACTACTACCTTTGTATTTTATCAAAACTGCTTAGGATTCTAGTAATTTGGATTTGAAGTTTTGTATACATTTTTGTGGACGCCCTGTAGTACCCTACAAGGTTACAAAAGGGAAGTATTGTTTTGAGGACGCTGGCATCCCGTGAATGAATTCGTACGCAGGCCCGTAGACAGGATTTGCCAAGGGGGGGGGGTTAAATTTTCAAAAATTTCCAGGGGGTTCACATTTGACAATTTGGCCCAATTATAGGTAAAATCACTTGAGAAGTGCTCAAAATGGTGAAAAATGCATGATTTTGAAATAATTTTTGGCCAGGGTGGTTCACCCGAACCCTCAGATTTCGGAAACATGTGATGTTTATCGTGCACGTCATGGAGATTTAAGATACTCGCCAAAATTTCATGCACCCAGATGCTTCGCTATTTTGTTGCGATGACATTATTATATTATACTATTGTTAAAACATTTTCCATAGATATTCTGCATAGTTGTCTAATTAGTTATAGTAAGCATGCAGGTGCTAATAATAATTATTACTAACTCACCAGTATATCATATTACTACTAAATTAAAAATATAAATCCTGATAATAGTAGCATGGTCATCGACCCAGAGCGTACAATTTTATTTTAAAATGGTATTATGTTTCATAAGCAAGCAAATGAATAATGCTTGTCACCTACTTCGTTTTTTTATTATTCTTTATTCAATTTTAGTACATACAAAATACACATGTTTTTTTTATTATCATTATTTATTTATTTCATTGATATAGTTAAAAAATACACATGTAGTGACTGCCAAAGTTGAAAACATTGGTGGCAGTTTAATTCGATTCGTTTTTAACGTGCTATGGAAGTTAACAGGAAATGACAAAACAGGAAATGACAATTTTTTTTGCATTTTTAGACATTTTTTGAACAAAGATAACAGAGTTCTGGTTTGACCTCCAGTCAATTTAACTAGTTCCAAATACCATTTACAGGTCCAGGATCACAATGTTCATGGTCAGAATGACCATAAACATGATGAAATAACCTTTTTAGCCCTTTGAAAATGTGACTGAAAAATAGCTAAAAGTAGGAGCGTAGGGAAGGTCACTGAACAGAATCTTTTGAATTTTTCAGAAAATGTGCCGAATATATTGCTCTAAATAATACAATCTTTGAAAATTTGATATCATTCATAGAAAAAGAAAAAAATGATTTGAAAAGCGATCTATTTTTCTTTTTATGACCGCTATTTTTGTTTAAGACAATTTTCTAAAATTTCAAAGATTGTATCAGTTAGAGTATTATATTGGGCACATTTTCTGAAAAATTCAAAAGATTCTGTTCAGTGACCTTTCCTACGCTCCTACTTTTAGCTGTTTTTTCAGTCACACTTTCAAAGGGCTAAAAAGGCTATTTCATCATGTTTAGGGTCATTCTGACTATGCACATTGTGATCCTGGTCATGTAAATGATATGTGGAAATAGTTCAAAAAATGTCCAAAAATGCAAAATTTTTTGTCACTTCCTGTTTCGTCATTTCCTGTTAACTTCCATGGCACCTTAACCAAAGCTGATCAATGTTGACCCAATGTCGGGTTAGAGTACAGTATGCGATTTACAGTAAGAACATGTTCCATTCAAAAACCCGATCGAGAGAATAATCTCATAAATAATGTCGTTTTATGATTTTTAGTCTAGAAAAGTCTTGAAAACAAATATTGAAAAATAATTCAATGAGAGCAGATTGAAAGACTCATAACTGTTGAATAATACTATCTCCTTTACATCTTCTCTCATTAAAGTTTCAGCTGGTTCAGCACCATCATTCATTCGCATCAATATCACCATAATATCGATATTATCATTATAACTTGCACCTTGTAAATCAAAGATTTACTTTGTTGATATCATATTGAAATATGTCGTAGTCGTTGTCTCAGGATGATGAACCATTTTCGTTTTACCATTGATTAATATTTCATATTGCACTATGTAAAATGCCCAGATTAATACAATATAAGAAACATATGATACACACATATAAGTTGTTTTAATACAGTTTAATCTGTTATCATAGGTTTAGGTATCAGACAATATTACTATATCAGTCTCCACCTGCTTATGATAGATATAAAGGACTTTCTATATTACACTATGTAAAATGCCTAAAATGCCCAGATTAATACAGTATAAGAAACATATGATACACACATATAAGTTGTTTTAATACAGTTTAATCTGTAATCATAGGTTTAGGTATCAGACAATATTACTATATCAGTCTCCACCTGCTTATGATAGATATAAAGGACTTTCTATATTACACTATGTAAAATGCCTAAAATGCCCAGATTAATACAGTATAAGAAACATATGATACACACATATAAGTTGTTTTAATACAGTTTAATCTGTTATCATAGGTTTAGGTATCAGACAATATTACTATATCAGTCTCAACCTGCTTATAATAGATATAAAGGACTTGCTATTTCTACTTCTGTCAGAGTTTATTTCGAATTATTCCCTTGACTGTTGATTTTTACTCGTCTCTATTCCCTCTACTTCATTTAATTAAGTTTTGGATTTTTATAACATTTCCAGCGTGCCTTTAACAGAGCTGAGCTAAAAAGAGTCGATAGTAAAGCAAAAATGGCCATTATGATGAATGTCATTCTTGAACAGTGCTCACCAAAACAATTTTTAGAATCTTGGGGGCTATTATTTTCGTAAATCCAGCCAAAGATCTTTGCAAATGGAAATGCAGCTAACCCAACCAGTGTTAAAACCAATCCGAATTTCTGTGAAAATTCGTTCATTCCAAAAAACTCTGATATGGTTATCGGTGTCATTACAGATATAAATCCAGTCGATACGCTAGACATTATAGAAAAACACACCAATGCTACGAAGCTTTGATTGAAAAATATAAGTATAATTTGGGCCACCATCATCAGAAAAGATGCAAACACCAGCACTGATGAAATGCTAATAAATGGTAATCTCTGTTTAAGAAAATCTGGGATTATCCCTCCAAGTAACCTAGCTAGTGTATTTGCAATTGGAACGATTAATATTAGAGTAGATGACGTTGCCTCAAGATGTGCTGATTTTGCAATAGTTGTGATATTAGCAGACAATGTCAATCCTATGCCTTTAATGATAATCACAACCCAGAGCAAGAAATGAAATTTAAATGTTTTCACCATCTGAAAACACGTCATGTGTGTCAATTCATCATAACACGTTGTTGGTCTACTGCTTTTGGAATACTTTTGATATAAAGGAGTCTTATCATTTAGCTTGTTAACTTTAGCGTTTGTTATATTATCATCAATAGCTTTGACACTCTTTTCTTTCTCAATAGCGGTTTCATTCATCGTCACATTAGTCCCATCTGCAGCGTTTACTTTCGATTGCTCTCCCTCGTTCTCAAGAGGTATGGGTGTCCCCACTGGGGGTACCTTTTTAAGAAATCCTGCGCCAAGAACATTTTCGCACCCCGCCCATATGGATAACATAATAAAAAAGCCACCAAGGTTTTGATTTTGTTCGTCGGTCACGTGGCCTTGGACAAAGAATCCCTGATAGATAAGAGCAAATATTAGCGGACTGCCACCAAACATAGCACTTGCAAAACCGACAAATTTACCTCGATGCTTTCCTCCAAAGTTGATTGAAATTGTTGACATGCTCGTCATATAGGTAAAACAACAGCCAGTAGAAGCTACGAAGTATATCAAACACATTAACCAGCTCCGCGATGCAAAGAACGAAATGAATTTAGTTGACATCCACTCTAATGCGAAAGAAGGAGAGCTGAGTATAGCAGCTATAACGCATGCTGATCTTGGTCCATATTTGTCTATGACTACTCCGCTAAAGTATGAAGTTAGTTCCAATCCTGCTATTCCACTGACGGTTATGTACTCCAGTTCTGTTTGTGTGTAATTAAAAGTCTGTTTAAGAGCAACGGCGTATATATTGAATCCATTTATAATTCCACAAAACACAAGTCCCAGTATACCTACACATAGTGAAATATATCTCTGTATTTCCATTCGATTATTATGCTCCATCTTTAATTTTTGATATCCAAATTTAATTTAATCTTTAATTTTTGATATCTAAGTTTATTTTGTTATGAATTACAGTAGCCCATTACTTCTTTAATTTTTCTATATCTGTAATTTTATTCTTTTTACCCAGTAGTTACCGGATTCGTCTTATGAGTTGATACCATTGTTAGATCGTACTTTCAAGTGTATATTTCACATCTTTCCTAATAAGCAGTTAAGAACAGTGTCAAACGACACTGCAGTAGCAATGAGGATTCTTACTACATACTATCTATAGTATATAAAGGTCTATTATTAATTCATCGACCTGTATTTAAACAGAGTAATACAGAACATATAATACAGAGTGGGCAAAAATCGGAAACTCACATATTAAAAGAGCAGATATGAACCAAATGTCAGGAAAATCGGGGAGTTTAAAGTTTGAACATTTCTGTTCATGTATGTAAATCTCAAATCAGACAATGCAAGTTTTCATTATTTTTGTGACTATTGCCCATTCTGTGAACAGTTACAGTTGTTTAAAACATATTTACAGTTTAGTGAGATCATGTATCTATAACATGTATCACTTTAATGTCCAGCATGTTTGTTGTTGTTGAGTCACTTAGGATGACATTGTGTGGATTCTATTTGAAATACAAAGTCATGTCGGAATATGGGTGGTGTTGCCATCACAATCAAATGTAACGTACTCCAGAGTGCCTCGATAAAAAAGTTACAAGTACATAATGGTCAATATCTTTTATAACAGCATTAATCCTAAAAAATGAATTGCATGCTTAGAGAGCAAGTTATCTCAATTAATTTGACACCAGCAGATTTAAAATGTTTCCATGGTTGACTACACACGTCGGACTAGATTTAATTGAATCATATATGTAACATCTGACTATCGCATGCAGTTATTTGAAATAGAATGTTCAGATAGCCTGGAATCGGACACACCTTGCCTAGCTATGTGTGAATTATTGCGCATTTAACTAATTGATTTGATATTTATAAATTCCATTCGTGTACAATATGAATATATTTGTCCATATATTATGATACCGTGATCTATTGTTTCCTTAATGTTTTAGGTTTTCTTGGCGAAAAAAAACATTGAAATGGACTATATACAACGACCAGATTGATTAATTAATACGAAATTGTAACCGATTATTTATTTATTAACGGGAAATGAGCAAACTGGCGCATGTGTTCACTCTGTCAGATGAAATAATAAGAAATTAGTATAGGAAGCTGGTACATCTTCCATAGTATTAGGTTGTTTATATTGCATCTTATAAAAACAGTTATGACGTGCACGGCCCGAGGACAATCCAGGAAATACGGGCTAATGTCCGTTTTAAGCGTTAATCCCTGCCTTTTTAAAAAACTAACTCTGTTTATATATCATTTTGAAGTATATTTTATTCGCATTTCAAAATCAATTTCGTTTCATAGCATGTTTCATCTCAGTCTTCATTTTATATCAGTCTCCACCAGTTATTAAATATAGATATGAAGGTCAGGTTGTGGACGTCTTCTATTTTGGTGAATTTGAAAATGTGACTATTTGTTTCAAAGTTACCATATTTCCTCTATTTCCTCTACTACCTTTGGTTAAGTTTTGGATTTTTATAACATTTCCAGCGTGTCTTTAACAGAGCTGAGCTAAAAAGAGTCGATAGTAAAGCAAAAATGGCCATTATGATGAATGTCTTTCTTGAACAGTGCTCTCCAAAACAATCTTTAGAACCCCGGGGACTATTATTTTCGTAAATCCAGCCAAAGACCTTTGCAAATAGAAATGCAGCTAACCCATTAAGTGTTAAAAGCAATCCGAGTTTCTGTGAAAATTCTTTCATTCCAAAAAACTCTGATATGGTTATCGGTGTCATTACAGCTATAAACCCAGTCGATACGCTAGACATTATAGAAAAACACACCAATGCTACGAAGCTTTGATTGAAAAATATAAGAATCATTTGAGCCACCATCATCAGAAAAGATGCAAACACCAGCACTGATGAAACGCTAATAAATGGTAATCTCTGTTTGAGAAAATCTGGGATTATCCCTCCGAGAGACCTAGCTAGTGTATCTGCTATCGGAATAATGAGTATTAAGGCGGATGACGTTGCCTCAAGATGTGCAGATTTTGCAATAGTTGTGATATTAGCAGACGATGTCAATCCTATGCCTTTAATGATAATCACAACCCAAAGCAATAAATGAAATTTAAATGTTTTCACCATCCGAAAACACGTCATATTTTTCTCTTCGTCACTACATGTTGTTAGGCTATTGTTTTCGGATTCCTTTTGAAATAACGGAGTCTTATCATTTAGCGTGTTATCTTTAGCGTTTGTTATATTATCATCGCTTGCTGTAACACATTTTCCTTTCTCGATATCATGGTCAATAGCGGTTTCATTCGTCGTCACATTAGTTTCATCAAAGTTTTGTTTCGAGTGCTCTCCCTCGCACATGAGAGGTATGTGTGTCTCTACTGGGGGTACTATTTTAAGAAATCCTGCGCCAAGAACACCGGTGCATCCCGCCCATATGGATAACATAATAAAGAAGCCACCAAGGTTTTGATTTTGTTCGTCAGTCACGTGGCCTTGAACAAAGAATACCTGATAGATAAGAGCAAATATGAGCGGACTGCCACCAAACATAGCACTTGCAAAACCGACAACTTTGCCTTGATGCTTTCCTTCAAAGTTAAGTGCAATTGTCGACATGCTCGCCATATAAGTAAAACAGCAGCCGGCAGAACCTACAAAATATATCAAACATATCAGCCAGCTCCGTGATGTAAAGAATGAAATGAATTTAGTTGACATCCACTCCAATGCGAAACAAGAAGAGCTGAGTATAGCAGCTATAACGCATGTTGATCGGGGTCCATATTTGTCTATGACTACTCCGCTTAAGTATGAAGTTAGTTCCAATCCTGCTATTCCACTGACGGTTATGTACTCCAGTTCTGTTTGTGTATAATTAAAAGTCTGTTTAAGAGCAACGGCGTATATATTGAATCCATTTATAATTCCACAAAACACAAGTCCCAGTATACCTACACATAGTGAAATATATCTCTGTATTTCCATTCGATTATTATGCTCCATCTTTAATTTTTGATATCCAAATTTAATTTAATCTTTAATTTTTGATATCTAAGTTTATTTTGTTATGAATTACAGTAGCCCATTACTTCTTTAGTTTTTCTATATCTGTAATTTTATTCTTTTTACCCAGTAGTTACCGGATTCGTCTTATGAGTTGATACCATTGTTAGATCGTACTTTCAGGTGTATATTTCACATCTTTCCTAATAAGCAGTTAAGAACAGTGTCAAACGACACTGCAGTAGCAATGAGGATTCTTACTACATACTATCTATAGTATATAAAGGTATAATATTAATTCATCGACCTGTATTTAAACAGAGTAATACAGAACATATAATACAGAGTGGGCAAAAATCGGAAACTCACATATTAAAAGAGCAGATATGAACAAAATGTCAGGAAAATCGGGGAGTTTAAAGTTTGAACATTTCTGTTCATGTATGTAAATCTCAAATCAGACAATGCAAGTTTTCATTATTTTTGTGACTATTGCCCATTCTGTGAACAGTTACAGTTGTTTAAAACATATTTACAGTTTAGTGAGATCATGTATCTATAACATGTATCACTTTAATGTCCAGCATGTTTGTTGTTGTTGAGTCACTTAGGATGACATTGTGTGGATTCTATTTGAAATACAAAGTCATGTCGGAATATGGGTGGTGTTGCCATCACAATCAAATGTAACGTACTCCAGAGTGCCTCAATAAAAAAGTTACAAGTACATAATGGTCAATATCTTTTATAACAGCATTAATCCTAAAAAATGAATTGCATGCTTAGAGAGCAAGTTATCTCAATTAATTTGACACCAGCAGATTTAAAATGTTTCCATGGTTGACTACACACGTCGGACTAGATTTAATTGAATCATGTAACATCTGACTATCGCATGCAGTTATTTGAAATAGAATGTTCAGATAGCCTGGAATCGGACACACCTTGCCTAGCTATGTGTGAATTATTGCGCATTTAACTAATTGATTTGATATTTATAAATTCCATTCGTGTACAATATGAATATATTTGTCCATATATTATGATACCGTGATCTATTGTTTCCTTAATGTTTTAGGTTTTCTTGGCGAAAAAACACATTGAAATGGACTATATACAACGACCAGATTGATTAATTAATACGAAATTGTAACCGATTATTTATTTATTAACGGGAAATGAGCAAACTGGCGCATGTGTTCACTCGGTCAGATGAAATAATAAGAAATTAGTATAGGAAGCTGGTACATCTTCCATAGTATTAGGTTGTTTATATTGCATCTTATAAAAACAGTTATGACGTGCACGGGCCCGAGGACAATCCAGGAAATAAGCGTTAATCCCTGCCTTTTTAAAAAACTAACTCTGTTTATATATCATTTTGAAGTATATTTCATTCGCATTTCAAAATCAATTTCGTTTCATAGCAGGTTTCATCTCAGTCTTCATTTAATATCAGTCTCCACCAGTTATTAAATATAGATATGAAGATCAGGTTGTGGACGTCCTCTATTTTGGTGAATTTGAAAATGTGACTATTTGTTTCAAAGTTACCATATTTCCTCTATTTCCTCTACTACCTTTAGTTAAGTTTTGGATTTTTATAACATTCCCAGCGTGTCTTTAACAGAGCTGAGCTAAAAAGAGTCGATAGTAAAGCAAAAATGGCCATTATGATGAATGTCATTCTTGAACAGTGCTCTCCAAAACAATCTTTAGAACCCCGGGGACTATTGTTTTCGTAAATCCAGCCAAAGACCTTTGCAAATAGAAATGCAGCTAACCCATTAAGTGTTAAAAGCAATCCGAGTTTCTGTGAAAATTCTTTCATTCCAAAAAACTCTGATATGGTTATCGGTGTCATTACAGCTATAAACCCAGTCGATACGCTAGACATTATAGAAAAACACACCAATGCTACGAAGCTTTGATTGAAAAATATAAGAATCATTTGAGCCACCATCATCAGAAAAGATGCAAACACCAGCACTGATGAAACGCTAATAAATGGTAATCTCTGTTTGAGAAAATCTGGGATTATCCCTCCAAGAGATCTAGCTAGTGTATCTGCTACCGGAATAATGAGTATTAAGGCGGATGACGTTGCCTCAAGATGTGCAGATTTTGCAATAGTTGTGATATTAGCAGACAATATCAATCCTATACCTTTAATGATAATCACAACCCAAAGCAATAAATGAAATTTAAATGTTTTCACCATCCGAAAACACGTCATATTTTTCTCTTCGTCACTACATGTTGTTAGGCTACTGTTTTCGGATTCCTTTTGAAATAACGGAGTCTTATCATTTAGCGTGTTATCTTTAGCGTTTGTTATATTATCATCGCTTGCTGTAACACATTTTCCTTTCTCGGTATCATGGTCAATAGCGGTTTCATTCGTCGTCACATTAGTCTCATCAACGTTTTGTTTCGAGTGCTCTCCCTCGCTCATGAGAGGTATGTGTGTCTCTACTGGGGGTACTATTTTAAGAAATCCTGCGCCAAGAACACCGGTGCATCCCGCCCATATGGATAACATAATAAAGAAGCCACCAAGGTTTTGATTTTGTTCGTCAGTCACGTGGCCTTGAACAAAGAATACCTGATAGATAAGAGCAAATATGAGCGGACTGCCACCAAACATAGCACTTGCAAAACCGACAACTTTACCTTGATGTTTCCCTTCAAAGTTAAGTGCAATTGTCGACATGCTCGCCATATAAGTAAAACAGCAGCCGGCAGAACCTACAAAATATATCAAACATATCAGCCAGCTCCGTGATGTAAAGAATGAAATGAATTTAGTTGACATCCACTCCAATGCGAAACAAGAAGAGCTGAGTATAGCAGCTATAACGCATGCTGATCTTGGTCCATATTTGTCTATTACTACTCCATTAAAGTACGAAGTTATTCCAGATCCAGCGATTCCACTGACGGTTATGTACTCCAGTTCCGTTTGTGTATAATTAAAAGTCTGTTTAAGAGCAACGGCATATATATTGAATCCATGTAAAATTCCACAAAACACAAGTCCAAGTATACCTACACATAGTGAAATATATCTTTGTATTTCCATTCGATTCTGTTCCATCTCTAGTTTTTTATTTTTGTAAGAATAACAATAGCTTTGTCTTCTAAATCTCCAAGGAACGTTTTTCCTATGTCTTTTTATTCTGGTATTTACATATTATTAGTCAAACGATGGCTCGATGTAACATTTGCATTGAAAAAGCTCAAGTATTTTCGACAAACTACTACTGACTAGATAAGGGCTTTTTTCGTATGACCTCGGTTACGCAAGTTAATTTAATGTGGTTGCACAGTATTTTTTTATGTTTAACACAGCGGCATTTGGCACATGTAACCATAATCTTATTCTTGCCAATTCTTACGATTAAAATCTTGTCCGTGGTTAAAAAGCATGTACAAAAATACAGGCATACAATGTGGTAACTTGCACCCGTGATAGCATTGATTAACAGCAAGTTATCCTGGGCAAGTGATTGAGATACTTACTGGTATTCAATGATATAAAATCATAATGTATTTAAGAAATGTGTAGACCGAAGAGCAGGGGTCATATCGACGAATACAACCCACAGGGCTAGGCACAAATGAGTGTGGGGCTCGAAAGCTTTTTTCTTCGCCCTAAGATGTGTATTCGTCGATATTACACCTGTTCTGAGGTGTATATTACGATTCGGACAAGAAAACTCACCAACATTTTTCGAGTATTCATTTAATGATCCGCCATTACTACAGTCGACCGTTATGACGTCACAAATTACTTGTATTAACGGGGGTAGTGTTGCCGAATATACCCGGGGTGAAATATTGACTTAATGCCTAGGTCACATAGCCGCCGGGCGCCGGCCGATGAGTAGTCATCGGCCGATTTCTAAATCGACCGGGCGCCGGTGACTTTTCACCGATGTCTTGATCTAATCGTGAGTTTGGTCACATTAGTGCAGGCATCGTACGGCGCCCGCAATCAATTGAATCTGAAACACATCGCAAGGCTATCTGCCGATGGCCGTACGGCACCCGCCAGGACATCGGTCGATCTACAGGCCTCTAGATTTATACTAAATTTTTGTATGACCCAGTATGACTGTTCCACATGGCGTGAATGTAAGATTTGAAAACGAAATACTTCGATAGACAGGACTTCCAGTATAATAATGTTTTCATGCAATACAAATCAGAAAAAGAAGATCCTCTTTTGAGTATAAATAGGTTCAATATTTAGAAAAAATGCTGACAAGGGGTCCCTATTCATATTTTTTCAAATGGTTTGATTGATATTTTTACTATCATGGGTACTTCAATTGAAAGAAAACATATTGTTTTAATAAAAACACTATTTATGCCCAGAAAGTACTCATGGTGAAAGATATGACCGTCTAAATTCACTTGCCATACTGCACGTGGTCTTTTCATCAAAGTGCACCCTGACCTTAATTCATTTTTAGATCTTTCATATAAACAAATACTATGTCTAACTGTCCATCCGATGCTATTAGCAAAATCTTTCTTTTGTCTGTTCTCGCAAAGAGAATTTGTTTGGTCATAAAAATATGGCCTATCTTCAAAGAACTTGGCAATTTTTTCTTCTACAGTATTTCATCAAGTGGAATACCCTCTTCCCTAGACACATCTAAATCTTCACCATCCACCAGCTCACTAGCATTGTTATTGCCTTTTTCCACCTGTCTTCTCAAGGCCTTCCTCATATATGGCCCATTGGCCTTATCCCCTCTATCCTTAGCCTTTGGCATATTAACCTTCGTATTAAAATTGTGACCCTTGAAAATACTGTACTCACAAAAACATTCAGAAGATTTTTTAAATAAATGATTTGTAATGTTATATGCATGAGTGAATATACGCATAAAAATGTATCACTCTATTCAATGTGTATGACAGACATACCCGATTAATGTCAATATAAGAACGACTAGATAAACCTATCCACCCACCCATTCAAATGTGTGTCATTGTTTTACAGTAAGCCTAATCGTTCCATTTATGTTTTGTAAAAATCTCTGACAGTGTGTAGTAATTACAATTCCTTACCTCATTATTTTTAAAACCTTTATATCACTTTATAAGTAATCATTATTAAGATTTATCAAACAAATCATTACGCAAAATCCCAAGATGACCGTGCGATGCCACCGGGCGCCGTAAGATGGTGGAGAGGTTAAGCTTTGCATATATAATCGAAACTGAACCTGTACGTATCACTCGACCATATACAAATTCATGTAGCCTTCTCATATAAATAGCCGTTCAAATCCAGTGTTTGTTTAGACTACACCATAGCGTGTAATGATTCTATAGTATGTCATTGATGCGGTTTTATAGCTGGTTTTCTAATACATATTTTAAACGACCTCGTTTCGTAAGATTTTTGGCGATAAATCATGCATGACATACATCATCGTGTTCAGCAAGAATTCAACTGTACATCGAAATCAAAATTGACAGCATAGTGTTCAATAGACACGAGTAAAATGGTTCCCGTTGACCCAACGTCAAATATTCAAATCTCCCGTCCTAAACCCGAAACTCTGAAGCTGAAAGAGTATCTGAAGTAGACTAAGCGCGCATAAAACTATGAGCGCTCGATACATTCCTTTGTTAATTTTTGCACTTTGCGTTCACGGTTACGTTGTGAAAAACATCGTTAGCTTAACCTCTCCAATCATACGATGACCGGACGGGACACGGCCGGGTAGGTACCGATGAGTTTGGTTGAGAAAAAATCGCCAAGACATCGGCAACTTTTATCTCCGGGATAAAACTCTGCCGGCGCCCGTACGATGTCTAAAAATCGGCCGATGAGTGGCGATCATCGCCCGGCGCCCGTACGATGCCCAGGCTCGCCGGCCGATTTTGAACAAAATACTCATCGGCCGGGCGCCGTAGTAAAAATCGGAGCCTATGTGACCAAGGCATTAATGTTCACAGTTTATAGAAGGCGTGAATATAAGATGCCGTGGTCACATTTGCTCCAATTTTCAGTACACAAGGGTTTTCAAATGTACAGGTATAAAGGGTAGGAGGTCCTGTCAAATTATGGTCCCACCAAATTATGTTTCTACTCTTCATTGATTTATATGGTGACCTCTTTCCTTTATTATCTTATACACAATCAGGGCCATTGAGGCCTGTTAAGAAGAGGGGGGCATAATCCCTGGGGGACCATCATTTCTTTCACATCGGCACCCGGCCGATGATTATGAAGCCAAAAAATGACATATAAACTATACGTTATACCTAAAGATAATAAGCTTTTTCAAATTTATTTAAAGGGACAAAGTGCGTAAATTAAGTGTCACTTTTGATTTTCATAGTATTTCCAATGGATTAATAAGTATCTGATCTTTCATTTGACACTAAAAACAGCTCAAACAGACCACATCAGAGTTGACACTAAATCATGAAAAAATTACCCTGCGTGCAAAACATTATAAACAATTATGAAGATTTTTAAAATTAAAACCAGATAGTTCTCCACATGCTTTTTTCATTACAGGTTGATCTTTGGTTGACATTTAACGAGCCATTTGTTGTATGCTGGTTGGGTTATGGAGTCGGTGCCCACGCTCCCGGAATCAAGGAAGCAGGAACAAGCACTTATGAATGCGCCCACACAATTATCAAATCTCACGCCAAGGCCTGGCACACTTACGATACAAAATACAGAGCAACTCAGAAAGGTAAATATTAATGCCAAATTGATGCTGGTCCAGTCATTGCTGAAATGATTAGAATTCTATTTTCTCTGCTCCAAACAAAGTAAGCAGTCCAAAGCTGACCAATCATAAGAAAATGTACCACCTAATTAAGGCAATTGAAATGTAACCATGGTAACCATAACATAAACACGTTTAGACAATATGGAATGAAAGTTCGAAGATATATTGCCATAATGTTCCTCTACAATCTGTAGCAATTTCATTACAAAAACCTAAATCTCTTAAAATTAGGGTATTTGTATCTTTACTTTCCGGACACCCTGTATATATAAATATACCTTCAACCCTGAAGGACTACGAGCTTTGAATTAAATAAGAGTTTTGGATCTTTTTTGAAAATAGACGTGACATGGAATGTAATAAGAGCAAAGAAATATTGTAAACTTGTATTTTATCGTCCCTTAAATGTTCGACCCTCGCAGAATATTTCTCATTTCAGGCAAGATAGGGATTACTTTGGATTCCGACTGGAAGGAAGCCTTTAATGCAAGTAACCCGGATGACGTTGCTGCAGCCGACAGAGCCATGCAATTCAAACTCGGATGGTGGGTAGATAATCATATTTCTGTTTTAAAGGGTCATAATCTGTAATTCCGATCCAAATTCACCATATTTGTAAATAATTGCAGGTTTACCCATCTCATATTTATAGGCATAATTGCAGGTTTGCTCATCCCATATTTGTGTACAAATGACATAATTGCAGGTTTGCACATAAAATATTTTTACATAATTGCAGGTTTGCCCATCCAATATTTGTAAATGGGGACTATCCTGAGGTTATGAAGGCTGCTGTTTATAATAAGAGTATGGCTCAGGGCCTTGATGCCTCTAGACAGCCATCTTTCACTGAAGCCGAGAAACAAGAAATTAAAGGTAATGTAATGAATCAAGCATTATAAAAACATAAAGTTTGATCTAGGATCATCATAGATACATGAATATGGCTGGTATGTGTTGAGCTACATTTAACAAAAGTTATGTCGAAAACATGGTGAAGAATGCATATATTTACTGAAGGTAATAGTGCCAACCTTTCATTACCTAGAACTATACGTCCTCAGTAGTTGTGTCACAGAAGTGGTGACATATTGTTAGAGTCTCCAACTTGTTTGTGGCGGTTGTTGTTCAGCATTTGATGTTTGGTGTTTGGAGTATGTAGTAGCGTTCGGTGGTCGTCGTCTGTAACAAATGGCAGTGAGGTGGTGACATTTTGCCTTGTTTGTTCTTAATGCTGGCACTAGCTATCATGACATCACCTTTCCATCTCACGATTACACACGATTGGATCACATCTGTTGCTGAAATGACACCAGGGCGCCACGGGGAAAATGCCGGGGACTAAGTGCTCTACCGACTGAGCTATAAAGCTACGTTCACAGTCACACCAACGGCGCTTTGATGGCGCTTTAAAGCGGCTTGTAAAGCGGCACCAAGGCGTAACAAAGCTTGATTAAAGCGTCGGGGTCGTATTAGGTCGTAGAAAAGCTCGGAGAAAAGCATATTCGGCAAGAGCGCTAAAAAGTTAAACTGTTTAAGCTACGTTCGCACCAACGGCGCTTTGATGGCGCTTTAAAGCGGCTTGTAAAGCGGCACCAAAGCGTAACAAAGCTTGATTAAAGCGTCGGGGTCGTAATAGGTCGTAGAAAAGTTCGGAGTAAAGCGGGATATTCGGCAAGAGCGCCAAAAAATTTTAAACTGTTTAAAAATTTTGGGCGCTCTGATACGAATTGATTAAAGCGCCGAGAGCGTATCAAAGCTTAACAAACCGTAACAAAGCTCATCAAAGCTTGACCCAAAGCATAGGAAAGCTTAACAGAGCTTGGTTCAAAGCGGGGACCCCACTCTCTTCACGGTCTGTTACCACTTGACACGCTTCGTTAAGATGTCTCAAGATTTGCTACGATCTGGCATGAAGATCTGACACGAGGTCTTTCACGCCGTGCGTCAAACATCATTTCTTCTTCAGATAGGTCATGCTCTGGTCCATCTGGAATTTCTGGATCTTGTTGTTCTGCCATCGTGTTCTCGAGTCAAAGATGCAATGGTTTTATGGATCTACTGCATCTTTATATAGTCATTGGATCAAACGCGGCATGAAATCGGCGATCTCGACATTTTCCAATGCGTGACAGAGCTTAACAGAGCGTAACAATGCACAACAGAGCTTGGCAATCGTATCAGAGCCTTATTTAAAGCGTCATAATCGCATCAAAGCGTAATAATTCTTATCAAGGCTTATCAAAGCGTGATTTCAAGCGTAACAAAGCCTGGTCAAAGCGGGACCAAAGCGTGAGGAAAATATCAGAGCTATGTTAAGCTTTCCTACGCTTTGGGTCAAGCTTTTCTGAGCTTTCTTACGGTTTTCTAAGCCTTGATACGCTTTCGGCGCTTTAATCAATTCGTAACAGAGCGCCCAAAATTTTTAAACAGTTTGAAATTTTTTGGCGCTCTTGCCGAATATCCCGCTTTACTCCGAGCTTTTCTACGACCTATTACGACCCCGCCGCTTAAATCGAGCTTTGTTACGCTTTGGTGCCGCTTTACAAGCCGCTTTAAAGCGCCATCAAAGCGCCGTTGGTATGAACAAAAATGACAAAAATGACGGCGCTTTGTTCGCCGATTTAAAGCGTGGCATTCGCCGTTGGTGTGAACGTAGTATAAAGGCTTAAGCCACTTTAAAAGCTGGGGCATAGTACCAACTTGCTGGGAAGGGTCATTACATTGCATTTTATGTTTTTGTAAAAAAGCGTGCCTTCCTATTATTGGAGAGGTTAAGCTAACGATGTTTTTCACAACGTAACCGTGAACGCAAAGTACAAAAATTAACAAAGGAATGTATCGAGCGCTCATAGTTTTATGCGCGCTTAGTCTACTTCAAATACTCTTTCAGCTTCAGAGTTTCGGGTTTAGAACGGGAGATTTTTAAATTTGACGTTGGGTCAACGGGAACCATTTTACTCGTGTCTATTGAACACTATGCTGTCAATTTTGATTTCGATGCACAGTTGAATTCTTGCTGAACGCGATGATGTATGTCATGCATGATTTAGCGCCAAAAATCTTACGAAACGAGCTCGTTTAAAATATGTATTAGAAAACCAGCTATAAAACCGCATCAATGACATACTATAGAATCATTACACGCTATGGTGTAGTCTAAACAAACACTGGATTTGAACGGCTATTTATATGAGAAGGCTACATGAATTTGTATATGGTCGAGTGATACGTACAGGTTCAGTTTCGATTATATATGCAAAGCTTAACCTCTCTTTTTAGGTACCCATGATTTCTTTGGACTGAACCACTACACGACACAGTTGATCGAACCTAGAGATTGGGAATTCGAGAGTTGGGAACAAGACCAAGAGGCTAAAGAGATCAGGGATCCTTCATGGCCAGAGTAAGTAGGGAGAGCGACCAATAGAGGAATACACTGGTGGACATACGTGGTCTCCTGCCCCATTTTTCTATTTTGGGCATTAGCTTCGACCTTTATTATTTTAAAATTAAGCGTCTCTAGTGACCTTCAGATAAAAAGACCGATAATGATTCGTCAATACGAATTCTTAAACCTAAATAAGTGGGGTTTGTAGAAAAAACCGGGTACCGGGCGTATTATTGGACTGTGGATTCCAGTCTATCTACACTTGAATGGTAAATTCTACAATGATAAGTTGTATCTTCTTTCCTTCCTTCTGTGTTACAGCTCAGGCTCTGATTGGCTGAAAGTCGTTCCATGGGGATTACGAAAGCTATTGAGCTTTGTGAAGGATAACTATGGCAACCAGGAGATCATCATCACTGAGAACGGTGTATCCATACAGAGTAATACCAAGGAAGACGCACTGAACGATCAAGCCAGAATAGACTATTACAGGGGGTACATAAATGAAGTCCTAAAAGGTATGTCGAATATAGTGTATATATCACTGGCAGATTCAGGGGGGGGGGGCATGGGACCCGGGCACTCTACTTTTTGTGTGGGCCCAGAAAAAATGATCAGGGCCCAAAAATTTGCAGAGCCTCAAAAATGGGCCTTTTTGGGCACAACTTTGCCTTCAAAATTTGGGCCCAATCTTTGGTTTAATTTTTTTCCTGACTTGAAATGTTGCCCCCCTTGTTAGCTTTTGGATCCGCCAGTGTATATTATGTCAAATAGGGAGGACGTTTTACATTCCATAGACGTACTTTAAGAAGATATCTATAACATCTGAACATTGCAACTATCACAGCACAATTATTATTTCTATAAATTTGTATGTGCATCTGAAATATGCTATTTCAGCTATACGACTGGACAACGTAAACGTTATCGCATACACAGCCTGGTCTCTACTGGACAACTTCGAATGGTCCAGGGGATATGCAGAGAGATTTGGACTTCATTACGTTGACTTTGATGACCCTGCTAGACCAAGGACAGCCAAGGAATCTGCGAAATACATCAAACAGCTGATCAAAGATCACGGGTTCCCCGATACGTCAGGAGGGTCAAAGAAACAAGGGAGTGCTATTGTTGGACTGTGTAGCGTTCTTGGTGTTATTCTTCTGAAATTGTTCAATTAATTGCATTTTGTCAGTACCAAAGATACGTTTGGGGCATGTAGCAAGCTTTTCCAAGGGGGTTCAGTTTTTAAAAATTCCAATGGATTCAACTGTGGCCAAAGATTACTTAAGGGCTCAAAAATGCACGATTTGGAATGCCCAAACACTGAACCCCCTTGAATACGGGCCTGCACTAATAACAGACCTTAACAGTTAGCTCTTCTAAGTTGGTCAAAGAGTTACGACGGGATTGTGCAGTGCTCGAGTTGTTTTTATGATGTCTTAATTGTGTTCAAATTCAATAGGTTTTTACACCTTTAGTGATGCAACTAACGCGCATTTGTACAATTGACTTTGAAACCTCTTCAATATAGCTTTGTATTAATGGTCATGACCATTCCAAGCTTTTCTAAAATTTGATGAAGTGCCTAGATTTTGGCATTTAATGATGATTTAAGAATGCTGACTTGGATATCATTTAAAAAGAACAGTCATTATAATGGCCATATGCAATTATATTTTTGATATTAAAATACAGCTTCTGCAATGATATTATACCATCGATATTATATTGGATCTTCTGCCATGATATTGTACCATTGAAATTATATTACAGCTTTTGCCATGTCATTCTATTGATATTAAAATTTCTATCATGATATTTTGATATTGATATTATTTACAGCCTTTTTAATGTCATACTATTGATATTATAGCTTCTCATACAATTGATATTATAACACCTGTCATGATATTATACTATATTGATATAATAAATTACAAAAATATATATTTCTGTTTCTATTGGTTTGATTTAGTTGTCACTCATTATAAAAAAAAATACACACCCTTGACAGACAAGATTTTAGGACGGAAAATCCAAAATGGCCGCCTTAACATTTACCCAGAATGCCGAAAAACTAATCAGTTCTAAACTTTCATAGGTAGAAACATCCCTGAGAATTTCAAATGAATCCCTCAAACGGATTGGCTGGAAACCTGTAGACAAGCCTTGACAGACAAGATTTTAGGACGGAAAATCCAAAATGGCCGCCTTAACATTTACCCTGAATGCCGAAAAACTAATCAGTTCTAAACTTTCGTAGGTAGAAACATCCCTGAGAATTTCAAATGAATCCCTCAAACGGTTTGGCTGGAAACCTGTAGACAAGATTATTCGGGACGCCCGCCCGCCCAACAAACTGATTACAATATAGCACCTTAGGGTGCGATAATAAGTGATGGTTTACAGCTGATAGCATCGAAGGAATTAAGAGATTTTTCAAATGAATTAATGGGCTATAGACTAGATGCAAGAAAAAAGATCTTGATTTTGCTCATTAAATATCCAAAATGGCAAAGTGATATTCTGATCTACTATACATTGGGTTAATTTTGTGCGTTTTAATTTCGTAAAATAGAAAAGGATAAGGGTGATAATCAAAACATGTCACTTCTAAATTAGTCCAGGGGAAATACTTCAATAATAAACTAGATATAGAAGATTGAAGAAATGGTGTAATAATTTCGTTGTATTTTGCTCCAATGTATATTGAAGCTGTGGCATCAGAGCAATGTAAAAGCCCTTGTGTTTGCCAAATTAAATAGCTGCCAATATGCCAAAATTGGCAAAATCGCAAAATTCACTACCGCAAAATTAACCCAATCTACAGTACTCAGATCATCTCTGCCTTCCAAAGAATCTAGAAGGAACTGTATTCTGATAATGCACAAGAATGAAGGAAACTGAGAGAAGGCTGTGATATCTCATGATGAAGGAACTGGTAGAAGACTGTTATCTTTCACAATACAATACCACCATAACAAAACATTTTTTTTAGAAAATAATTTAGTATTTTATTTACAATTTCCCTGTGAAAATGTATATTCCCTGTTATGTACATACATGTATATTTACTTGAAGTTGAGACTGGCTGTACATCTACTTTCTTTAGACATTATCTATATGATCTGGGCAGCTGGGGTCTGATTGAATAAGGTTATTTGATCTCTAAACTAAATATTCTCTTTTCCGAGGCTTCCAAACATATAAAACTACAAAGTGTTTTTTGTTGTACTCTACTGATGTTTTATGCCTCGTGATAGCGATTATGATAAAATTCAGCAAAAACGTTCTGCAGTCAAATAATGGACAACAATCGCAAGAGACCAAATTATCCTTCAACCAATATTTTAAAACTACCAAAAATTAAATAGGGCAAAAATAAGTAGAAGTACAGACGGTATGTATTAATATTTTTTACAAAATTCTCCCTAGATTCTATAAGGGGAAGGGGTCCCTGTCGTTCTGTCTTTTCCATAGCAATCAATAAATAAGAATACTACATATACAATTTTTTTCAGATGAATTATATCTGCAAAAATTTCACTGGTGATGAAAACAAAAACTAGTCATTTTTTAAAAAATCATGAGATAAGCCTCCTGATGACGAAATGATATTTCAAATTAAAACAAGTATTCAAGATTTTGTCCAATATCCAGGATTCAAACAAATATCCAGGATTTTGTCCAATATCCAGGATTCAAACTTCTTTGAGCTGTATAATAGATTCGGTTTGACAATTTAAAATCTAAAAACATGGATAATTGGATATACATTCCCCTCCAAAAGATTGACAACCTATACTACCCTATTGAAACACATGTTCCAACTGGCTTATACTCGTATGATTTGTGATACAAGTGATACACGTTTTCATCCATTTTGTGATAAATCTCTTACCTATTGTAATTGATAAAAACATTAAAACATAAACAGACTTTAACAATCTAACCAATGGTAAGTCAAGGTTGCCAATTTTTTGTGGCTAGTGTATGAATTTACACATTGGCAGTATTCCATGATGCTACTCAAGTATCTTATCCTCCTGGATTGATAAAACATAGTAACACATTCAAACAGTATTTTATGTAGCTATCTTATCCTCCTGGACTGATAAAACAAACATGTAATAGTGACTAGATCACCACCGAAGTGTCATGGCTTTGACTTCCTCTTTCCAGAGAGCATTCATCCAAGACACTACACACCAGCTATCAATAAAACACTGACATAATCCTAATTGTCTATTCATTTGATCTTGCTGGGAGTCAGTCTCGCAACTCAGAGTTCCTTTCCTTTATCTATATAGACATACCGCATTCAGTAGAATACATAGAGCAGCATTTAGATTGAGATACACACCAATGTTGAATAATGATTGAATCTCCATGTGTTATGTAATGTAATTTAATGTGTTCCTTTTCGCTGAAAATCAGTCTTACAAAACTCAACTTGTATTATTTTCCCCACTTTACATAGATAGTTTAACTGGTGCACTCAATGGAAATGGAATGCATATAACAGCTTCATAATCAAACTCACTATAATGTAATGTGACAGTGTATGCAATTCCTCACACAGCAGGTCAGTGCATTTGACACTCAGTGGAATTTGCACTCAATGGAAGGCAGAAAGCAGCATTTTAATCTAGCACAATATGTGTATGTAATTCCTTACACTGCAAGTTAGCCTTGCAATTCAAAACTCCTACACTTTTCCTTAATTCATCAGAAACTTCAGACAGTATAGCGAGTACATATAATACTCAGTGGAACATGCACTCCATGGAACATAACTCAACGAAAGGCAAAGGGCAGCATTTTAATACAGCACACTATATCTATATGTATGTGCATGTAATTCCTTACGCTGCAAGTCAGCCTTGCAAATCACAACTCGTACTTTTCCTCAATTTATTCGACACTTTAAAGACAGTAGTGTGAGTGCATTTAACACTCAGTGGAACGTGCACTCGATGGAACATTCACTCAATGAAAGGCATACAGCAGCATTAGAATAAGACACACTGCAACAACGCATGCTATAATAATGGAGTCTCTTCGTTTCCTTATGTTGATTCTATTCATTAAACTGTTCAATAATGGAAACCTATCTTAGAAAAATGAAGGAAAATATGTCAAACGTAACTGTATATCTTTAACAAGGCATTAATATGATAAAATGTCATCACCAGATATTGGAAGTTGTAAGAAAAAGCTCCGAATGCTGACCACCGAACACCATCGACAAAAAAGTCCAACAATGTATGTCACCATTACTGGTGATGATATAATAGATCACATCATTAAGGTTCTCTGAGAAGTTGGAAATTTATAAAATTTGGGAAAGTAATTCATAGTTCCAAAAATTTGAGGAGATTATTATGACTATGAGGTATAGTACACAAAATTTGGGAGTAGTTTTGAAATATGCCCATCTCTGACATTCTCTGTAGATGTTCAATGTATTAAATGTTCTTTTCCAAAACCTTTGAATTGTGATATTTAAATATTTAATATGCATTTGAACTATTATTTGAATTGCAAAGGATACTGCCTAGCTCCACCATTTTCTGTTGCACTTTACCCAGAACACCTCGCTGTGATATTAGATTCTCTTTTGTAGCCATGGCAATACTGAAAAACAATTTATAAAAGGAACTATTAGAGATAGAGAGTGTAAAATGTTGAAAGCAACCAGTCAAAAACAATTTAATAAAAATGCATACTATACAACACTGATTTTAATTTTCAAATAATGAAAAATTGAAATATCTGAGCATGTAATAATAATAATTCATAATAGCATAGAAATTCATCATTCCTTACAGTGGCGTAGCCAGGATTTGGCAGGAGCGGGTTTGAAAATTTTCCGCAAAAAAAGATTTTTGGAGCCACCTTATGTTGAATTTGATGAAAACTTTTTCCAATTTTGATAATCCATTCCTCAAAAAACATACCTGATTTGTTCATCAACAAGCCTCTCCGAGCTGAAAAGTAAAACATTAATTGGTTATGTAATATTTTATGCAGAGCTATCGATACATTTTTAGCACCTTGGGACTTTAGTAAAAAAACGTTAGGTTTTTGTAATTTCTATTGAAAAATTAAAAAATTTATTGATACTTTGTTCGAGGCACATTGAATTGTTGGAGGCATATTTGAGTGTTAAGACATTATTTGGAGGTTTTGTTCCAACAAGTAGTACAGTAGTTAGTTAACAATCAATTATAGCTTTATCTTATAGCTTTATACTATTGTCCAAGATTCTCACTTTAAACCTTTGACTGACTGGAAGCAAAGCATCTGAATCAGAAATACTTGATATCATACTCACTTATATGGTCTTTATATCTGATGTCATATTTACTACCTTATATAGTCGAAATACTTACATGTTATACTTACAACCTTATATGGTAGAAAAACTTGTGTTATACTTACTTCCTTATATGGTCATGTTCTTTTAAAAGCAAATCTGACCTCCTATTTAAACCTCCAGAGGCATTTTTATAAGCACTGAAAATATAAAAACAGCTCATTTTACAAACACCCTACTCCAATACTAATAATACTCCAGAATTAGAATTTTCAAATCAGCCCTTAACGCAGAATTTCATGCGTTTTCATTAACTAATACAACTGGTCAAAGTTGAACAGTAAAACTTGTCAAAGTGAGATACCTTTAATTCCTCTAAAAAGCTCCACTTTACAGGTGTCCCACTTATAGAGGTGCATTTAACATAAGTCAGTTGGTCCTGGGACTCTGAAAAGTGTTCCACTAACAGAGGTGTTCCACTTGCAGAGGTGTTCAACTTTGCAGGTTTCACTACATTGTGTTATTTTCCTATGTTGAATTACCAACTGATCCAGATCAAAACTAACGGGCTTCTTGACTGATACTTATATCAAACTCTGTTACCATTGCATTAGCAGAAGTTCAATGACCCGAACAGCATAAAAAATTTTAACATTTAAAAATGGCACCATGTAGTGGCCAAACACCCATAAGTGCGAGAATCTGGTAGTTTGTATAGAGAGAAATAAACATGAATGACACCACCCATGGTAAAAACATCTAGAGGTACAAAAGCTCTCCTCTCTAAAGTAGCTGTCACTTTAGCAGCATGTGGTCTCCATTCGCCCCCATGTGAATAATTTTGTGAATAATTCTGGGCATCAAGTTTTAAATTTTTGTTTTTGGTGTGATGGGGATATCTTGCTGTAAAACTATTTGTTTTCCCCACACCGCCTCACAGTGTACCAATGCTGTGCCCCCCCCCCTGTCTGCCCCAAAGTATTCACAGTGGCGAACAGTGAGCCCACACAGCTTCAATATGACAGCTCCATGACTGGCAATGTCATTTAAATTGAACTTACTCTATATCTCTTCTCACCGAGCCTAGCAGGTCTTCACGTTCCATAAATGTATTTATATTAGTTTTTGTTTTCTGGAACTCATGGGAGTAGTCCTGTAGTATATCTCTATGACGTTGTAGGGTATGCAATAAAGCTGCACTATGAGAGTTCACGCCAAGGTTCTGTGTGTAGTCTGACATTTTGTCATTAACTTCAGTCAACTGTGTTATAATGTAAAAATAATATTTATATAATATGATATTATGAGGTTATATAATGGTTGATTCCGTATATCGTGTTTATACTCAAGTGAGTATACGATATATTCACGAGTGACTGAAGGGACTGAAGTGACTGAAGTGTCACCTACTCACGAGAGTATAATGATATACAGAATCGACCATTATATGATCTTATTATCCCACCCTAATCTTTAATCAATAAAAGGTTAATCTAATTCAGCAGTTGTATATCAAGTCGAAGAGTTGTATACGCTGTCCAGGAGTTGTATACGCTATCCAGGAGTTGTATATCGTTCTCAAGAGTTGTATACGATGAGTGTTGGCTTTATATTGCAGTTATACAATGTAGCTAATACAATGCTATTATACAATCATATAAAGCACTTAGGGTGGGATAAGATAATACTTGTGCAATATATATTGCATTTACTTCTTTTTATTGGAGATCTGAATATGTCAATATTATTAAACATACTACGTTTTGAGGATGATAAGATTTCATAAAGTGGCCAAGCCCATAACCTGGCCAAAAATTCTGTTCAAAATCATGCAGTTTTTCACCATTTTGAGAACTTTCAAGTGATTTTGAGCCAAAATTGTCAAACTGGAACACTGAATAGGAATTTTTAAAAACTGAGCCCCCATTGGCAAAAGCTGGCTACAGGCCTGTACTCTGTAGCAGCCTCATCTTTTGACTACCAAGAATCAAAATTGATAGTAACTTACCTTAGCTAGCAACTGTTCTATTTGCATGGCCATAGTATCAAACATGTGATCGCTATTCGACTTGTTGAGCAGCGGGGAAGTATCACTGGAATAGAAAATACAATTTTTATTTACATTTTTTTCTTTCTATTACAGGCACACAGGACACACTGATTAAGATATGATCTTGCCCCATAATTTTCATTCCTTGAAGATACAACATGTATATGTTTCTAAAAGGAGGTAGGAAAGATCCCTCTTTTGGTCCCTCAAATTAATGATTGGCAGAAGTATTCTTAACACACTAATTAAACAATGTGGCTTAGATAATTTCAAATAGATTTGCCTGTGTTGACTTTCATGATATCATTGGCCCAGGATACAAATGGACTTATTAAAAATTATACAATAGAATGCATTCATGAAAATGTAATTAGCAAAGATATTTACACTGAATGACACATTAACACATAAGAATTGAAAGGATAAATTTAGGCATATTTAGATGAAACCTTCTGACAAAGGAATAATGCGTAATACTTATATACCATAAAAACAAATGATAATTCACACGAATAGATTTTCCCAACAAATAGACTAGATGCGAGTAGAAATAATCTTGATTTACGTCATTAAATATTCAGTCAAAGTGATGTCATATTTGAAATCTACATGTAAAAGTACATCTAGAAATATGGTTTCGAAATTTGTTTATCAACTTTGAAAATTTAATTTCTTTTGAAAATGTGACTTCTTGTTCGGGTTGATTCCTCATAGACAAAATCACAAAAAGTGAAATATCTTTTCTTGTATTGGACAGATAACATTTTCTTTTATTGGACATATTTTAATTTGCATTACTATTAGATACATAAGGGTTATATGAAATTTGAACCACTAAAACAGATGTAATTTAAGTTAAAGGGAACTTTCTTCTATATCCATGCCATGCTATCTGACCCGAACGAGCCACCTGTTGGTGAAACTGGTAACTACATACTCGCATCTGCGTTATTCTGATACCATTTAACAAAACAAGGAAACAAGTGACGTCATATTCTGCAGCAAGTAATGCTCTTGAATCCCAGGCTCTAAAATCAGTTTGAAACCAGAGAATTTTTAATTTTTGCCAGCTTTTGACATTTAAGTATGGTACATATACAAACAGATGATGCTCAACTAAGTGAAATTAGTCCGCAGAGATCATTTCTACATATTTTAAGACTTTTTTGTGTAAATTGGATGAAAATTGTCCAAATTTGAGCAATTTTAGTGAAAAATATTGTGAACAATTATCTCGTCACAGTCACAGTATGTTTCAAGGTCATTTCTGAGAGAAATCTCATCACTTTGGGTAGTCAAGAGGAAACAAAACATTGCTTTAGTTTTTTGGCAAAATCCTATTCTTCCCTAAAACTGCAAGAATGACATCATAATCAAAAGGTGATGGATATTGCAGGATTGGCCTATTGTGATATTTATATTAAAGGCAGAATCAGATCTATAGCGGGTGATCGTGACAAAATTACAAGCAATGTGTACAATTGACCTACCAATCTATTCATTACAATGTCAAATATAATATCTCCAAAAAGATTCACAATATGTTATAAGTTGGTTAAGTTATTAATGATTCAAAGTGCAAATTGGATGAAAAATGTTTAAATTCTCCCAAATAATAAAATTATAGAAAAATAATACATTATTGTAAAAGTCTTTAGTTTTCCTGGAATAAATTATGCACTCTTGTGATTTTTAGAAAATATACATGACAAGGAATGACACGAGCCAAAGATATTCTAAAATTGATACAATTTTTTGTTTAGCCTGCTTGCTATATCAGATTCTCTCTTTAATAAACTCTTTGTTCTATACTGCACCATGATGTGATTGAGGCAGGTTTGTAAAATGTTGTATTTTTAAGATCAGGTGGGAAACAGCTTTACAATTAATTAACTTAAAAAATTGGGAAAAAATAAATATGGCAACAAATACTAGCCACTAGTACTAGAGGGTGACAAAATTTTTTTGTCTGCATAAAATTCTGACTTGTTCTTTAGCACATTAAAAATGGATTCTTTGAATTCACATGTGGATTCTACTGGCAAGGTTATTGACGACCCTAACTGACCCGACCCTCCAGTACTGTCAACCCCTAAAGATTTTTTCGCGGGACAGACTATTAGACCCAGTGCCCAAAATTCGCGGGATATTGCGGGACATCTACTAAATTCGCTTGATTTCGCGGGACATTTAAGGGATTTGCGTGATTGCGCTAATAGGCCAATTTTTTTTATCAAATTCGCGGGATTTCGCGGGACCATTCAAGGGACAAACACCCTAATTGCGGGACAGTTAACAGGTTTACCACCAAAAACTTCATAGAGGGACAGATTTTTTAGACAAAGTGCCCTAAATTTGCGGGATTTCGCGGGACATCCACCTAAATTTGCAGGATGTCCCAGGACATTCAAGGGATTTGCGTGATTGGGACTAATGTAAAAGCGTTAAATCAAACTTTCAGATACAGATTAATCATATAAAATGCACAGTTACATTGTAACTTAAATAAACGTCAACACAATTTCACAAAATACGCATAGGAATATTATTAAACTTTTTTGTAATTTATCAAAAACAAAAACCATGCTTCAGGTGTGAGTACCGTAATCTAACACGAAATTCAAAAATTCGGAACAATACTTTGCACTTCTGGCGTCGTGACAAACTATGAAACGCTTACCCCCATAAAGTTATATATTAAAATGTACCTATTCATATACTGTAGGCATGGGCTTTCAATTGAAAGCCCATGATATAGGGGTTCGATTAATCTACATCAAATTATAGGGAATGGGGTTACTTTTCTAGATAGGGTTTGTAGAAAAAAACGGGTACCGGGTAGTAAATCCTCCATGCTGGGTTCAAACTTGGTACCCGGTCGAAAAAAACGGGTACCCAAAAAACGAAATATACGAATATACAACATAATTAGATCATTAGAAAACGTGTAAGATTTGTTTTGAATTTACAAAAATGTATGTAACTTCCTACAAAATTGAGCTAGAAGCTTCAAATAAAAAGCATTTTAAGTCTCTTTTCTTCCTCTATCATCATGGTTATATTTCCATTGGTAATGAAGGGGGGGGGGTGCGATCGCACCCCCTTCTGGCTACGCCAATGACAGGACAAATCAATCTTACTTTATTTTCAATAGGAATATGTTGGTACGTGAATTGTTTTGATTATGATTTAAATCTGTAAATAGCTATCGTTGCTTTAGCAGAGAGGTGACGTGTGTTAATTTACATGATGCAACGTGTAAGATTATTAATCATAATTTAAGTTATCCCAATTTTCGACAAAATGTCCACTGAATTGTAAATTGTTATGTCTTACAGTGTCATAGGCGTAGCCAGGAGAGGGTGCGATGGTGCGATCGCACCCCCCCCCATAACCAATGAAAATATGGCCATGACGATAGAGGAAGAAAAGAGCCTTCAAATATGCTTTTTAATTGAAGCTTCTACCTCAATTTTGAAGGATGTTACATGCATTTTTGTAAATTCAAAACAAATCTTACATGTTTTCTCATAATCTAATTATGTTATATATTCGTATTTTTCGTTTTTTGGGTACCCGTTTTTTTGACCGGGTACCAAGTTTGAACCCAGCATGGAGGATTAACTACTCGGTACCCTGTTTTTTCTACAAACCCTTTCTAGATATCAGCGTCCATTTATTGTAACTCGCATTTGCTAACATTTGCTCAGTTCTGAGATGAAGGCCACACGGGTAGTAAAAAGGCCAACGTTGGAACTATTTGTGACCTACATCCCTATTGTCGTAATTAAAATGAAAGTTGAACCCTTCCTCTTTATTTTGATACCAAACAACAGCATGCTAGGTACTTTGAATTAGGTAAACTTTACTCCTCAAAAGTGCAAAAACTTAGCTTCTTATTTAAGATAATCACAATGGGGGATTGCAACAATTTCGGAAATTCGCGGAGGTCAAAGCCACATTTGCGGGACTTCGCGGGACTTTGCGGGACACGCGAATTAGCCTAATTTTGATCAAATTCGCGGGATAATCCCGCCATTCGCGGGACACTTGACAGCTCTGTTCCTCCAAAGATGTGGCCATGATCTCTCTGGTTTGTGATCTCTCTCTTCATGATCTTTCAAGTAGCCCCAGAAGTAAATGAAGGACCCATGGTCCTGTGCTCACACAGTTTGGAACCTTCAGAGGAACATATATCCTGACTTTCAAACAAAAATATTGATTTGGATTTGAAGTCTCAAACTCTGAGAAACTTAGATAGTAAAGTTGTGTGACCTAGTTTGATGACCTTTGACCTTGAAAATTTTACTTATTCAGAGCTCAGTAAGGTCTTTTGTGATTAAGCTGACCAAAATTTACATCCAAAAAGCAATTTGAAAAATCAACTTTTTTGACCTTTCGAAGGTCACTAAAGGTCAAGCAAAGGTCAAATCCTAAAACTAATGTCAGATTTGAACTCCTGGCAACTTGTAGATGATTTTCAAAAAAATTTGGGTCAAATTGAAGCAAGTTGAAAAATAACTTATTTTTACTGTTTTTTGACGTCAAATATCTCAAAACAGTATAAAAATTTGATGCTGACATATATTGAGCAATATGTAGGGAATGCTTAAATCTAGTAATGATGTAATTCATTGCAAGAAATGATCAAGTATAAGGCAAACTTTGTGAAACTTGTCAATCACAAAACCTGCCATTGACTTTATAATGAGAAAGTTTCCTGAAAATGACGTAAGTCCTACTTTTTGTCAAATTTTATAGAGTAAACACCAAAAACTGTAATTCCCAGAGCTTTGAAATCTTCAGAGGACATAAGTTGCACATACAGCAACTACTAAAAGTTATTTGAAAGTTCTACTTCAACAAAGTGTCTAGTATTTACAGAAAATTTGGCTTTTTGACGTCAAAATCCGCAATTTCTCGGAAACCGGGCGAACTTGGGAAATGGCGATGATAGGTCAAATAGGCATTATGGATATGAATAAAATGAATGTGGATATTACTCAATCCGAATAGCAGTTTTAATTTGTGCGGCCAATGTTGACGGACCAACAGACGGACAGACACCTGGTCGATCCCATAGGCTCACTGTGTGAGCCAAAAAGCTGGGGGCTTCATGTCAATTCAATGTGGTGTCTACTCAATCGCTGACTTTGCCTGTAGAATCCATGTGTGCCTGCTAAGGAATGGATGGACATCATTAGAGCACATTTTCTATCATTCATAAAAGTGCATCTACACCCCCAAAATGCAATCTGATTTTCGGTGTCAAATTTCGGTGCTGTTTCGGCACCAAATGGACTGACTAGTCCGGTAGCAAATTTAAGTGTCCAAAGGTTTCGGTGCCGGAACGGTGTCGAAACGGTGCCGGAACAGCGCCGAATTTTTTCGATGCCGAAACGGCGCCGAATTATATTGGCTGTGTAGTTGAGAGCTAGTCATCTAGAAAATTATCATGGAGTTGCTCCATGGAGTCTAGTTTTAATATGCTAGAGAAAAAGTCAAATTTCACGCAGACAAAAAAGTTAAGCAAATAACATTAGTGTCTTGACTTTAAGCAGATTTATTTTGAAAAATAAAATAAAAGTAACATACCTAGGAATAAACGAGCGTGCCAGAATGAAAGATTTAAGTGACAACATTGAAATATAGACAACAGGTCCATAAAACAATTAAAACATGCATGCATTATATCAAAAAAAAACAAATAGGTGTTCTGAATAACTTAATTCAATAAGATACGTACACTTTCCCGGGTTTTGTATGAGGGATAAGCATAATTTAGGAAGTGCAAATTACCAAAAACATTAACTAATACGGCCATAAACTTAGAATTAAACTTAAAGAGATTTAACAAAATACATAATAATTATACACCCAGTATATTCATGGAAAATAAGAATTGTATACCTAGGCTCTGCCACTGAAGGTTTTGTCAAGCTAATCAAGAAAATAATGTTTTTAATCCACTTTTCGAATGTGTGCACTGTGTACCACTAGAGCAGCGTCATAGTGAATACAAAATATGCACTGTGAAAATGTGTAAAAAATAACACGGTGTATAACCCAAACGCTCCTACATGCACGACGGAGTGTTTCATTACTGAAATTAAACAAAGAAACGCTCCGGAGTAGGAAAACTTGCTGGCGGGAATGATGAGCCGTCTGACGATTTCCCCAATAATGGGAATAAGAGGTATGAGTTACATATTTCGAGTATACCATTCGATGGGTGTGATATTCATGTTGTTCTTGGCTGGCTGTTGACGTTTGAAGCAATTAGGAAGAGCTGTACGAAGCAGTATAGTTATCAAAATCCAAAAACGTATTTGTCATTCTACCGGTCAAATCCCATTTTGTCGTTACATGTGATTAGTTGAGCCAAGATTAGAGCACCAACGTATATTTTAGTCAAATTCCAATGCTTCAACGCACCATACATTATCGTAATAGTGATTTGATGACCGAAAATCCAGTCTTAAAAATGATGACATTCTCATATTCAAGAAACGCTCCGATCTGGTTAACACAGTGAACTGGAAACGCTCCGGTAGTCTAGATCTGTTTAGGAAATATATAGCTTGGCTTTCCTTTTCAGGAAGAGAAAGAAATTAAGATCTATTATACCCCTTGGCATCAAAAGAAGAAAGATTCATTCACATATTAATTTTCGTTTTTTCTATAGTTTTATGATCTAGTACACATGTAGGCATGACATCATCTAATGTAGGCTTAAATCAGCTAGTTGCACGTTTAGCACCACCAGGTTCAGATGTTTCAATTTGCCTAACAAGTACAACACGTTTTTGAGAGATAGATTCGATTCGGAACTCTTCTCTAATAATCTGAAAATGATATCAAAACAAAATGGTAAGAGCGTTTCTAAAATTGTGTTCTAAATCGACGGAGCGTTTCGAGGAAAACAAGCGATTTCTTGAGAACAAGTAATGGATTTGGACTGGGATTTTAAGAAATGAGAATATACGAGTTTGTGATCTACTACTTTCAGAGAAATATTAACGTTTTCATAGAAATACTAGTTTAATTCGTAATTTGTGGTCAAATCGTCATCTTCAGATTCGTTCGATCTACACTACGGAGCTTTGATCAAGCAAATAACAGTTTACCACCAGAAGTTTAATAAATAAGATCTTTGCTCACGGTATTGTTCATCGAATGGTACATAATATTTCACCATAACATATGATATGTAAGAGAAACGAGAGAAACAATACTCACGGTCATAGAGGAATCTTCATTAGACGCCATTTTATTTCGCTCCGGAGCGTTTCCGCGTAAATGAAACGCTCCGTCGTGCATGTAGGAGCGTTTGGGTTATACGCCGTGAATAATGACTCTTCTGAAATATCACATTCTTTTTCTAGTTAGATTCGTCATGCTATGAACATTGACAATCTAATAATGTTCACTCTACTATACCTTGCATTTGGTGTTCATGAGCAACACATTGACTTATCAGTAATGATTATGTTATTTGTTTTTATTTGCCTGTTCCTTATTAATGGTTTATCGGATGACTGTTAATATTACTTTCAAAAACACACTAAACAATACAATTAGACAAACAGAGTATCTTATGCATTTCTGGGGGTTAGGTATAGTAGAGTGATAATATTTGAGAGGACCATGAGAAAACTCATATCTCATATCAATGCAGAATTACTTTAGTCTTGGCGACGCCTGTTTTTATTCGATCTTTTGCGCAAGTTTTTATGGTAAATTTTATGATTTACCTTTCGTAATTTGATAAGCTGCAACTATTATTGGTAGTGCAAATTAGTTTTTGCAGTTTTGATGAAATCTCAAATTTCTTCTTTTAGGAACTTTTAAAGAAGTTTAAATGTGATGTTTTAGACTACAAAACTACAAACCAAATCGTTATTTCTAAATTAAACAGCAATAATTAAGTTGAGCTAATTATAAAAGGTACATGTTGAAAGAACAACTTTCCCTTACCTTGCATTCTGGTAGTCTCTGTTGTTGCTGTATGTTGTCCCCAGTTTACTGAATGAGACCAGCTTGAGATCAATTTCATTCTCAAGCTGCCGTGCTTGCTTACGAAGATCTACAAATATGAACAGAATCTATATACATATAAATATGATACATATCAAAACAAGGCTTAAAATGACACTACACCTGGCTGTAACTGCAATATAAAAAGTGTAACATGTGTTACAGATCTCAACACCAGTAATACATAGAATATGCTGGCAAAATTCTTTTGTATAGTAGGAGGAGCTCAATAAATATTCCTCAAGATGAGACTCCGGAGCCTGTGTCCAAGTATCATTGTAATGCAGATGTCACATTTCTGGAACCACTGAAGCCACTATCGGATTTGGACAGACAAGCTCCCGGCAATAAAATATCAATATTTTGGCCTAATTTCGACACAAGATTGCTTGTATTAGTGTTCTAATTGGTTGTGAAAACTGGCGCCGGTTTACCGCAATTCAATACCTTGCTGTTACCGTTTTGGGTCTACGTTCGCAAATTCATACATTTCTGTGACTGAGTCTAGATTTTGCCAAAGTTTTTGGTGGTGTAAAAAAATATTTTCATTTTTTGACAAGTTCTTCCGCTCGCCAGGTGGCGCCCCTAACTCTTCAAAAAGGCGACAAAAACTAAATGTAAATATTTTCGATGTGAAAAGATTACTTTTCTTCACTTTTTATAGATGTTAAACAATTAAAGAGATCGAGTCTCCTAAAAACACAATTAAAGTAACCCCCTGATTTTTTCATCTCATTTGATGTAAAACAAGTTTGTTTATCAACTTACCAATGCTGAGGCTTGAATTAATTCGTTAACAGTATCAATTTGATGATTGTTCCTAGCCATGAATTTCCACTTACATCAATAGAAATTAAAGATAAAATTTAAAAAGCGGGAATCATTGGTCAGTCAATGTTTTTACAAAGTTGGAGAAAATACTACGCATTACAGATGGCCTACTTCGCACATGCTATCTATTGCAAGACTAACGCCTGGCGTAACAGTCATCATGTTATTCAGTGTTTTTAAGGAGCGCAAGGATCCTGCCATGACCGTGGTAGTGTTATCGTGTAAGCCTCAGGTTTAAGCGTGACAATGCTGTATTATATTGCAAGGCCTGTCATGGCCGTGGTAATGTTAAAGCATGATATGACCGTGACAATGGTTGCAAAGCCTGTCATGACCGTGGTAAGGTTAAAGCCTGAAATGGACAATAGTTGCAAGGCCTCTCATGACCGTGGTTATATTAAAGTGGGAGTATCGATTGCCGAGTCGTATCCAATGATCCTGGGCCTATCGTAAAATGAAAGCTTTGAATATGTTGTTGCCTTTAAAAATGTATCTATTTTCCATGTATGCTACTAGAATTTGTGCACATACCTTATAACGATCGATAATGGCAAAGGAAAATCCTCTAATTCTTCGTCATAATTTCTCCTTCGACGTCCGCCATTTTTTATTAAACCGGAAGTTTTTCTCTGACGTCCGCGCAATGTTTTTTCACTTTTATTTCAGATTACGCTCCGGATTCAACATTTAATGCTTTCTAATATAAATTAAGTGTTTTCTATCAGAAAGATTTCATAAAAAGACTCACACTATCAGAGATTTTATCGATTCGAGCAGCCAGAAAAATTAGTTTCAATTTCACCCGCTAGGTGTTTCGACGTCGACTTAGAAAGAATTTGAAAAATCTATGAGTGGGACTCCTTGTATGGAATTGTAGATTCTAAACGATTTGCCAGTTCTACTGGTTGATGAATATTGCCATATGCATACATTTTTATAAAATAGGAATAAGGAAGAAGATGTTGGACCAAACTTCACCCCGATAGCTCAGAAAAGGTAAAATTTCTCCATTTTTCTCTCCACAGACCTTAGAGCCGCTTTAAGTAACAATAAAAGTAGCATGAGAACACTGTAATGACAATTTTCCTCGTGTTTAACTACCTTAAATATGTAAATCAACTATACATGTACATGGTACTCATGTTCATTGATACATAAAAATGTATATTAATTTCACAACGAAACCCTCATTTTTAACTCAGTCATAAATAATTTTCGAACAAACTATATCTCTACTCTCATTCAAGAAGGTTCGATTCGAAAGCACATACTTTCTATAATGATCAATTAATAAGGTTAATCCATAAAAAAAAACTAATAACAGCAATGGGAGAAACATGAAATAAGTCATAAATGTAATATAAAGCAGCTACGGTCGCGCCAGGCTTACACGATTACATTGTCACGGTCATGGCAGGCATTGCAATATAATACAGCATTGTCGCGGTTATACCAGGCTTTCACGATAACACTACCACGGTCATGGCAGGATCCTTGCGCTACTTAAAAACACTGAATAACATGGTGACAGTTACGCCAGGCGTAAGTCTTGTAACAGATAGGGTCTCCTACTTCGTTACATTCATGAGTATTTAAGAATCATTTTTATGTAGTTGAACCGCCACTGGTTTATCGGCAGATCAAAGAGATTATAAGAAAGTAGCTAATGTGCTGAAAACAACTGAGTTGAAGAGGAACAGTCATCTGTGATGTTCAATGTTGTGAAAAAATCTCAAAAATAAATATTTTGATTTTATTTTTACTTTGAATCTCAACTTCACATAGATACACGATAGCAGTTCAGTTAGAAATCTAACATACTTTTGAATCGCTATCTATATATTATTCGGGTGTCATAACTAAGAATGAAACTTATTACTTCATTAGATATAACGAAAAATACATACCTTCCCACTGATTTCCTAAATCTGCCATTTTGGTAGGGCTCATGACGTCACCTTGTTTAGTTCAACGTGGAATCTGTTTGACGCGCGTAACTTTGTGCGACTGCCATAAAACACATTCAAAAATTACTGTTACTGTACAATTTTTGTGCAATAAATATTATTAATTGTAAAATTAGGAATGATATGTCATGACATTTTGTATGAATAATACTTAGTTGTGGTTGATAAGATTCATACATATTTGCGCAAATAACTTATGCGCAATTCTGTGTATGATTTCTCGCGTAAAGTGTATAGGCGGAAATTTCAAAACAAAATGGAGAGAAATAACGTAATTGGACTTTCCTTCAGAAGAAAGCGACGTAGCTTCGTTCCTTTGGAAGATGAAAGCGAATCAAATATGCCAGCAGATAGCAAAAGCCCGAAAGAATCAGGAAAGGCATTAAAGGATTCGACAAATCAACGCAAATTGACAAGAAAACAATCTGTCAAAATGGTCAGAGAAGCATTTGGAACGTTGAAACAGGTGAGACATCTCATTCTTTGATTATTGAGGTTTGTTTACATTCTAATTCCATCATTGATTTTACTATGTTCTTAATCTTAGATTTGACAACCACAGTTGCGTTCTTTTTTTCCAGAGTTTTCTTGAAAGCCCGTGGTCTTGTCCATCCCTCGTGTTCATCACCCGCCTTTGTCCCCCGGGTTCGTCCATGGGTTTTCAAGACTTTTTCAATTTCATATCCATGCTCCAAGCCATTGTTCTGTTATTCAAAAAATTGAAAAAGCGAAGCTTATAATGTAAGCCCCAATTTAATTTGACAGGACATAAACTCTGATTCATTATCAATATTTTTTAATATTTGCATTTGTACCTTTGTAGAAATTAAAACCAACAAGACGCCAGCGGAAGATGCTCGTTAACACAAGCTCTCCATTGCGACCAATACCTGTGACACCCCAAAGAAGATCACAAAGGCTGGCAAATCTTTACACACCAGGGAAAACACCAACCTACCGCAACTATGATGCAGGCTTATTCTCCCCACCCCCATTTGTAAAGGAAGATTATTCAGAATCTCCACAATTGAACCTTAGATCAGCAAGAAGGTTAGTATTGATTTATCTACAGGGTGTCAAATAAATATGTTCTCCCCTCTTTAGCTCTAACTCCACAAAATGTTGCATAACTTTTAGTCTACATATCTGAATTGTTTTTAGCACATCAAAACTAGGCTTCACGGAGCAACTTCACAAGAAATTTCAGCTGACTAGCTCAACTACAGTAGGTTCACTTTTACGCACAAAAGTGCATACTCTTGAAATTAAGAGGGAGAACATATTTATTTGACACCGTGTATTTACATAATATTACTGTATGCTCTTGGAAAATATTTATGTCACCACATGTTATATTGTCTTCAACTTTTATTGTGGACTGTGTTCGGTGGTTGGTGTTTGCCAGTCATGTTTGTTTGGCATCTGTAACAAATCCAGAATACTTCTTTCTTTTTACCCCCTGCGATAAGCAGTTAGCATTTCCCCGATTAAGAACTCGCAATTTGATTCGCTGTCGCAACATATGTACATGTATATGTCATCTTCGCATAATTAGATCACATGATTTAGTTTTATTTGGCGCTTCCAAATTGGTAATAGCAGCGGGGAAAGAAGGAGTTACGGATTCTGGACACCTGCTTAGGAGGATGGATAAAAGCTTGGTCCAAATTTGCAGTGTAATATTAGTTTAATAATTTACTTAAAAGCAGTTGGATAACTTGCTTAAAGCTTAAGCTGAAATATAATTAGACTTGAGTTGATAAATAAATATTAGCACTATCCCCTCATTTACAGCTACACACATGGATGTGTATTATTTATGTGTGATTTTACCATGTTTCAAAATATGTGTATAATACATGTATTGTTGCTATAACAAACTTTGTGTGCTAAGACCAATGGTAAATAATTGCATTTGAGGAAGTGACAATTAAATATTTTCACAACACTTTAATAATTTATCCATACAATAAGCTTATTTATTTGACAAAAAGCAGTGCCAGTGACATTAATTACATTTTAATTACCTATTGATTAATACCAATTAATTGATATCAATTCCTAAAGACTATATAGAGTTTGTCTTTGTAAGATTTTGATGATGTTGATAATGCCGCAATGATGCAAATATACACATAAAACTGAAGAAAATGTTAAAGATTAAAAAATATACAATGCATCTAGGCCAGGTTAAAAGACTTCATAGTTAGAAAACAGAAATAATGTCAGGCCCGTAGCCAGGATTTGCCAAGGGGGTTCACTTTTTGAAAAATTCCAGGGGGGCTCACTTGTGAGAATTTTAGTCCAAAAAATCACTTAAAAACTGCTCAGAATGGTGAAAAACTGCATAATTTTGAAAGATTTTGGGCCAGGGGGGGGGGGATTCGCTCAAAACCCCCTGACTACTGGCCTGGATGTGATGAGCATCACAATGAGTATTCTACATTAATCACAAGTGGGTGCAAAATTCTCATGTTCACAATTCAGACCAAAATTAGTCAAAATGTGCAAATTTTTCATTGTTTTTTCTCATTTTCAAGTGAATACATTGCAAATGGATTTTCAGATGGGTGCAAACCTATTTTCAAAATCTCAAGTGGGTGTTGCGCCAACTTGCTTCAATAATGGTGAGATCACTGATTATAAGATTAATAGCCACTGAATGAGTCCTCACATCAATACCTAGATGATTATAAATTATTTGAACATTCATTTAATAGAGAATTTTCGTTATAAGTTGTTTCAAAAACTTATACGTATACTTATAGTTTAAAGGGTCTTGTCGAACTAAAACCAATTCAAATTGATTTTCATAATCTGTACCAAGTGGGGCATAACTATTCCCGATATAGTCAAGCTCCATCATCAACTAGGGACTGCGAATACAATGTCCTTTGCTAGTGTCAATTATGAACATGATAAACTAAACGCTAGTTGACGGGTCCTTGTAGTGTACGATAAACAAGACCCTTTAAAGTGAATCACTACACGAACGAGTCGATCATTTCAAATTTCTCATGAAATTATAAGGTCAATTTTTAAGTTTTTACGTATAAAAGGGCCTTTATACGCAGATTATAAACTTACAGAGTTGGATCTCCGCATAGTATATGTGTGGACCTACTGACCAGAATGGCTTATTAAAATTAATAAATAGGCTGAATAGGCATAGTATCAAATCAAACAGCTCGACTCATTCATTAGCTGAATTAATTCTCCCTTCGTTATTTCTACAAGGTGATTCAAAACGATCATCTACAAAAAATATATTTGAGAGTAGATAAATCTGTAAAACCCGTGTGCTATATCAGCCTATTTGATTCTAGAAAACACATATGACACAACTAAACATGCTTTACATCAAGGGGGTATGGATGGTATGCCATTGGCCCTTTTTATTACCGTCCTAGGAGATATTTCCCGACGAATTAGGAAATTATGAAACACCTTGTTTATTGGGTTTATAAGTATAAGTATACGTATAAGTTTTTAAAAAACTTATAACGAAAATTCTCTAATATTTTATTTTGCGGAACTTATAAATGATTGCTGCATTTTGAATCTTCATTAATTGACTAGATATCATAGTAAGTACATGTTCAGCATTTTGATGTGAAAAAACAAGCTTTATATCATGTAAACTGGATGTACATTGTAAAAATCTTTGATAAGACAGACTTGGTGAGTATTAAAGAGCTTTGTCAGTAACAGGGTTCTCACCATGCTCATTAGAAAATAGAGCCTCCCATGTGTTTTGTTCATTGTATTTGACTCTGTATGGTGCCAGTAGACTAGACTACAGACACAGGGGTCTGCCACTGTCCATAGAATATCCAGGTTGTTTTCACAAAATCGCCTGTTGTTTTAGAGACTTTTCAAATGGTACTGCAGGGGTTTCATTAGCAGCAGGCAACAGGCGATTTTCACCGGTTGTTTTCACAAAATCGCCTGTTGTTTAGAGACTTTTCAAATGGTACTGCAGGGGTTTCATTAGCAGCAGGCAACAGGCAATTTTCACCGGTTGTTTTCACAAAATCGCATGTTGTTTTTAGGGAATTTTCAACTTTTCCATGTTAAATTTATGATTTCCATTAATTTTGCCTGTTGTTTTCATTTATTTAGCTGTTGTGAGAAATTCTAGTGAAACCCCTGCAATATGATCAGAACCCTGAGAACAGTAAAACCTGTCTAATCCAAACACTACTGGGAGAGGCCAAATGTATTCAAATTGCCAGCTGTTCACACTTTGAAGGTTTATCAAATTAAAATAACGAGACCAAAAAATGTTCACATTAGACAGGTGTCCAGAAGAATAGGTTTAATTGTAATGCAAAGAAAAGTAATTAAAAAGGTATTATTCAACTTATGTTGACTTATATTTTCCAGGTGCAATTTCAGTAGTCCCAGTGGATATCAGAAAGACTTGAAGTCTATTTCCAGTGCCATACAGGACTTGGCTACAATGGGTGATAATCTGGATGCAGCTATAGATCAAAATAGGTAGGTACTGCAGAAAATCCCCAAATGAGGAAGGCCTATTTGTAAATATCAAAACTTTTGTCCCATTAGTACATAGTAAGAAATGGTATTGGCCTTTAAAGTTACTCTAAGATCAAGATGCAATCCCTTCATGAATTTGGGACATTTTCATGGAAAAAGGGGGGATGGGGTGCAATAGACGCGTCACCATCCTCTTTGTATTTATTACCACTTGCAGACTTATATTATGTCATAATTCCAATAGATTTACCCAGAGCTCCTAGCATTATGCTCAATGGCCTTTGGCCCATTTGCATCTGCCATTCAACCCCTTTTATGAAAATTGTCACAACAAACTGTTATTTGATCTTCCACAACTGCCATCATTTGGACCTGATCCCTTAATAAATCTATGTTTTTTGCTTTCAGTCCTAAAAGGAAATCTGACAGGACCTCGCATGTGTTCATATAGAGCAACAGAACACACATGATGCCAAATCATGCCATACCATGCTGTTTGTGTACATATACTGTATAAGTGGTAATTTTGCCCGATCATTGAATTTATCTTTTGCCTAATTTTTGCCAGGTTCGGAGAATTATATGTTGGGAATATTATCTTCATAGTGTTATCTAATGGGAAGTGTTTTGTCATTAGGAAAATGAAAAAATTTGACCATTCAGCAAATTAACCAGATGGATTAAATACCACTTATACAGTCTACCACTATACACAAAAGGAAGGAACATTAAAACAACTGAACAGGATGGCCCAAATACGTAACAAACATTATATAGCAACTGTTATCGCTGATGTACTGCCCAATATATAGGGCAGCCATGTAAAAATTGCTTAATACACTCCCATATAAAAGTTTGGCAAGTTGAAGTTCCCTTTTGGATCACATGTTAATGTTTGGCAATGTTGATGAACTTATCAAAGTCATAAATTTTAGCCATGTACTTTCAACTAGCTAATTGAAAGCACATGATTTTAGCTTATGAAGGGGCGTTACATAAAGATATACTAGTATGATTTTGAACCAGATTAGATTGCTGCTATAATATTGTGATCACTTTGCCATGTGGACAATTTTTGTTACAAGCGTTCGAAGGCATAGTCCCCAATAAAGGGAGATAGTTTCAACCCAACATCATAATTTGGCCATTACATGGGCTTTCAATTAGACAGGATTCCAGGATTTTAAAGAATAGAGATGGGTGCTTGATGCTATTTATGCATGAATTATATAGCCTATACAAGATCTCTGTTGTATAAAACAATTTATATGATATATGTGAATGGTGCGTTCACTCATTCAAAGTGTATATGCACTTATATGTACATAGCACAAGTACATAGTGCAAGTTTGCAACAAACAATCATCTATACAACAATCATTAACTCAACAATCATTAAGCTTTAAGACACATTATCAATTTATCAAACACTCAGTAATCACCCTCAAAACCATTCATCAGTAGATCTAAACAATACACTCAGTCAATCATACACTCAAGAATTAACAATCATAAACTCAACAATCATTAACAATTAAGACACGATATATACACCCAGTAATTATCCACAAAATTCATCTTTCAGTAGATTTAAACAATACACTACAAGTCAATCATACACTCAAGAATCAACAATTTTACACTCAACAATCATACAACAGTACTCAATAATCTTATCATACCCAAAATGCAAGTCTATGCTTGTTGTGATGTGTCTCATATACTGCAGGGGCAAACAAAAAGGGTGAGGCAAATTGAAAAAGATAGATGAGGCCAACTTATATAAATTTGAATATGTGAGGCAAATATAAATAGGTGAGGCAAAATTTCAATAGGTACGGCAATTTTGAGCAACTTTCTACTATTATTGAACCTCACTGCTTCAGTCAAAAAATGTCCATCAATGTAACTTTCTGTAAAATTTTGGTGAAGAAATCGCCTCGTCTGCCCCATGCTTGCCTCTGCACTGACAGTATTAAGCTTTTCAGCATTCCCCTGTTTTATGCTTGTTTTGAAAGCAATGCATGTTGCTGATCAGTTCATTATATCTAGTATTAGTATGTTTATTTTTCAATTTGATTGAAAATGTTAGCCTTGCCCAAGTTGGTCTCTTTTACTTATCTTGATTTCTATTATGATAATAATTCAAGATCAGATAAGTAAAAAAATACCGACTTGGGCAAGGCTATGAAAATGTATGCTGATTGTATTTTATTCAATAATCTACATGTAAACATTGGTTAATTGTTCTATAGTATTTTGTTTCTGACATTTTGTATTGAAGTACATGTATTTTATTCATGTACAATATTATAAGGTATATTTAAGCTGTAGTTTTAGCTGTCATTATGATAATTAAATACATGTACATTGTACATGTATTCAGTTCATTGTGTTTTGTATACTTGTATGTATAGGTTTATAGAACTACGTAATTTAGTTTCTGACTTTTTGTGTTAAAAGTACATGCTTTCTTTTAATCATGTACCATATTATTAGGTATTTTAGTTGTAGTTTTAGCTGTAATAAAAAAATCAGCTGCATTTAAGAAGCTCTAAATCAGTAAGCCTTAGTCGGTTACCAATTTTTAATAGGGTCACTTGGAGAAACTTTTAAAGGAAAACTATGCTCAATTGAAAAAATATATGAAAATATATTATACAGGGTGGGTCAAAATAAGGTTTACAGAGAGATTGTTGAAGAACTGTGAAGTTAGTTTTGGGCTACCCAGCAGTTTTAATAGGGTCACATAGAAAGGTAGAGATTAAAAGGTGGATTGGATCGAGTGGATTGGATTCATGTAAAAGGTGGATTGGATTGGGAATCTTCAAAATATGGATTTTTTAGTTGATCTCCCTCTAAGCAATTTCCTCCGGCCTAAAGTATTTTGTGATAATACTTGGGTCCCTTTAAGGAATTGACAAAGCAATGACAAATACATACTTCAATTAGTTGATAGATACTCTAAAGCATTTAACTGCTCTCCCTTGTAAATCAACATTAGTAAGACATAATAAACATAGATCGGTAGATAAAAGCTGTCATTCAAATTGATGTGTGGGTGTTCCCAAGACATTCTGCCATGTTCTGTTTGAATTTAAAACAGATGATATGGATCTTCAACTTGAAAAGTCTGCCTTATGATTTGTGAAATGTCTAAAATTACCCTTGGAATGAATAAGATTGTGTATCAGGTCACCTTTCTAGTCTACCCAAGCAAAATGATATCATCTATTATTTGACATTGTGAAAGTGAGAAGAGCATTAATCGTCTGATGGGAGATCAATATAGTCTTTTTAAGGAAAATCCATATTTTGAAAAATCCCGATCCAATCCACCTTTTACATGAATCCAATCCACTCGATCCAATCCACCTTTTAATCTTTACCCATAGAAATGGTTTTAAAGTTAGCTGTGCCCAAAATATATGAAAATATGATTGCTTTAACAAAGACATATTTTTGTTTATGTAATTTTGAAATTGTTTTCAAAAACAAAAGAATCTCCAAAACAGCCATTCAGTTGCCTGGTTTCCCTTCATTGGTTGTTTTCTCATAAGTTTAGCATGAAATCTACACTGGAAGAAACACTTTTGGTACCTCTAAAAAGTGTTCCACTTGGGAGATGTTCCATTTATAGAAGACGTTCATTTAACATTCAGTCAGTTGTTCTTGGAACTCTGAAGTGTTCCACTACCAGATGTGTTCCACTTTTAGAGGCTTTTCACTTTTCAGGTTTCACTGTAATCCTTTCGGTAACTGCTAGTATGCAAGACCACCAACTCTTAATATTGGAACTTTTTGAGAGTGCACTTTTTATAGCAAAAAGGATTTAAAAACAAACAAAACTAATATATTTTTAGGTATAGTGTAGAATTTTGTGCAAAACATAAGAATATGCACCTTATGAATATGATCTAGAAACTATGCTTTAAAATTAGTCTCAATGTGCCATATTAATAAGAGACTAGAAAGGTTTTAAAATAGATAGCAATTTTTAGATATAATTTATTATATCACCATCACAATCGACTCAATATAGTCTCTCAAATTTTTTGTGGACAGAGTTTGAAGTTTGGTGGTCATGGTCTGCAACAAATGGTTGGTGGTTAATTTTTTCATGTTAATGCCTTGTATGTTAATGTAGTTTCATTATTTTTTGATATGCAATGCAAGAATCAGAATGTAGTTCCATTATTTTTTGATATGCAATGCAAGAATCAAAACAGCAAGAAAGTGTATTTGCTTTCATTCATCTGTATTTATTCCCCTGTTCATATAATACACCAGCTTGTAATAAACAGGCCTAGCAACATATACATGTACATATATAGCTTATATACAATATTTACATCTCATGTTTTACTGTAGAATTGTGTTATTCTAACATTAGTGTTTTGTATGTAATAAATTTGAATAATATTATAAAGAAATCAAAGCTTTCTGTTATTATCTTTTAAGGAAGGCGAATTTTGATCAATAATCTGGCTTGTTGACTAAAACTTTCAAAAAATCACCAACCTCCTTAACAATAATCAGTATGACAATTTCTAGATGTAGATGACTACTGTTATACTGCATGAGTGGAACACATTTGGTACCTTAGGACAGCAAATTAATGGATAACTGATCTTTGTAAAGATTTTTATTAATGGAGGAGTTCCACATACAGAGGTAGGTATTCTACTTATAGCTCAGTGTTCTACATATAGTTCACTGTTCCACTTATAGAGTTGTTCCACATACAGAGGTGTTCTACTCATGCATGAGTTCCACTTATAGAGTTGTTCCACTTACAGAGGTGTTCTACTCATGCATGATTTCCACTTATAGAGTTGTTCCACTTACAGAGGTGTTCTACTCATGCATGAGTTCCACTTAAATAGAGTTGTTCCACTTATTGAGTTGTTCTACTCATGCATGAGTTCCGCTTAAAAAGCAATTAACAGTTTCGTCTTGAAACAATCAAGAGTGCCTTAACAATACAATTGAGTTAAAGGGCATTGCTTTGACATCCAAAAAATTATTAACTTACTGATCTTGGAAAAACCTTTTTTTTGTGAGTCCAAATAAATATGAACCAGATTTGACACCAGTGAATGTAATTGAGGTAGTTACAAAAAATAATCTCAAGATCTAAACTTTTTTTTCAAATTATTTATATTTACATAAATTAAATCTTTTGTCAATTATTATCAAGTTCAAGAAAACAGCTGATTAAAATCTCTTCTAAGAGTCAATATTTGCAAGCAATAATCCAACCTTACATGTACTTCAACTTTGGACAATGTTCATTTGTCCATAGTGTCTTATTTATTTATTTATTTATGTTTATTTTATCCACCAGACTTGGTGTGTTTACATGTGTTATATAAAATATTACATAAGGGGTTGAGATTATTATGTTACATACAATAATAAAAAAAACAATTAAAATGTTTATGTACAACCAATCCCTGGTGTTGACGGACGTCAGGCTACCGCGTTGACGCCGTCAAGTTACTATCTGTTACATGCAATAAGAAAAACAAGTTCTCCACCTAAAATTATGGTTAACTAATCAAAAATCTACATTTGGTCTTGCCTCATACACTCCATAAATTGACAGAGCTATCTTAATATATTGATCCTCTGTCAGTACATTATTTTCGCCAAATAAAATCGGTAATAACACGTCATTCGGTGGGAGAGGGGTATCAAGGTACATCTGAATAAGAATATTCTCAATATCCTTTCGTTTTGCCTTATGCCCCGGACATTCTAGTACCATATGAACTAAATTCTCAATAGCTTCGCCACATACCAAGCATAGATCATTTATCTTGCCACCCGACCACCGTTTACAGTTAACCATGAGATTTCCTTCACCCGTTAATAATTTAACCATGGTTCTACATGGTTTAAGTAGCATGGGATTACATTTTGCTAGGGTCCACCATACAAGGGGATTTATCTCTTTTTGAACCATTCTGAATAAAGACAACTTTTCAAACAAAATACACTGTACTCTCCAATTGCTTAATTCCCGTTCATACACAACATTTTTCACACGTCTTTTCCATTGCAATTTTGGAATAGTTCCAACATTAAGCATTTCATATACATCACCCAGAAGTCCAAACGATCTAGCTATCTTAAGACAATCTCCAATTGGGGACAGTTTATGAAGGTTATAGTGCGTTGCAAAGGTTAATCTTACTATGACCAGTTTCTTATACACATTTGTGATAGGAAGTGCTAACAGCTGCCAAAGTAGCATCAGTTTACTAATGAAAATTCTACTTGATATTGAGTGCCACCCTAGTGTTGCTGTGCACGCGGGATTACAAGTTTTTGTTGAAATTCCTTGAATCTTTTTAGCAATTTCTCTATGCCCTCCTTCCAGTTTACTCAATGCTTGCTCGTTCACAGGAATTAGTTCCAGGCCATATGTTAGAGATGGCATACATATCGACCAGTACAATCTTGAGGCAGTTAAGGGGTTCGTGGGGTTGTTGATCGTTGATGTCACACCAATATAGGCATTCATAGTACGCCTTCCTTTAGAGACGGCATTGTCTACATAGCTTAAATCTGATTTTGGTGTAAGGTGTAATCCTACATGCTGCATTGAATCAACTACCTGTAACTGTTTCCCCCCGAGTAGTAAGTGGGGTTTAGGCGGATCCCTTTGATTACTAAAAACGACTGTTTGGCATTTGTCTGGGTGATATTGGAATCTCCATTTAACACTGTATCGATACACCTTATCCAATAGTTGCTGCATTGATTTGGCATGATATGCAATTAAGACAGTATCATCTGCAAATGTGGGGCTTGTTGAGTTAATACAACATATAGTGCTACCAATGTTACATTTTTGTATTTCATTTAGTAATTCATTTGTAAATCTGGCATACAATTCCATAGAATAAATTCCGCCCTGGTGGACCCCCTTTTCAACAACAAAAGGTTCAGACATGGGACAGTTTGGAGAAGCCTTAATTGTACATCTGTAGCCATTATATGATAATTTGATTAACCTCCATAACTTGCCATTAATACCTTGATTGTATAATTTATATAATAGACCATCGTGCCACACACTATCGAAGGCTTTTTTAATATCTAGTGACGTCACGATGACGTCATTGCCTAACTCAAGTCCATGGGATATAGCCTCTCTGGCTAGAAGTGACGTGTGTATGCTTGAGCATTTTGGAAGACCAACACCTTGCATTTCAGACTTGGGTTCAAGACAATTGCATTGTTCACTTCTTATCATCATTAAACGTTCCATTATTTTCATGTATGACGTCATCAGTGTGATGCCCCTGTGGTGATCCTTATTTAAGGGATCTTTTACACCGCCTTTAAATAACGGAATCAAGACACCCAATTTGAAATTCTCAGGGATATGTTCCAAAGATATTATACAATTAAATAATTCTACAAGTACGTTTAAAACGATTGTACCTCCTTTGTTTAAATGTTCTGAGCATATTTGGTCCCAACCAGGGGCTTTATTTTTTGAAAGCTTGGAAATAACCTTTTCAATTTCTGCTACAGAAACAGGTTGTTCGAATGCTAGATCATTGTTTAGAAAGCTTTCATGCTCCATTCTGGCGATATCATTATTAACATTTTGAAAAAACATATTATCATAGTCATCTTGATCACTTCCATGAGCAGACACCAATTTCATAAAATAAGATCTCCATTCATTTGTGACGTCGTTATCATCAGTCAATATAACTCCATCATCTGTTTTGATTGCAATATTCGGAGCTGATCGTGGCTTCCGTTTTTTAACCAGATGCCAGAATTGGTTTAAAGATATTTCTTCTAGCTCGTCAATCTCCTTCTGACATCGGATTTCATAGTTTTGCTCACATTTTCTCAATTCCCGCCTAAAACATCTTTTTGCATCCTTATATGCTTCCCAGTGAACATTTCCCAGAGAGCGCGGTTTGCCATGCATAATCCATTGATTCCACGTGGATTTCTTTTGAATTACTAGAGCTTTCAATGATTGATTCCAGTACGGTTTTAAATGTTTACAGTATTTGGTTTTAGGGAGAGTTTTATTTGCTGCCTCGTGAAATATCGAAGTTAGCAGATTAAAACAGTCGTCGATAAACCTTTTATCACGTAACTCACTCGATCTAGCTAGCACAGGCATAAGGCGCTCTTCTACTAAGCGATGAACTTCATTGGAATAATCATTTAAATGTTCTAAAGATGACTTTTTCCACGAGACTCGTTCTGTTTCATTCTTTTTAACAGGTTTGTTTTTGAAAAAGACTTCTTGCTTTTGACAAACGGTTAATTTAATCGGGAGGTGGTCAGATAGGTTTAACATTTCATTATCAATAACATTCACGTTAACACATTGACCTATTGCATGTTCGGGTACTAAAAAATGGTCTATGTAGGATTGACCAGTGTAGTCTCGAAAAAATGTATAAACTGGTCCTGTACATTGTGGGAGCATATCAATGGGAACGAGATTTGTCCTTGTGCACATGTTGAGCAAATGAGTGCCATTTTGTGTGATTTCACCCGACCCTCTTGTTCCCACTGTATTCCCAAAATCTGCGTTAAAATCACCAGTGATAATTACATCGCCATCATTCTGCAATTCCTCGGTTATTATTTCAAGTCTATCTAAGACTTCTAGGAAATTTGCATTTTTACAATTTGCGTGAGGCATATAAACACTAATTATGTGTAAGTCGCGACAGCCAGGCTGCAGAACCTTAATGACTATGTATCTATCACATCTGAATTTCTTTACATTTACAATATTCAAGTCTGGCGATTGTCTCCAGAAAATAGCAATTCCTCCATTCCCAATAATGTGACCTTGGTTTAAGGGATCAAGAGAGTTGCTACTTTCAGCAATGCATACGAAATCTGGATGGGCTTTATTTAATACATTTAAGGCACCAGGGTAGAGCCAATGTTCACTCAAACATAGTATATCAGATTTGCACAGTAGGTTAAAAAGGTATGGGCTCGAGGCATTGAGCCCATTTGCATTCCAAGACGTTATAACAATGTTACGTGTTTCTGGCCCTGTCATGAACATAGGCCGTAACAACCGTATTACAAGGAACAGTACTAAAGTGACAAAAAGCATCACAAATGTTACCTGACTTGAGTTGTAAAAATTAATATGAACAGTTATTCTCTGTTGCTCGCAGAGAGTATTTATGTAATCGTGACTCGTAATTTTTAGTAGAGTCGCGTATGTCACTATAGTAGGCATCGTCGTTGTTAATGTAATCTTCATCATATGCATATGAGCTTGGGTCCTGTTCGTCACGATATCTGTTTGACCTGTATGTGATGTGGGGAGGGATGCGTTTTCCACGTGAGCTCGGTTTATGTTCCCACGGACGGCACGTTACAGGATGTGGCCATGCATCAGATTCTATCGCCTTGTTGGCTGCAGATTGGGGAACTATGAGTTTTATCCCTACGCGAATCGTCGAATATTTATTTCCCACAACATACATTTTCGTGACGTTTATGCCAATGTTTGATTTGATGTGTTCCCTAACGAGGTCTTCAATTTCACTATCCGTGTCACCATATTCAACCCCTACATTTTCCAAATATAGGGTCTGAGTTTTTTCATACGCGATTCCTTTAAGTGTGCGAGTTTTGGATGTGTTGAGCGTTTTAGCGTTAGATGTGCTTCTTTGTTTCAAATGCCCTAAGGATTGAAGATTAACTTGTCGCCTTTCACCAAATCTTGTAACAGAGTCTTTCCGGTTCCGTCCTCGTTCTACGAGCGTGAACCCTTCATCATCATTGGGAACCGTGTCATTGGGTACTTGAGCAGGTTTATGGGTTTCATTAACAGATGACTTTGAAGAGGAAATAGGACCTATGGGTTTGTCATTTTTTGAACACTCTGTATTTGAGCCAGTTTCATTGTTATTGTTTTTTTCGGGTTTGTTATTGTTTGTTTCAAGTGCAGTTTCTCTTCCAGCTGATTTCTTTGTTATTACATTAGCATACGTCTGGACGGGCTCGGAATTGGCTCTAGGTCGCGTATTTGACTGTGAGAGTGGCTTATTACCCGAAACGGAGTCCGAACTAATTGGCATTTTTCCGTACCGTGGGCTTAGGGACATACATGTGTGTTGACCCAATTCAATTTTTAACTTGTTTACCGTTATATTCAGTCTATCAATTTCCACTTGATGATCCCTTTTTATCTCTTTTAACTGCTTGCGCATTTCAACCACTTCAGCAGTTAATTCAATAACCTTAAGATTCGTGCCCATTTCAAGCGCATTTGGCGGGGGTTGAGCTTTTCTCTTTAACTCTGGAATATGGCTTGCTTGAGAGGTGACGTTCCTGGGAAACGATTCAGTATAATCCATTTTATAGCAATAGAGGTCATAAATGTCATTTGCTAAACTAACATTTTTTCTTTCACCGGTGCGTTTTCTAGGTTTAACCTCTTCAATTTGATCATAGCCTCTTGCGGCAATTGGCCCGTATTCCTTCGTGCATTGTAACGACAGCTTCAACTTCGCAAGATCAAACAACAAATTCCTGGATTCATTTAACAAAGTTTCATCAATATCTAGCACTAGTTGTTCCGTAACCTCATGTCTTGGCATACAGTCAGTATTAGACAAGATACGAACCACGCAAATATCTAAGTCACTTATTGCTTCATGGGATACGTGGGCTCCATTTACGGACGCCATCTTGTTTTCAAGAGTAAAGGATAACTTACAGTTTTATCACCTTCGAAAAACGACGATAATCCATGTTTTGTCTTAAGATATCGGTAGTCCTGTTAATCCATGGATGTTCATGAATAAGTACATTCACACAAAAGACGTTTACATGTCCACGTTATTTAGATAATCGACTTTTTTTGTGGGAGCCTTTGTTATAAAAAACAACAATATCAACTGCCATCTTAAGAATTTATTTTAAAAAATCTGCCTCAACTGCTAGCTTGTTTTGGACAATGTTTCAAGTGTCAATTTTCCTTGTTTCAATATTTCCTTAGGATAATTTTAAGTCACTATTTCCATGCAAAAATGCAAATCATTTCTTAGTACGAAATATGCCTCAACTGCTAACTTGTTTTGGACAATGTTTCAAGTGTCAATTTTCCTTGTTTCAATATTTCCTAAGGATAATTTTAAGTCACTATTTCCATGCAAAAATGCAAATCATTTCTTCGTACGAAATATGCCTCAACTGCAAGCTTGTCCCAAGCAATGTTTCCAGAGTCAATTTTCCTTGTTTTAATATTTCCTAAGGATAAAAAGTCACTATGTCCATGCAAAAATGCCTCAACTGCTAGCTTGTCCCAGGCCATGTTTCTAGTATCAATTTTCCTTGTTTCATTATTTCCTAAGGATAAAAATAAGTCTATTTCCTAGCAAGAAATTTACCTTGTAGAAGTTGTAGGCTCTAGACAATGTTTCTAGTATCAATTTTCCTTGTTTCAATATTTCCTAAGGATAATTTTAAGTCACTATTTCCATGTAAAAATGCATATCATTTCCTCGTACAAAATTCCTCAGCTGCTAGCTTGTTCCAGGCAATTTTTCCTAGCAAGAAATTTGCCTTGTACATGCAGGCTCTTGACAATGTTTCTAGTATCAATTTTCCTTGTTTCAATATTTCCTAAGGATATGTCACTATTACCATGCAAAATGCATTATTTCCTAGCAAGAAATTTGCCTCAACTGCTAGAGGGCTCTGGGCAATGTTTCTTAGTTGGAGGTTCATCAACATCTTCCCTATGTAACACAGGGGGACCTGATTCTGAAATATAAAAAGTACAGGATTTCTCAAGAGTACATGATTTTCAAGAGTACATGATTTCCAAAGTGTACAGAATTTCTCAAGAGTACAGGATTTTTCAAGAGAACAGGATTTCTCAAAAGTACAAGATTTCTCGAGGGTATGGGATTTCTCAAAAGTACAGGATTTCTCAAAAGAGTACAGGATTTCTCAAGAGTACACGATTTCTCAAAAGTGCAGGATTTCTCTTGAATACCAGCCTTTAAAATACAGACATCAGAACAGATAGTAGAGTTGCCTTGAAGATAAAATCTCAACAATCACACTCTCTATTTTGTCTTGTACACAGAGGGGGGGGGGGGGTATCTTTTCAGGACAATTTTACTGTCTGTTTCAAAGCCTCATGTTTTAAAACCAGAACATTTTTCATATTTTGACATTCAAACAGATGTACATGCATATGTAAGAACAATATTTCACACCTATGATATACTTTGAATTATCAGAAACTGATTGTCTGAAGTTTACTACGATAAAATATCCTGAAAAATCCTGCCACCTTTTGGTAGATCAGAGAAACTTTGATACTTGATTATGTCATAGGTTGTATTATTTGAAATTAGCAATAATTAATCATGTTTTGCATGGTCAGATGTCTGCCTACAACCAATGATATCATCAATTTAGCCATTTATAAAAAAAGAGTTTTTTGCAATTTGAAAAAATATGTTTTTATATGTACTAGAACTTAAAACTATGACTTGCAAATGTCTGAATGAATGGAGGTGGTGTGAAAAATAGCTGAACTGTTTTTATTATTGTACTTATCATGTTTGAATAGAGAAATAAAAAAAAATCAATTTAGCCATTATATCATAGTTTCTATTCTATCAAAAGGTGACAGGATTTATTGAACCATCTATTAACAATAATGTGCTCAGACTAGGCCCTCCACAATGTACATGACTGTAATAGTTTCAACATGAATTCAACTGGCAAATTAAAATTCCCTATAGAATACATAAAAAGCAACTAACCAGATGTGTCTTCCCTGTTCCCGATCAACTCTGGTTTACTGCTGTTTGAGTCCTCGTTGGTCAAGCCCATTGCTGAAAGACGACAAGTGAATATGCATTAACAATATGTAAGTACTCTAAGTACATAGCCAAAACATTCTAAACAAAAATTCTAAAATTCATTGGGATATTATAGGTTTTGTAATATTTAAATTTTTATATACATTTTAAGTGATATAATTTCCATGTACAAGGTGTTCAATATGCTCCATGCAAAAATGCTCCCAGTTTTATGTTTTTCAATGTTTCTCATTGAGACAATGAAACACAAACTGTTCTCTGATTGGTCAAAAGTTGTTGCTGCTGTGGTAACTAGTGGTGCAACTCGAATGCCAGTACTCGCCACTCACTCGTTGAACCTGTCCAAGATAGTTACTCGAGTACGGTTTTTCAAACTCGAGTAGGCATTGAATTCCCAAACAACGATCTCATACCCCGGGAATGATCATTTTTGGATGCACTGAACGAAACAAAGTATCGATTCCGGAAACAAAATGAAAATATTTAAAAACAAACAAACAAACACAATTATGGCATGAATAACTACATTTATTCTCACTAAATTGATACAAACTATATATAACATCAATAACATATAGAAGAAACGAAGAAATTGTATCTATTTGGTCTTCAAACAGTCGACTAGGTGAGTTTTTTATTTTTTTAAATTTTTCCCTCATTTTTGCGAGTGGTACTCGATTGCAGTGGCATTTTCACACTTTCTACTCGAGTAGCATTTTTCTTGCGAGTTGCACCACTAGTGGTAACCAATCATACATGACACGAAGAAACATTTCGTTCAAATGAAAGTAGAAGTTGTGTGGTACTAGATTTGTCTCAAAGTCTGCTGATATGACGGCAAATACAGGATGTTCAGATCTTTTAGTTTTTGAGTACAGCCTATGTCTGAGGTTGGCACACTTTTCATGGAATCTGAGAAAATGAACACTTTAAGAACAAGATAAATACGATATATCGAAAGCAATTGTCATGATAAAATAGCTATGCAGTAAAATTTGTAAAACTCCCTGATCTGAACATTGATCAAAGGAAATTATTGTGAAAATGAGAATTTCACACCAACTTCAGGAAAAACCCTGAGAACAACACTTTGTGGGGTCTCTAATCTCAATCTGGAGCTACAGAATCAAAATTCTTACCCATGCGGATGTCGTTATTAGTGATGCCATTCTGGGAGTCCTGTGTATCGTTAGGGGCACCTTGGAAAGAGAGATTGGAGTCTTCGTTAGTGCTGGCAACCTCGCTGCTACTAGACTGTTGCGTTGTCTCATCCTGAGCTATATTACTGGGCAGACCTGTATGAAAAATGTTCATGGTACAGCCAGACTTTCAGATACATATTCAACCCGGAGTTAGGATGACTGGTGCATTAAAAAAACATAAAGCAAACACTTTTATTTGATGAATACTGAGATCTTGGTGTAGCTCGGAAAATATAGCTAAAAAGTTAAAAGCGAGTCTAATACAATTTTCAGGCAAACAATGAAGCCTACAAAGGACTACTAATAAGTGTTTTTCTGGAAAATCTGTGAACATGGCCAGCTTTTTGGAATTTGAAGTACTCGGTGGTATTGAAAAAGCATTGAAACTATGCACAGTGGGTTGATTAACTAATTGCTGACAAAGATTTAAATTGATAATTGTGTACAGAATTGGTCATTCACCAAAAAAAAATCTACATTTAAATTTATTAATATCAATGACAGCAAACCTGGTTGGGATGGACTGTCAGTGTTACGCTGCTCTGTTGTATCCGAGTTTTCAGCTGATGTTTCATGCTTTCCTCGACTAGACTTGGTCAGGGTCTGCTTCTTCCCCTTATCAGCCTTTTTCTAAAATAAAAAAGTCGAATTTTTAATCAATGACAATATTCAATCATACTAAGGTTGTGTTTCATTTTAATTGTACAATGTATTATGTTATGGACTTTTATGGAAGTATGAAATAACATTTATTTTGTATGATCTAAAAAAAGATATTGCAATAACTTTTATATTCTAATCAGATTATCTACTGGGATTATATTAAATAGGATGAATTACAGGTATTTATTGGGTCTATCACAGTTCTACTCACAGTTTCAGTTTCTGATAAAGTTACTGGAACCCATTTGAATATTCTCATAGTAGAATCTCCTATTGTCACCCAGCGCTTCTCCCTGTAAATCAAGATCAATATCTATGAACGAAAGTATTGACTAAAATCTGAAGCCAATCATGGCTAAATTCTTGCAAACAGCCTGATTGCATTTTTAATTTATTTGACAATAATCACGCCCAGTGATTGGAAGAGATGAACGGAGGGGGGGGGGGGGGGGGGAATAGCTGATTTTCGGTAGAAATTCAAAGTCTTGGAGATTTATTTTTTCAAGAGAAAGTTTACAATTGAATGGCCAAATCAATAGGTGCACAGGGAAATATGTTAGGTCTTCTTTTGAACTGATGGACTTGTAAGATACAAGATCTATTAAAAAAGGTGCAGGATCACAAATATCCAGACTTATAAAGAATAGAAGCTCATTATTTCAGTTTTGACGATCACTGTCACTAGTTATCACTGCCTGGGTTGTCCTGACCTTTGGCCATTCTTAGATGTCGATACAGGTTCCTGTGCGCAACAAGTGAAAATTGAAGCATATGAGAGAGCACGAGAGCACAAAGAGAATTTACAGTACAAGAGACAAACTGCCGAGGAAACACAGGCTTATGCAACACAACAACAACAAGCTAACTTTGACTTGGGCCAGTTGAAAAGGAGGAAATACTATCTATACGTTCATCTTCAAATAAATATTGCTTCATCTTTGAATTCATGAATATCAATTCATCTTGGCCAGTTCAAGGCAGTTGAGGATTATGGATAACAAAAATGAAAAAAAATCACCATTTTCTGACTTTGTCGATAGCATTTATTACTCGCTTTATATCTTCTTTTGCCCTACTCCTCGTCTCTGCTCGGATAGATCTTGATAACATATTTTTCGTTGTAGGTTATATCGGTCAGTTGAACACAAAATACAGCTACTTATCCAGAAAATAAAGAAAATATTGAACTTTTCTTTGTCGCCGGAAACCGGAAACGGACTACAATACACATTCCAATTTCCTTTTGTTTTTAACAAAATAGTATTTTCAAAAATTAGTTGAAAACATTTTAGGACCCTTGAGCTTTATTAAAACTCAATTGGAATATTTCACATTTTTTATCCACGACAGGGCATTTTCCTTGAATTCTGATTCAAATATATTTGCCTGTGAACACAGTCCAAATTATTGGAGTCACATGACTCATTCTTGGGATACACCCTGACGTCATGAGACTAAAGTAGGGCACTTGTTGATAAAAAGGCAAACGAAGTGACTGTAGCGTAAGTTGTTATTATTTCTTCTGCATATACCTCCAACATCAAAATGGAATATATACCAAAAGGAAATTAATACATCAGAGATTGACTATGGCGAAAAGATCTGACTTTGAATCAAAGTGGAATGAGAAATTCCCAGATTTTGAACCACCAAATTTGAGTGTTTTTGAACAAAATTCTGAAGTCAAAAACTTTTTGGATGTAACAAGAGCAAAGGTGGAAGAGCTTCGTGGAGAGTTAGAAAGGGAGCTATTTATTCTGAATCATGTAGAGAGTATATACAAAACTAAATCTACAAATCAACGGTCTTCAAAAATTGTTGAGGAGGAGGCCGAAGGGAGAGGGGATTTCTCGGTTGTTGAATTTCAAAGAGATAAGAAAACAAAAACAACTCAATCAGGAAGTAAAAAACCTCTGAAAAGATCAGCCCATACTTATGAAAATGTTGATCAAGTTGACTCAAAAAATATGGGTCAAAGACAACAACAGAAAGATGATTCACAAAGTGTTACACCCAGTCAGGTCATCCAAGAAGTCTATGAACCAGTTAGTCCAAAAACGGCTGAAATTCAAGAAAGAGTATCCTACACTCTTGAAAAACAAGCAAATAGTCCTGGTCCAAATATTAGTCCTAGTTTGAAAAGTCCTGAAAACAAAAAAGATGTTGAATGTTCAAGTCCTACTGTTGTGAGACGTAGACTTCCAGCCATACCCCCGCAAACAGCCCCAAAGCCTAAAATCAATAAAAAAGCTCGAGAATCTCTTGGGGTGTTTTTTCCTTCTACTAAGCCCAAAGAAAATGATGAAAGTCCTTACTCTAGCATTGTAATCAACTCAGAGCAGACACCAGAACTTGCCCAAAATAAAGAAAACACTCCCAAATGTAGCAATGATGGCCTAAAACCCCCTGCATCTGAAAGTAGTACATGTAAAAGGCACTCAGAGAGAACATCTAATGCATTGGGCCGCTTAGATCAACTTATAGCAGGTCAGGAATACTCCCAAGTCCACAAAACCACTGAGGGAAAAGATAAACATGTTATGAAAATTAACGAGCCTGATATCAAAATTGAAAATGATGATGATGACATACCAACTGTGCCTGTTAAAAGTCCTGGGCTGCAGGATGATATAAAAAATGCCAACATTGAAATGCTTAACAATTCCTTGTATTCAGATGATAGTGAGTTCAGCCTGAGTCCTGTTTCCCCTGAAAATTTGCAGCATCAGCCACAGAATACTGGCAAAGATACAGATCCCTATTATAGTGCAGTATGTACGGATGATGATACCATTCTCGTTGACACTCTCAAGGAGAGTGATTCTGGGAGTCTGTTATATGCTTCGGTTGTGAATGAAAACACTGATGACACGGATGAAATAATCACGTCAATTGATAATATAGGAGAGGATGATTCTGGGATGGAAAATATATATGATACAATTGATGAAAATATTATCACCAAGAGATTATCCTGTCACTATGGTAGTAATGATAAACTAGATCTTCCTATGACAACGCATCAGAGGTTGAGTGAAAGTTTGGAAAGTGATTTAGATGATGATGAAAGACTGGATTCCATTGACTCAACAACAGGTAAAGTTAACATTCTTTACTTTAGGGATCAGGCCCGTAGCGAGGATTTGCCAGGGGGGGTTCAGTTTTCAAAAATTTCCAGGGGGGTTCACATTTGACAATTTTGGCCCAGATATGGCTAAAATCACTTGAGAAGTGCTCAAAATGGTGAAAAACTGTATGATTTTGAAAGAATTTTTGGCCAGGGGGGGGTGTTTCGCCCGAACCCTGCGAACCCCCCCCCCCCTGGCTACGGGCCTGGGGATGGTGTCCAAACTACACCAGCAGTTGTAGAAAAAACAAGGTTAATTCCATAATGATGATATTCTGAAAAACCTCAAGTGAATGCTGCAAGTTTCAAACAGGCTTGTACCAGGCCCCAAATTCTTTCAAAATCATGTGCTCAGTTTTCACCATTCTGAGCTCTTTTCAAAGATCAAATGTGAACCCAATTGATTTGTTTTGAAAATTGAAACTCCCTGGCCATGGGCCTGTTTCAAAGGTAATTTATATGAGAGAGGGGGGCTATTGACTAAAATTAAAAATATCTTTACTACATGTAAATCTATAACTGGTAGATTTGTGGAGATCATCTATAATTTTTAGAATTTAACATGTCAAATACAACTTATAAAGCGAATGTATATTCATTATATTATTACCAGATTGATGTGTAGTTCAGTTTAAAAGAGATGTGATTGTAGATACGTTTTAGCAACCTCTCCATGGAAAATTTAGTTAAATTGTGAATTGACAAAGTTTAACATGCATTTGATATTACACAAACAATGTGTTTTCAATACGGAACTATTGCAATTGAGTATGAAATTGAAAGTTTTTCAAAACTAATTTGCAATTCAAATGCAATAAGGAAACAGTCATACATGTACAAATTGAAAATTGAAACTTCCTCAGGCTATAGACATAATCATATATTATATGCATTAAAAAGTTACTGAGTAAAAGTATTGATCAAAGATGATAACCTTATTAGCAACTATTTTCCTTATACTCCAGAGTCGGATCCAGGAACAAGGGGGCCAATATTTGATGTTGGGCCCCAAAACCCAAAATTGGGCCCACATTTTGAAAATTTAAGGCCCATTTTCTTGATAATTTGGACTAAAATCAAGAAATAATGCCCATAGGGCCCATTATAGGGCCCATTATTCGAGCCTCTGGCCCACTCGAGGATCCGCCAGTGTATTCTCTATAAATCTGAATGTTCGAAATCATCATAGAGTACCATTCTACACTTTCACTCACAAATTCTCGGAAAAAAACATGTAGCTTAATTTCCCTATTACATCAACAAAGCTCATAGTTGTTCTGCCAGATCTTCACTACATCCTATGAGATAAAACACTCCACCTCACTATGGCAACAGGATTAAGATTTATGCATTCAACAGCTGTTTCAATTCCCAATGGATAAATCTCAATCCCACATTTCATGATTTTCCTTACTCAAGGAGAGAAAATGCAGAAATCACTAAAATATTAACTCCTTATTTTAATAGTCAAATTTAAACCTTTAAAATTACTTGAAATTTTATATTTTTTAGGTGTTTGAGAATAAATGCAAGAACAGAGAATTATTATTTATAAGGGATACCATTCATTTTTGCATATATCAAGAAATAAAAGCTAAATCCAATAAATGTAAAAGCATACTTATCAGGAATTATGCGTTTTATATTTACATTATCTACCAATGTTAAAACTGAGTTGATTTATCAGATGGTGGTAAATATCAGAGAAATGAAGAATGATAAATTAAATAAATACTGGCAATGGCATTCAATTAAAAATATAGTCTCATACGAATACTGATGTTAGTTGAAATGGTCAGAATAAGTTTCGTCTTTTTTTGGGGAGTTTTTTTATTGTTTCATTATTCCCCATGTAGACCTCCTGATAGAATGGGGGGGGGGGGGGGGTATAGGAGGAGTAATACAGAAGCTTGAGGCAAGATTAGCTATTCTCATATGATTCTGAGCATTGTCTATTTTCGGATGAGCAATGACTTGAGACCACATCATAAGTTACAACAGTTCCAAAAATAGACCCCGGGTAGTACAATCTGTATCTCATGCAGTGCAGACTCACCAAAGAACAAAAGGGGAGGGGGAATGAAATCTTAGTTTTGGATTCCTGTTTTCTGATTAATACTGCACCTGATCAATCCCAATAACCCTGGTTGAAATGTAATCTATATCTTGCCAAAAGAATCATAGGATCATAGGAGGAGGGGGGAGAGAGTGGAGTAAATAGAAGCTTGATTTTGGATTCCAGTTTCTGATTAATATTGCACCTGAGTGATCATTCCAATACAACCCTGGTTGAGATATGCAATGTATAACATGGAGTATATACTGCATATAAGGTGAAGTAGTACTTGACCTGCAAAGAGTAATAAACACCTGGTTATCAGAATAAACACACTACCCCATTTCAAATAATACTCATATACTTCATGTTATAAAACTACTATTTGATGGCCTGTTTATGAATCAGATATTATGTGCCAGATATGGGGTCTCATTCAATATATGATTAACATTGACAGGGTGGGCCATAAAGGCTTAAAAGTAATACTAAATAAGGGAGTGTTTTGTTAGTCACAGGGTGGGTCACTAAAGCTATGAACTGAAAGAGCGCTAAACAACATAATAGAGCAGAAGAAGTGAGTAGCTCCCATAATTCTTTCATATTCTATCGTATTCGGGGATTCCCCATTACGTCATCTCCCGCATCATCTCCAATCAAATTGCAGGATGCGATCACATGAACAATCATGAGCACGTGCTCTCTCAGGGCTGCGCAAAGTAAAATTTGAAATCGTGGAAATGGCGTTAACATTCAATATCATCATTTTAAACATACGGTAATACTATTGAAGTTACTCAATCCAAACTTGTAGAGAATACTCATAAAACTACAGCGAACATTGGGAGATTCAGTTCAATGGCAAATGAGTCCTGTTTATAAAATTTGTTTTCGAACGTGCCAATATGAATGCTCATCTTTGGGAAATCTCCCCCGCCCTATAATAGAGGTTGATCTTTATATACATATATATGAATTCTGGGTTATTGCTGAATGTGACAAAAGCAATATTGGATTTTCCTTTTTAGTGAGTCTCCCAGTACAGTTTGATTATATAGAAACTTATCTTGGAATCACTTTCAATGTTGACTTAATTCATGTTACAATGGGTCTTGTATTACATTGGTATGGTATGAATTACTAGAATAATTCACACACATCCCACTTCCCAGATGTTGGGGGCCATCTTAAACATTCAGCCTGAATTTTATTTGTCAACCAGAATCTTGTGAAACATGGGGGGGGGGGGAGAAGAGGATGTCAAGTCAACCAAAGAATTGATGCCTGAAAGTCATTTTAACTTCTAGACTACCTGAAGTGACGAGATTTCTCGTCACCTCAGAAATGACCTTGAAACCCATAGTGAGGAGAAAATCCGTCACAAAATCTTTCACTAAAATTGCTCTTATTTGAACAATTTTCATCCAATTTACACAAAAATTGTTTTAAAATGTGTAGAAATGAACTCTGCCGTCTAATTTTACTAAGTTGAGCATCTGAAATTGTATAGGTATGTAGTATAGTGTCATAAGGTGGCAAAAATGAAAAAATCTCTGGTTTCAACTGATTTTAGAGCCTGGGATTCATGAGGTTAAACATTACTTATAATTTTCCCATTCCATGGGTTTGTGTACTCAAGTTTTGAATATACATGTACATCACTTGAGTGGTCATTATAGTTAGAAAACTACTATTTGGTACTTTTACATTGGGAAGTTTGATTCTTGTTTATACCTCATGTTCGTGGATAATTGATTGAATTATTCATGACATTGTTATGTTTATATCACAATAGTAAGTATGCATGAGCATGGAATATGAGTGGGAGAGTGTAGGTCTATACAAAGTGGAATACAGTAAAACCTGTGTGTATTGAACATTTTTTTGCTGAGAAAAACGTTCAGTGTTATAGTTCACTACAAAGAGGGTTATTTATACAGAAGTCAGTAGAGTATGTGGGGAGGTAGGATGTCTACTATAGACAGTGTTCACTAGAGAAAGGTGTTCTTCATAGAGGGTTTTACTGTATACCTCTAATTGTTGAAAATGAGACTTTGGCAAGTGCATTTTGCATTTGGACTTTCTACCATCAAAGCCATTTGCCAATGGAAAGTGCGAAATTGTCCAATTATTAATAGTTCTATAAACATGAAGTTACTAAATGTGAGTTACTATTGTGAGTTATGACATAGGCTAGAGTTACACGAGCAAGTTTTATTGCTTTATTACAAATCATTATGATAAAAGAACTTCATGACAAAGGATTTTTGAGGTGTTACAGGCTAGGCACCAAATCCTATGTTAAGAAGCTTTTTGTGAAAGTGCTTCGTAACTAAGCAATTTAACCCTTCTGTTAACCTAGGTACTATGGTGATCCCATGAGGTAATTTTGTAAACATGGTGCTTGCTAAATTCAGCTCTAGCTGTTATTGTCTGGTGGCAGATAAGCAGGGGATGGAAATGGGGTAAAAAGGTTTGTCTATGCATAAAGTATAAAGGATTCAACATATCTCAATAATGCATCTTCTGACAAGGTGTAAACAGATTTTGAACAGGTGAAGTGTAATTTGAGACTTTTGAAAGAGATCTTCACAGACAAAGACTATGAACTACACAAGTACATGAGTGTAACTACATTCAATAAACAAACAAAACATGTAATCTGAATTAAAGTAATCTCATCTTCTTATAGCTACATGTAGTAATGATTTATTATTATAATAAAAGGAGGGGACTATCTCCAATACAAACAGAGGTTCATGTCATAGCACTTCAAACTAAACATTTAGAATACTCAGTAAGGAAGTACATGTATGTAGTACAGGAATACAAGTTTGAGTATATTATGCATAAGGGTAACCAGGGGGTTTGTGATGGGTGTGATCGCCCCCCACAAAAAAAGAAAAAAAGCAA